CTCTCATAATGTTTTCTACATTTCACCATATTCAGACTGATTTTGTTAAGTAGTTGATACGTTTTCGACACATTTTTTTTCATTTTCACTGTTTTGGTCTGAAAGGAGGGTTTTGGCTTTTTCCAATTTTTTAAAAGAATTTTTGTCGTTTCCGATCATCCTGGTGCGCCTATTCTCGCTGTTTGGTTCTCTCAGACGATTTTCTGCTTTTCTTCCCCCATTTTTAGTAATTTGATGTATGCAGTTTTTTCTTTTTTTGTATCTTGTTAGTTTTGATAGCATCCTTGCCTATTCGCGCTTCGACAAATTGCTTCAAATAGAGCCAGTATATGCGTACATATTATTCACTTTGGGTCCGTCTATTCTCGCTGGTTTTCTTTTCACTCATACGCATTTTTGTTTTGGAACCAACTTCCGTAAGAAACCACGAGAGAAGAAAAGTGATCATTTTCGATCAGTTCAACATGTGGTTGATTAGGAATTATTTACTTTCAACTCAGTCTAAATCAATTTAGGGTACACTGACCATTCTAAGAAATCTATACTTTTTTTTTGACTGGGACTTCCGACATCTAGGTCATTTCAGCTTCCAACTAAGTCTATATTCTATTTACCTTTTTCAAACACTACATTCATACAAATAAATACATTCATACACATAAATACATCCATACTGTACACTCATTCCGTTTTGTCGGTGGAGTACTTCATATTCCTCCACCGACCTATACTCAAACTGTTCTAGATTGGGGTCGATGGAGTACTTTTATAAATATTCCCTCATCGACCCCGAACACACACTCTTACGCTCTCAACGTTCTAGGGGCGATGATGACGTTATATTTCACCCTCACCCCTCGCCATTCACGCTAATAAATACATGCACTCAGATAAAACATAAAGCTACAACACATAAGACATATTATATACAATAAAAAACCCTAATTTCCCCTAAAAAGCGGAACAGGGGACTGAAATTCGCTACCGTGTTCGAGAACTCTTCTTAAGTCCGGCGGCATGCCTATACGCTCTCTGTATGGAGCCAAGGCATGACACGCCTCTATTATGTGGGACACATCGAGCAACCTTTCTCTGCGTAAGGGGCACCTGCGCGGACTTTGGCCCAAAACGGAAATCTAGTTGTTAGATGTTAGGTAGATGAAAACTTTAGCGTTTTATACAAAACATTTCTGATTGGTTGTAAATCAAGGTTTTATTCCTCAAACTATCTGTTGCCTTAATCGCTTCGAAAGCTTGTGGGAAAAAATCACCAAAGTTAATTTTAATTGTGACTCGCTTCGAACTTTTACTTTGATACTTCTTCCCAACCGTCACCAGGACAGGCTTCAAAAACTTAATTTATAATTCCGTTAAGTAACTCAATATTCTTCTACGGATACTCGCAACTTTTTAGTAGGGGAAATGAAATTACAATTAGGCTCACAAAGAAATTTAAGTAGGTCAAAGGGTATTTGCAACGTCGGAATTGACTCTGGAGGTCCGCCCTTTCAGGCTTTCTTTTAACATCGTTCCGAGGCAATTTTAAACAAAGCCACTTCAAATTTTGAGAACAATTAGCGCCGTGGATCGATCCGGGGCTTGTTTTGGAGGACGACCATATCGGTGCGCACTTCTCACGAGTGACGGGTGAAAATTGTTCGCCTTACCGTCTTGACAGGTCTTGAGAACAAGACAAACAAATTTTATCCAAAAGCGTTCGTCTGTTCGTCAACAGAACCTCATTAAAAGTTCCGGCCATTTAAAAGGACGGAGAAACGATTTACTTTTCTTCCAAAATGTGATAATAACACCAAATATATGGTAGAAACCAATTTTATTTTCATCCCCTAATCCCCATAAATAATGATACAGCGTAGAAGTATATTAATTTCAACAATCATTTTATTATTAATTTAAATTTACTGCTATGTTTTTATGTAGAAACACACACCTGTTGATGTAAAAATAGTACTAGAATAAATAATATACTTAAAACAACAAACAATTATTTTTTTCAATTGTAGTGAATAGAAATTTTACATTTTTCAAATGTGATTTCACATGATCACAGCACTAACTTCAATGTCAGCGATACACCCAGAGGACAAATGCCTTAGAGTATTGGCTTGATATTATATCCTTTCCAGTAGGAGTGAATCTTTTCCTAATTTGAACAAATTTGATCTGTCAGAAAAGTAGTGTGTGCATGAATAAATCAAAAGAACATTTATAAAACAAAAATATTTCTTGTAATGTAATATCAGACAAACTTTGAATTAATGTTATCAATTTGAAATTAACAATTTTGTGGTTGAAAAAGGGAACTGACTAATTATTATTATTATATACATTCACTAGTTTTCGTGGTCCGCTTGACCAATTAATATCTTTCAATTATCTTTTTATCCCATCAAAAAAACTTAATTAATTGGAACAAAAAAAATGTTAACAGTACAAAAAAGAAGAAACAAAGTTGACCCTGTATTGTGGGTAATAAGTTATTAAAATTAAGGTATGATTACATTAATAAACAATTAAACAAACGAATTGCAAAACAAACTTTGTGCTAATTTAAACAAATGAAATATTCAACTCGAATATTATAAATGAAAATGATAATAAAAATAAATAGTAAATAAAAAATAAATAATAATAAAATAATTATAATATTCGTTTAAAAAAAATCAAAACCTTGTGCGATGATCGCTGTTTGATGAAATAGGCTGAATGTCTGCAGATCAACACCTTTTTTTTCTTGCCAAAAAAATGTGAGTCCACTAAAAAAACGTGTATCTTCCAGCTAACCCAATATGCCTCTTCTATTGGGAATCTCCTTCCACCTACCTTTAGTGAGACTTGTGGCGGCAGTTATAAATTTCACTGTGATTAGAGAAACCAGCCTTTGTTGATTAAGCGACGTGACGGGTTCGCTTGAATGAATGAATATTTTTTATTCGTGAACAAGATTTATATCTTGTTTGAATACGATATATTTTACATCTTTAAGTGTCTCCATTTTATTATTTAACATTGTTTCAACCTTTGCGTTAAAAAATTCATTCAGAGTGTAAAATAGGTTGTTTTGTATCGAAATATGTGGAGAGGGCTTGTGCAGTAGGATTAGGTTGATGTTAAACTTTTAGAATCGGAAACGGATTAGTTCGTTGACAAAAGAAATGTCAAAGTCGTTGTGTATAATTACCTAAGTGACAGTAAGGAGCTTTGACAAATTGTCTGAGGATTTTCGATTTGAAGGATCGGATGTGTTGGATGTTGGATGGCATGGCAGAACCCCAGCGTTCCACTCCGTATGTCCAACGTCTTGTATAAATATTTAAGAAAGGTATTGGTCGAAATAAAAAGTCTAGGTCACGAGCGGGATTCGAACCCACGATCTTCGGCTAGATACGCCGCTGCTCTACCACTTGAGCTATCGTGACTTCGATCCGCTCGGCACCAACTTCCCATCTCTTCCTCACCTCTCGGATTTTCCCTCCTTTTTTTCCATTTTTTAAATGCCGTGTAATCTATTTGATTCTCGGCGACAAATGTTCGAATCCCGCTCGTGACACTGACTTTTTTATCTCGACCAATACCTTTCATAAATATTAATTAATTAAAATGTGTTAATTGGTCAATCGGACCACGAACTGTAATGGGTCATGCAAAAAGTTAGTTTAGTTTGACGGTCGAAACGGATTTCGGTCCTACATGTCTTTGTAGTTGTTCAAGTCTTCTGTTATGTTTGTCTTTTTAAATCTAAGATTTCCATCTCATTTTCCAGCTTGGATATAGTCCTAAGTATTTAACTTGAATAGGTATTTCTTTTCTGTAGATGTGCAGTGGAAGGCAAGACTGTTTTTTCAATGTGAAAGTGAACTAAGTACATTTTTGTCCATTCCGTCTTGTCTTCCACGTTTTGCAGTAGTCGACATGTTCAAGGTGTTGCAGGACATTGTAGTTAGCTTGGATAGGAATCGAGTTAGACAAAGGGTGATGATGGTACTGGAGTGTGCAGGTAAGGCAGCAGTACCGTTGATATAGAAGATAGGACCCAAAATGCTCCCTTGTAGGACACCGACTTGAATCGGTCTGATTTTCGAGAAATCTTTACTGCACCTCTCCCTGAAGCAGATTATTAGATATTAAAGATATTAAAGAGTGGGTGGTATGCATTTAAGTTTATAAAGCATGCTTCGATGCCAGATCAAAACCTCGTGCTAGATCTAGAAATGCACCCAAGCAATACCCTTTGTTTTCTAGAAGAGAGGAAATGGTGTCGAAAACTCGGAAAACTTGTTGAATCGTAGAATGATGGGGATGGAAGCGGAATTGGTCAGAGACAATTATTTTATGAGTATCTAGGATATGGAGTCTTTCTAGGATTTTAGACATTGTAGGAAGAAGACGCATGAGTCTGTGGAAGGAAATGTGATTAAGAGTTTAAAAAGAATTTTATAAACAAATTTATACATGCATTATTAGTACCTGATATGCCGAAATTTGATCCAATATTTTGTCTAATTCCATTCCTTAATAATAATAATAATAAAACACCTTTATAGCTTATTTGTTTTTAACTAATTTAAGTTCTATAATTATTGCAATTTGATTTCTCGGTCTGTCTAAGCGTTTTCGTATTTTAACACCTTCTGTGGGTCTGATTGATTCTGTTAAGTCGACTTGAGCTTTAAAAAAAGTTACCTAGATATTGTTTCTTTATTAAAAAGAACATGTAACAAACATGTTAAACTAACTGTACACTACGTGTGTCACACACATATTTATTAAATAAGATAAATTTTACATAATTTTATTTTAAATTCATTAAAGGTCATACTTGGAGATTAGAAAAACCTTTATTTTTGGTAATTTTGCAATTATAAATTTAATATGAAACGAAAATACTGAAATTTACAGCATTATCGTTCGATCTGACTAAAAATGTTTTTTTCTAAATACTATTATAATTTTATCTAATGCAAATTTGGTTGTTCCAGCAAAAAATATGGTGGTGGAAATTTCGCTTTTTATAAACAGAGTATCAGCTGTAGACGAAAACAAAGAGGTACGTGCTAATTATTATTCAAATGATTTTGGAAATGCATATTTTCTCAGCCTTTCAACACAGACCTGCGCTTGGTCTCATTTTTTAGAAAATGTTACGCCGAACAAGAACGCTTTTTTAAAATGTTTTCCTAACTTCACTCATTCATCAGTAAATTCGGAAACATGTTAATTTTTGCACTTTTTAAGAAAATTTGAAATTAAACTATGGAGAAAAGAAATTGTCCTACATCGGCGCCCTATAGCAATTAATAGGAAATTGTAATAAGCTTTTAATTGGTCACCTTCCACTTTGCCCGATTTCTATACCATATTCGAGTTATTCTCGAATTTTGGGCCAAAACGTAGTTTTTTCGTGCTCATGAAAAAAAACCGATCATTCTCCCTCCCCATTTTACCACACATAGACCTTTAGTTTCAATACGTTATTCGAAGCCAAACAACCACAACACCTGTAAAATGGGAAGGAAAATTCGTACTTTCGTAATGAGGTAAACAAGTGGTTATCAACAGCAGAAGCAACCCGCATCCCAAAAGGTCAAAGTATGGGGGGGGCGTCTTTCACGGGGCTCCCTGTATACTAAGCCCGCAAGACCGGTGAGTCGTGCGGAAGTGTTGATCTTGGGCGCCGTTACGGCTTAAGTACAAGCATCGTTACACTAATTGAACAATCAACCAGCCGATAAATTGTTGTTTATATTAAAAGCCGTAATTTTTTTATAAGAAAAACAAAAACGTAAAATCAAAGATTAATGCTAAATCAGGCCAAATATTATAAACAAGACTTACTGACAATAAATCATTTCTTGCCCAACTCTTAATTTTTTAAGTAAACTATTTCTATGAATTGTAATATCCATAAAAAGAAAATTTTTACAATAGATTCTGGCATTTGTATTTGATTTTTCTGAGAAAGGATATTTCCGATTGGGGGGGGGTCTTTCACGGAACCCTCTGTATACTAAGCCCGATAGACCGGTGAGTGGTTTGGAAGTGTTGGTCTTGCGCCGTTTGGGCCTACTTACAAACAACGTTACATTAATTAAACAATCAAATAGCCGATAATTTAGTTATATATTAAAAGCCAGAATTTTTTTTAAATAAGAACAAGTAAAAACTTAAAATTAAGGATTAATGCTAAATCAAGTCAAATGTCATAAAGTCTATACTGACAAAAAACATTTCTTGGCCAACTCTCAATTTATTAAGTAAACTGTTTTTAGTATTCACATATAGTTAGTTATACAAAGAAAAAAATCAAAATGAATTGGCAATTGTATTTGATCTCTCTGTGAAGGGACACTTTCGATTGAGGGGCGTCTTTCAGGAGCTCCCTGTATACTGAGCCCGCAAGACCGGTGAGTCGTGCGGAAGTGTTGGTGTTGAGCGCCGTTTGGACATATTTACAAACAACGTTACACTAATTAAACTAGCCGATAAATTAATTCTTTATATTAAAAGCTATAAATTTTTTTAATAAGCACCAGGAAAAACCTAAAATTAAGGATTAGTGGTAAATCAGGTCAAATGTCATAAACTAAACTTACTGACAATTAAACATTTCATGGCCAACTATCAATTTATTAAGTAAACCATTTTTGTGTTTTTAGCATTCACAGATAGTTAGTTATACAAATAAAAATTTTAAAATGGATTCTGACATTTGTATTTGATCACCCTGGGAAGGGATATTTTTTGGGGGGCGTCGTTCACGGGGCTCCCTGTATACTAAGCCCGCAAGACCGGTGAGTCATGCCGAAGTGTTGGTCTTGCGCGCCGTTAGGCCTACGTACAAGCATCGTTACACTAATTAAACAATCAACCAGCCGATAAATTGTTGTTTATATTAAAAGTCATATTTTTTTATAAGAAAAAGAAAAACCTAAAGTATTAATGCTAAATCAGGTCAAACGTCATAAACAGGACTTACTGACAACAAAACATTTCTTGGCCAACTCTCAATTTATTAAGTAAACTATTTCTATGTTTTTAGTATTCGCAGATAGTTAGTTATACAAAGAAAAAATTTAAAATGGATTGGCAATTGTATTTGATTTCTCTGTGAACTGATATTTTCGATTGGGGGGCGTCATTCACGGGGCTCCCTGTAGACTGAGCCCGCAAGACCGGTGACTCGTGCGGAAGTGTTGGTGTTGAGCGCCGTTTGGACATATTTACAAACAACGTTACACTAATTAAACTAGCCGATAAATTAATTGTTTATATTAAAAGCTATAAAAATTTTTAATAAGCACCAGGAAAAACCTAAAATTAAGGATTAGTGGTAAAACAAGTCAAATGTCATAAACTGGACTTAGCGACAAAAAATGATTTCTTAGACAACTCTTACTTTTTTAAGTGAACAATTTCTATGAATTTTAGTATTTACAGATTTATTTCGTTGTATAATTTATACATTGAAATATATGAATAAACATGCAACTGTCCGAAAACCAAAATATGATAAGTGAATTTCATTAAGATACATGAAAATGGCGAAGTGCCGAAACGTGTCTGAGAGACCAATTCAACGAAAATAATCAAACCAAAATGATCGGTAAAAACCAAATTTCAACATTATTTCATATAAATAAATAAATCTTAGGGAAAAGGGTGGAAGGGTTTTTAACATAATTTGCGGTGGTTTACCCCGAAAATTATCTTAAAACAACTTTCACTACATTGTAATTCACGAACTAATTTACTAAATTTAACTACTGGTTGTTTACTTCTTAATGTTTAAAAAACTAAATATTAAATTTATCATGGAATAGGAAGCAATTTTTATGTTTTTTATTTTTTTAATTTAAGTCTAAAATTTGTGAATTATCTGCTTTTTTCCCAATATATAACTTGTATCAAAATATTTAAGACTCTAAGAAAAAAAACATGCATGTTCTGAATCTTTTTAGCAGAGGCGTAGGTTTAACGATAAATAACTTGTAGCTATTTTTTTTAAATCTTGAAAACCATGGCGTGTCTGAAGAGGCTTGTGTATTTTATAGAGGGGGTCCGATTTGCATAAAACATTCCGACTGCTGGCCATGCAACGAGATATAAATTTATTTCTACAACTCGACTGCACCGGAAAAACAGCTTTCGAATGGGATAATCATTCTGATTAATTTTTTTTAAACAAGACTCCTTTTAAATTCAAATGACCAAGAGGAAATACCATGAGTCACGTGCATTTTTCATTCATTTGTTTTGCAACCAAAAAATTTGCTTAAAATCGGAAAACAAATTATGACATAATCAATCTAATTATTACATCAAACTTTATTGATCTGACAGATTAATAAGTATTAGCATATTGCCATGGGTCATACACATATCCAAATAGTTAGATCACGTTTTATGAACCAATCAAATCAACCGTAATGCCAATCACCTACAAAATTAGGCATGTGCTTCTGACAGGAACAGATTTAATTACTCAACCAATAAAACGATAAAACAATTATTGTTTAAATTATAATAAATTACACACAATAAAATACCAAAGTCAATGTTAAATTTGTATCGATATAATTAAATTGGTCTAAAAATAAAGGTAATATTTAATAATAAGCAAAATATTTTAAAATATAAGCAAACCCATAAGAATAAAATAAAATATATTTCTTATGCCTGAAAGATTGCTAACATTGCGCACTGGCCATTAAGAAGAAATAGACTCTTCATAAATTTCTGTCCAAACATTTTAAAATGACCTTTTGGACATTTTCATAGAAACAATTTTAAATATGTTTTGGATGTTTTCAAGGATGTTTTGTTGCCAACTCTCGTAAAACTTGCTAGTCGCAAAGTAGCGAAGCAGTGATACTTCACCAATTTAAGGTCGAAGTTTCTAAATGAACTTTCACTCTGGTCTTATTAATAAAACGGCATCGAGTCCGATAAGTCTGGGATTTAATACAACGTGAAAGTTTCTTGTATGTCTGTGATGTTCCACGATATAGTGAGGATGTCTTCAATCAGTAATGGTGTTAACGGGTAAAACGGTTTATTTAAAAATAAATAATCTACAATGGATTTTCTGTTGTTTGAAACGACTTTTCGCCATTTTTTAATCTGTTTGAGAATGAAAATTGTCTTCTTTTCAATCCGTGATATTTAAAAAAATCAATTTGATATGTAAAAAGGATTTTTACCTTTTAGAAATTGGTGTAATGACCGAAACAAATAATATAATAAACGAAGAATACAAAGGGGGAAGAATATTTAGCTATTAATTTAATTCAATTTTTCTCCTTTTTTTATTAACATAACATGGATAATATTCATATTCTTATTACCTAGTTGCTAAAAATTTAAAAATTTGATTTGTTTAAAATCTCTGCTTTAATAAGTCATCAACTTCAGAAGGTCCACAGCGAACTTCATCATCCTAGATGTCCAATTTCCGTCTTTAAAATTATTATTAATTCAATTATTTATTCTTTTTATCTAAGGTCTTGGTTGAGATAAAAAAGTCAGCGTGACGAGAAGGATTCGAACCTACGACCTTTCAGCTCAATACGCCGCTTGCCAGCTGCTCTAACCACCTGAGCTATCGTGACTTCGATCCATCGGGCACCAATACCTCATCTCAATCTACAACCTTATTTACCATTTTTCATCAATTTGGATCGAAGTCTCAATAGCTGAAATGGTTAGAGCTGCGGCGTATTGAGCGGAATATCGTGGGTTCGATACCCTCTCGACGCACTGACTTTTTCATCTCGACCAAAACCTTAGATAAAAAGAATAATAATTTTAAATAATTAACTAAAATACTATCGAACTTTTACATCAAAACCAAATGAAGCACATTTCATCTTCAAATGTCCCATTTTTCGTATCGTAATGCTCTCCTTGAAATGACATCTCAAAAATAAATTATTAACGACAGAACTGGTGAATTTAAAAGCAAACCCTGAATGAGGATAAAATCATTTAACCAGTTGTCAGAAGTGATTTGTGTATTTGAAAGTTTTTTGCACCCTTTTTATGACCGACTCTCAACTTATTCGGTAAAAAATCTCTACGTTTTTAATATCTACAGCTAGTAAAACAAAGAAAACAATTAAAAATCGTTTTGGGTATTTGTATTTTGTCTATGTGAAGAGATTTTTGCGATAGGGGGGTTTTTAATGTAACGTCCTGTATACTAAACCCGCAAGACCTGTCAGAATTGAAGAAGTTCGGTCTAAACTAGGGCTTGAAATTTTACGGGGAAACGAAGGCATTGGAAAGATTTTTGCGTGACATGAAGTGAACAATGATCCTGATATTGGCATTTGATAAATATCCAGGACGAGCGGTATATCGAGGTCGAGAAGACAAAGACTTCTGAAGTGATCTCATTTTCATCCCTATCTTGCAAAATAAAGTAATTCCTGTCTTTAACTGCCATATGCCCGTTGGGTATTTCTGACATGGGATCAGAACCACTTTACAGTATCTTTTCCAAATTAATCTTAAATAAAATAAGGATTTATGGCTGTCGTGTAGTCAGGGCGTCCGACTACCATTTTGCCACATCAGCTGTTCTAAATTCATCCTTTTCGTATATCTCTACCAAGCATTGTCTTCTGAAAATAAACGCAAAAAGTTCACGGTCATGCAAGAGTCAAATCGGGGTTTCTTCGAAAACGTTTTAATCTCCGACAAAGCTACTTTTAATAGTGATGGATTAAATAATCTTTAATCTAAACTGATGCTGTCAGATTGACCATCAACATCAGTGGTCGATAAATTTACGGTGTGGTCCTTCGAAATTACTGTGAATTAAATTAGACGGAAAATCATTTTTAAACTGTTTTTCATTTTTAAACTGTTTTCTTTGTTTAATTATCTAAGTAGAGATTGTTTACTGAATAAATTGTGAATTGGCCTTGAAAAGTGTTTGGTTACTAAAGCCCATTGAACCCCCAAAACGTGTCTAATATTACAGTATTGCCAAAACAAGTTTCATTCAAATCCACCCGTAGTCTTCCCTTCCAAATAAAAAAAGAGATGTACAACACGACGGCAAACTTATGAACAATTTCGTATTAAAGAGCTTTAAATGAGGCTTACAACTTGTTTTTTCACATTTTTGACCTAGTTTATTTAAAGTATCTTTTAGTTCTGGTATTTTTTTAAATATAATCTCATCTAATGCATTTCTGCATATCATTTTCTTATCTTATAGTCTTAAATAATTGACAGATTATTTAAAATCAGAAAATCATATTAAACAAAAATTGAGTAAATTACTTAATATATTTTTCTCTTCTCCTAGGGCCTATTGGTAAGAATGCTTGGATACGTGTTTAATATTTTTTATATAATATTACGAAAAACAATTGAGAAATGTGATCCCTTGTTAGTATGTCCAATTTATGACCATGTGGCTTGATTTAATATTATTTCTTTAATTCACATTTTCTTCATGTTATTTAAAATTTTTTGGTCACTTTTAATATATCTAGTGATTTATGAGCTAGTTGATTGATCAATAATATTAGTGTCACGTTACTTGTACTTAAGCCGTAACGGCGCGCAAGATCAACACTTCCGCACCACTCACCGGCCTTGCGGGCTTAGCATACAGGGAGCCCCTGAAAGACGCCCCCCAATCGAAAGTATCCCTTCACAGAGAGATCAAATAAAATTGCGCATCCATTTTAAAAATTTTCTTTGTATAACTAACAATCTGCGAATACTAAAATTCATAGAAATAGTTTACTTAAAAAATTAAGAGTTGGCCAAGAAATGATTTATTGTCAGTAAGTCTAGTTTATAACATTTGGCCTGATTTAGCATTAATCGTTAATTTTAAGTTTTCTTTATCTTATAAAAAAAATATGATTTTTAATGTAGGCAACAATTTATCGACTGGTTGATTGTTTAATTAGTGTAACATAGCTTGTAAGTAGGCTCAAATGGCGCTCAAGACCAACACTTCCGCACGACTCACCGGTCTTGCAGGCTTAGTATACAGGGAGCCCCGTGAAAGACGCCCCCCTCCATCTTAAATATCCCTTCACAGAGAAATCAAATACAAATGCCAGAATCCATTTTAAAATTTTTTTTATAACCTACAATCGGTGTATACAAAAACATAGAAATAGTTTACTTAAAAAATTAAGAGTTCACCAAGAAATATTTTATTGTCAGTAAGTCCAGTTTATAACAGATGACCTGATTTAGCATTGATCCTTAATTTTAGATTTTTCCTTGATCTTATTAAAAACAGTATAGCTTTTAGTATAAACAATTAATTTATCGCCTATTTGATTGTTTAATTAATGTAACGTTGTTTGTAAGTAGGCCCAAACGGCGCTCAAGACCAACACTTCCGCACCACTCAACGGTCTTGCGGGCTCAGTATACATGGGGCCCCGTGAAAGATGCCCCTCAAAATACACATGCCAGAATCAATTTTACATTTTATTAGTATTAATATGAAAACACAATATCCTTGCAAAAAAACCTTCAAATACACTTTATCAGCATTTTTTGATGTAAATGAATTCTGCCAACGGGTTTAATTTTTTTAATTACAACGACTTTTAAGCACGATAGTCAAAATTTTAGATTATGTGAGAAACAAAGCCAAGTTTTTTTGTTTGTTTTTTAATACTTATTTTATCACTTTCTTGATGCACTCCAATACGATGGGTATTTGTTTAAAATGTAGAATTAAAAAGAATTTTTTTTTCTTCGGACGTATTTTTGAATTTTTTTAGCTGTGAAGATTTGCGATTGAACATGATGCAAAATTAGTTTGATTTGTTGCAGGAAATATCGCTGGAAGTGTTTCTCCAAGTTTATTGGGAAGATCATAGGATCAACATAACCGAGGACCTCCTCGATCTGGACCACCTGGAGCTGACATGGGAAAAGGAGCAGAAGTTCTGGGTCCCGGACCTCTACATACGCCAATTGAGGGACATGAAGGTCCTATCGCTCTTCCAAGAAATGACGTCCGTCAGGCTGTACCGGAACCACACCATGAGAGTCAGCATAGGGTGAGAACCCCACAGATGGCTCTTTTTGCAATTTATGCGAATCGCGTGATCCCACTGGAAAATGTTTAACGATTTTCCCGGATCGGTATAACGTGTCGTCACGCCATCCAATCTCACGTCTTAAAGTTAAGAAACGCCTAAATCGCGAAGAAACAGTTGATAGAGACAAAATCGATGCTTCCTTGAAAATTATGACTTTAGAGAGATTTTTTTCTAATTTGTACAGTTTCAAGGTAAGAAAAATATCCATAATGTTTTCCATTCTTATACACGGCTGAAAAGACCTTAGCACACCTACAAACGACTGAATAACAAGAAATGCAATTTCAATTTATCTTTTATATGATTTGCCTCTAACCAAATACAAATTCAACCAAAAAACCTGTTTAACAAAACTCAATGGACAAATTCGTCATTTAAAAAATAAAAATAATAAAATATAAACAAAGAAATTTTGTAAACATTTTCCTACATAAACCAACAATTGAGATTTACTACTTTAAAAAAAATTATAGAATCTTTGCTTTAGCAATAATTATAAGTATGGGGTAATTGTTAATCAATAATTATTTGTTTTGCTGTGTGAGGAATTTCACTATTTCATTGTAAGCCATTATGGTGTTAATGAATGGCTGTCAGCAGTTTTAACTGATTGCATCTGATTCTCTTTGATTTGGATTTAAGAAAAATTCCTAAAATCTTGACAAAACAATGTACTCTTCAAAAACTTTCCTATACATTGTTGCAATTTTTATAATTAAAAACTACCTTGCTATTTACAAATGTAGGAATTGTATTCTCATAAGCGGTCAAATGAAGAATTCGTTTGGATTGATTTTGTCGCCTTTAGTTCAATATTAAAATTACGTTTTAATTTGGTTTTGTTTTTTTGGTAAAATTGTTTGATATTAAGATTAAGGTTTATCGATTACCCTGTGAAAGTTGAGGTCGGAGTTGTGGATAGCCCCCAACCAGACACCGATGACATTATAGTGGAATTTAAATGTCACTGTGAGCATTACTTTAATAGAAAAATCATTAAATTAAAATGTCTAAATAGATTATATTTTCAATAAAGGCTATTTACAAAGGCTAGATGATGAAACTGTTTAGTTTAAAACTAGGTTTTTTAATTAACATATTTTCAACTTAATTAAAAGTTGTTTAAAAAATTTTAAAAAAATTATTAAAATATCAAATATCAGTTCTCCTTTATTTGATTTTTTTTTAATGTCTTTGTCCACCAAACTGCCGACTCATAGGTTATCATGGGTCTAACAAACCGCTGAGTATAATCATATGGATAGCTTTGGATTTACTCTCAAGTTTTTCCGACAAAGACATTTACATCTGCCAATGGTAATTTTCGTAGTTTGTGTAATTTTATTGGAAAGAAAGTTTGGAATTGATAATTTAAAGCATGATGCATGTAGCCAATCATAATCCAGCTTAGAAAATTTCTGAGAATACTTAAAAACTTGTTTTGGACAAATTGAAGCTTATTGTATTTAAACACCCATGTATTTGAGCAGAAGATGAATACATAATTACAGAATTAACACATAATTCATAAAAAATTTTCGTACTTGAGTGGGATCTTTTGTTGTGGATGGGAAAAAGGTAGTTTATTGCTGCTAGACTGGCTGAGCATTTTTTATTGACTTTGAAGACAAAATTTATTGTCCAAGTGAAATTTAACTACGATCGGCCATGGGATGACAGTTATTAACATCACATAATCTTGTATGGGCCTATGCCTAGAAAACAAAATAGCTTCAGTTCTGATGCTATTTAACCTAATTTTCGACTTTTTGAAGAATTTGAAACATTTTTTTCTACGGATAGCATTTAGTTCTTTCTGGTAACAATTCAAGCAGTGCTAAGTTTGAAGGTGGTTTGATGTCTTTAATGTTGTTTATTAAGAATGTTAATTAATGTAGGACCTAGCAAGGAACCTTGCGTAACTCCTGCTCCAATGCATTCTAAGAATGACTAAAAATTTTCCCCTACCACTTCAGTTAGGATTCAAATTAATCTGAACCACTCAAAGACCACACTAAAAGTTGTTAAATTTTAATAAGATGAAAACTATTGTGTTTTATTCAAAACCATTCTGAATAATTATTAATAAAAAATACTATGGTAAGAGGTCCAAAGATGATTTGATGTCTTTATATCAGTCATGTTAAATAATGTAAGACCCAGCTTGAGGCCCTCGGGCACACCTACTTGAATGCTTCCTATGAGCTTATGTTGTGCTTATTATTTAACTGTTTGCAATATTCCACACAAATGCGGGAATAACCGACAAATAAAAAATATACCATTTAATAATAGTAAAATATATAATAATTATATTTAATCTTAAAACTTCAAGCTGAGACAACAGAATTTTCATCAAGATCGTGGTAACTTTTGAAAATATATATTGCCTCAAAGTTGTAAAAAAACTTTTAATCTAATTAATAATTGTAAAGGAAAAACTATTAGCTCTAAAACGTTTACATTAAGTGCCAAATTCTTTGTGAACATGTTTAAATTATTTAGAAGCCTATTGACTAATTACACCGTTGTATGAAGCGAGTTCTGAGAAAGTTTATTGTTAAAATATTTTCTTATAATGTTGACCTTTTTCAATACATCTTTAAAGGTTGCGCGAGTTATAAATGTTACATAAAAAAAGAAAGGCCAGTTTTTACATCAATCATAAGCTACATTTAAACTTTATAAAAAATATACATACATATATTAAAAACAGATTCTTACATAGTTATGTTTACAATATATCTATTTTCAGGGCTACAGTTTTAATAAAATGCGACATGGACTTTGTTCTGTACCCGTTAGATGTACAAAAATGTGCAGTTGACTTTAGCAGTTGTAAGTTGCTCACAAAGTTTTTTGTACCGCTGATACTGACAACATGCTATTTTCCATTTTCATAGATAAATACACAGTTCCGGACATGACTTTTAAATGGAGAGATGATCCACCTCTGAGCTTTCCAAGCGACTTCGGCAAAGACGGTTACAGACTGCCGAAATATGTCGTCTCATTCCAGCCGATACAAGACAAAATGCACATCATCTACTACGGTGAAGGTGAGCCTGGTAATTACCATTAAACATTAAATTCTTTCACCTTGCACTTAATAAAATATGTTTAAAAAATAATTTAAAAGAGTTTAATCAAATTAATGCTGTTTGCCCTTTAAGGGAATCATTCGACAGCCCGGATGTTGATTACGATGAGCAGAGAGATACGCAGCCACCTACTTGAGAGCTATCTCCCAAGCACCCTCTTCGTAATCATGTCCTGGGGTAGCTTCGTCGTAATGCCGGAGGTTGTCCCTGGAAGGATGGTCCTCCTTGTCACCACGCTGCTCTCGCTTGTTACCATGTTTGATACGATTAGGTAAGGCTAACTAAAAACTACAAATCTCTAGAATATCAGCGTTATTAACTACGGGGCAGTTACTCATCCAAATTCAAATAGTTTTATACCATATTTGAAACATTTTTAAACTTTTGTATCATTTTGGCTTTCAGAGTAAACACAAGTATCATTTCGCTTTAAATATGCAGTGTAAATTCTTTTTGTAATTTAGACAACCACATCTGACTTGATTAAGAAAAAACAAATATAAAATCAAGTTTTATTAAATTCATTAGTTTGCAGTTGTTTTTTTTTCTGAGCACTGGATTGTGACCTAAAAGATTATGCCCCAATACTGGCTGGCTTATTAAGTTAAATTTATGCAATTATTTAGAACAAAAAATTGATTTTTAATTAATTAATTAATTAATTAATTGTATGCAAAGTGAGGTTGAGATGAAAAAAATTAGAATCAGGGGTGAGATTTGAACCCACGATTTCTGGATTAGCACCCTGTATTTTCCCAAACCAGAAACAATTTTTTTATGGCATAAAAGTGGTTTAAAATCTGTAGCTGTTTATGATGTTATGTTGCCTACCATCTCAATGACAATATTTAAATTATGACATTTCTCTCTCCCCAATCATGTCCCACCCTCACTAAAAGCCATTATGTTAAGATTTCTGCAAGTTGATTTTTAAAGCTCTATGTTTCGGTATATTTTTGGCATAAATTTATTGATACAGCAACTGATGCTAGAAGCACATTACAAGCCACTAAACCGGATTCTTTTATGCTAAAAGGTCATTTAGAAGAGAGAGTAAAAGTGGGCTTAAGTATGCAGTCTTAAAAACTTTTCTGACGAAAATACCAAAATATTGCAAAGCTTATAAACAGTACTTTAATAATATTAAAATATTATACAAATACAATTTAATTTAACCTAATAATCCCTAACCATCCCTAACCAGTCTTGTTCTTTAATTAAAAGCTTTATTAACATTTTAATTACTATTAATATAAATTTTAATTTTTGGTGTAGTGATCAAAAATATTTACCCCTTCACACACTTTTGTTTCAGCAAAGCCAAAGGTCGTGGGTTCGATTTCCACTCGTGACACTAACTTTTTTATCTCAATCAAGACCTTAGATAAAAAGAATAATTAATTTAAATAATTAATATGGTCAACTATGACCGCTAAACGTATATGGACAAAATTGAAAATTTAACTTTTTGAGTCCCACTAGGTCAAAATTCATCCAAAGAAATTCAAAAATGTGAATAGACCAAATTTATTCATCTGTTGTATAATCAATTCCAGAAATAATTCACCAAGTGCCTTGGAGCTGAAGTGCATCGAAGTATGGCTCATTTCATGCACTCTGTTCGTCTTTTTCGCCCTCCTCGAGTACTTCATCGTGCTGTTCGGCATCAGGTACGACAAGCATTGGAGGCACAAAAAACAGGAGGTGGAGCAGTTTGACTTAAACAGCCATTTGAACAAGGAAAGGATGAACAGGCTTTTCACACATCCAAAAGTCTCACCGCAGGACGGTCACACAAACTCCCTCTCAAAAGGCAATTCACCATCACAGAACAATGCGCCTGGGGTAACAATATTTTTTTTGTTTTTTTAAATTTACAAAGAAACCTCTATTTCATTGAGCCGACGTTTCAGAAAATGTATTTCCTTTTTCACAGCTACACCTAGGAACACAATACAAATTCATGATGAAATTAAAAAAAAATATATATATCAAACTAAAACTATAAATTAGAATAGGTATTCAAATTTCTAAATTAATACAAACTAAAAAAGCTATTCATTTTAAACTTGTATTAATGTAGAAATTAAAATATTTGTTATAGTATAGTTTTAGTTTGATGATTTTTTTTTTTTTTATTTCATCATAAATGTGTGTTGTGTTCCTAGGCATAGCCTTGAGAAAGGAAATATGTCTTCCAAAATGTCACCTCAATGAAATATCTACCATAAGTATCCACTATCTCCACTTCATCGTCACTATAATCATCAACAATCATCACCTAGCATATTTTTTTCTAATTTTATTTATTTATTTCAGCTGGAAGTGGACGGTAATCCTGAAGCCGGCACTGGACCAGATGGCCGGGGAATCACCGGGAAACAGAAATTTCAATTGCTCACACAACACGTGATACTTTACGTTGGCTCACAGCGTGGTACTATTGACCAGGTGTCGCTAGCCCTCTTCCCACTCTGTTTCACTCTTTTTGCAGTAACCTACTGGATATCTTATATTAGCGAATCAAGAAAAAGAGCAGGAGCATGACCCAGGCCAATTAACTCTCACCTCTCAGTAATTTATCCAATATGAATTTGTATTGGTATAGAATTGACCAAGAGAACAGGGAACTAAGCAAGAAATTATCAAAGCGCTGTTCATATTGTTACAGTGGTTTTGTAAAGACCATTTTCTGTGGTCTTGATTTCTGGCAATTTGTACAAATGCTAAAGAAGATCTCCAGGATTTTCATTACAGATTTTATATTTTAGACTTTTTTGTACATAAATCTATCAAGTTTAATATTTTCACATATTGTTTTCAATAGAAACACTTAAAGATTTTAACGCGCACATATCGACACATATTGTAATAAATGTCACACTAAGCGATCTTAAAAATGTTACAATTCTTTTGCTACAAAACTTTTCTTTTAATTCGAATAAATTATAGATTGTAGATATTGTATTTAGAATGAGGAAGGGGTTTCTGACCCTATGTGCCAAATTTTAAAAAGTACAAACGTAAGGTTTAAATTTTTCTCAAAGTTGTGTTTAGGTTCAAATGTGCAAAACATTAAAAGTTTGAGGATTACCATAAAAAATACAAATACTCCAACTAAGCCAATATGAAACAAAATTAATTGAAAATGTATTTTAAATGTTTAGCTTGATTTATTTTATTAATCACATTATGTTTGGTGGTCTTAATTGACCATATTAATTATTTCAATTAATTATTCTTTTTTTTTTGTGTAAGGTCTTGGTTAAGATGAAAAAGTTAGTGTAACGAGTGGGATTCGAACCCATGACCTTCGGCCTGTGCCAAAGGTCGTGAGTTCGAATCCCGCTTATTACACTCACTTTTTAATCTCAACCAAGACTTTACATTAAAAAAATTATTATTATTATTATTTATTTATTTTGTTTGATCTAAAATTACCATTGAGAAAATACTAAAAGTATTATGAATTTTTTATAGAAAATGTTCGTCAGAATAAAAAATAAATGACTGTTAAACATTTGGTCACAGTATTTACTACCGCATCAATAAACATCAGTTTTCATAAAATTTCACTTTCGATTTTCATAATTTACTTGTGCTCTGTTAAATGAAATGAGCCATTTATAATCTGTTTTAATTTTAAAACGTCAAACAAAACTGTGACGCACTTTGCAAAAGTTTAGATTTGATTATGCCAAATTTTGTGATAGGTGAAATTTAAATAAACAAAATCATTAATAAGAGATTCTCGGTGTTAGAAAATAATTATACTTAAAAGTAATTTACTATTCAGCATTGTTTTATTAATGTCGACATCAAAAGGATACAGTTATAAGTATTCTATCAATAATAATTATTATTTTTGCCTGTTTGTTTTTACATGTAGTCCAATTGTGATGACTTAGCCGTCCACTTTTTTACTAGTGCTTCTACTGACAAAGTGTTTCTTAATAAAAACAATTTCCAACCGAAAATCTATACATTCGCCAAAATGAAAATTACAGAGGAAAAAAACAGTTTAACATAGCAAGGTGCCTGAGACATCATGAGAAATACTATGTATTTTACCTGTCAAGAAACATACACAATGTTCTGTGATAATTTTAAAATGTTAAAATGCTATTTCCTATTTCAAATTTTTATAATTTTATCCATGCATTTATGGTTTCTTATGTAGTGCAAAATTTCTAGCAATTATTAGAAATTTATAATGTAAAAAGAAAATCTTCCCGTCTGTACATATGTTATATAGTTTTATATTTGTATTTACTGTTGAAATAAAAAAATTTAATTACTTTGGTTATTAGGCAAATATCGTCAAAAATTATTTATTTAAATAAAGTTCCAAGTAAAAATGAAAGTTTTTTCCATACTGTACCAATGTCCATACAAGCCAAGTTTTAGTTAACTTTTTTATAGTTATTACTTAATTCTAAATCTAATCAGACTTAGTAATATTTATTACTTTGAGAACAATAAATATTTTGGTGCTTACAAAACATTTTTTTCTTAGCTTAATTATGTGTCTCTTAACTGATGGATGTCATTCTTTGGATCCATATAGGGAGCCATGTACACAACAGTTTTCCAGTCTGAAATCATAGCAATTTGAAACCGAGCCAGAGGAATAAAAAGGCTAGGAACACATTCCAGGAAGATAGCCATTTTCTCTAACAGTCAGGCAGCACTTAAGGCCTTAGCCTCATGCGAGGTAAACACAAAAAGCTTACGGAATTGTATGGAATGCCTGGGAGAAGTCAGTGACACCAATGACCATGGTATGGATCGCTGGGCATTCGGAGCATAGAGGCAATGAGAAAGTGTACATGACCAAAAAAAGGATTCTATATGAATTCTCCTTTCAAAAAGATAGTTCCTACTCACAGTAAGTTGTTTTCCAACGATCCAGATTTTGAGCTTTTAGCTCGGATCGTTGGAAAACAACTTACTATGAGTAGGAACTATCTTTTTAAAAGGATTGAACACTGCACTCACTCAACCATTCATCATTTCTCTATGAATTCTCTACCCCCCCCCCCAGAAGCCTAGCCATGGCCTAGCATATTGCCATAAAAAAGGACATATCGAAAAATGGATCCTTAATGAGTCAAACATGAGTCATGCAGACTCATAGAAGGGCCATCTGCAAGACTTACAAAGGAATAGTTATTAGGGTAACCACAACAGAATCAGGATTCTGGTTAGACTGCTGACAGGTTTTATTTTTTTTGCAATTTCAAGTATGAGGTAATATCAACCCTTGGGATGCCAGTGTTTTAGTGTTTTATTTGTAAGAATGGGTTCGAATCAGAGTGATGAGTGGCGAGTCAAAACCTAAACAATTGCAGACACCGACACCCCCATAAATTTTGTTTATATTTACTTAAATGTTGTTTGTAGTTCTTACAGGAAGGCTTATCATCTAACTACCTGTTGGGTGTCAGGGACAAGAAATCAAACCACTTTACAATACATACAATAATCCATAAAAAAAAAACCATGGGCTCTACTGGGATTCAAACCCAATACCCCTAGCATAGCAAATAAGAGTTGCACACCCCAACCACTTGGCTACTGCGGTCTCCTACCTTTGCTACAGAGTAGAAAGTAAAATTGGTAAAGTAATTCCTGTCATACAATAATAATGTTCAATTAACCACTGGGTGTAGCACATTTGGTGTCAAATCACTTTACAATACGTTTTTTCATACTGTTTTATCACAGTGAAATTTATAAGGGCCGCCCAAAGCCCTTCCACAAGCCACCAAAGCCAAAAGGCCTGTTGGGTTAGGGATTTTGTTTTGTTTTTTTTGTGGACTGGCACGTTTTCCTTGGCTAAAAGAAAAAAAGGTGTCCATCATCAAAGACATCAGCCCACTTTCATCTAGTGGGAATCATCGCATAAGGTTTTTCAATTTTAATTTGTTTTTTTAAAGGATTTTCTTATTATTATCAGTTACAACATTAGAGTTAAATATTTCATCTGTTTTAATTAACACAACGTTGTTTTGTAATTTGTTTGTTTAATCTCATTAAAGTAAAAACAAAAATTAATCAGTTTTCTTTTCAAATTGTTAATTTCAAATTGACAATATTAATTTCAAACATTGTTTAATATTTCAATTCAAGAATTGTTTCTGTTTTTTAATATTATTTTGATTTATTCAGTACTCACCACTTTTCTAACCTTTCAAATTTATTCAAACAAGGAAAAGATTCACTCCTATGAGAAAGAACATAATGGTAAGGCAATAATTTTTTTTTTTTTTAAACCTTGGGCTATGCCAGGATTGAACCCAGGACTGCTAGTCTGGCAAATACAAGCTGGACACCTAACCACTCGACCTCCGCAGTCCCATGTTATGATTATGTTAACACTCGTATTTCACTATTCATTAATATGTACCTAATATTGAAGTTTTTTTTTTTTCATTTTTGTTTTGGCAATTGTACTATCCCTGTGTGGAGTGACTGGGCACCTTTCTACATAATACTGACATGGTTGCCAGGAATTTGAGAGTGCTTGACGGTTTGTCAAGGTTGAAGCAGGAAGTTTGTGTTTGGTCATTAACTACACGAAGACAATGTACATGCTTTCCAAAAGAGGTCAAGGGCAAGTTAATTCCGCTTCCATGGCGAGGCATCAATGGCGAGGCTTATGAGCACTGTAAGGCCTTTAAATATTCCTGCTTATCATGGATAACAGTATGAAATAAGAAATCTGGGTGAGAATTGCCACAGGAAACAGGTGCTACTTTTCCTTGGGGAATATCTTCAGGTCCTTATCTCTCAGAGAAATTTGAAATTGAAAGTCTATCGAACTATAGTGAGGCCAGTGTTACTTTATTGCTCTGAAACGTGGACCATGACGTGTGCTGAATATTTTTTAAGGCGTTTCACAAGAAAAGTCCTCCGGAAGATCTGGCGAATTCGTACAAATGGGAAGTCGAAAGTACTAGAAACCAGATGCTGAAATAAAAGCTAGCCTCAGGTTGGCCACATGGGAAAAATGTGAGATTAAAGGACTGTAAAAGTTTACTCAGGTAAGCCAGTTGGTAGATAGCTGCAAGGATGGCCTAGAAAGAGATGTTTTGGATGAATTTTAACGCATCCAGGGGATTCTGAAAGATGCAGATTGATCAATGGAGGAGATGCCTGGGCAGAAGATACTGGGCTAGCATTGCAGAGGATGCCAGGGCCCTTCAAGGGCTGTATCACCAAGTAATAGTAGTTGTAAAAGAAAAAAATTAATTACAAGTATTTAAAAAAATTAAAAATTCAACAGGAAAATACTTAAATTTATATTTCTCAAGAATGTTCAGATCAGGTGGACAATTTGATTGATGGTTTTTGTATTAGTTAGCGGGGTTCCGATAAATATTAGTCGTAGCATTTCAGCTAGTATACAAAAGAGTTTTGTAAACTTTTCGTCCCTTTTAATCTATGCATGAAATTTTTAGACAGGCCTATAAATAACTTTATAAATAAACACACCTGATTAATTTGAGCCTGTCCACATCTTCATGTCATTCAAACTTCAAAGGATTGTCTTACCATGCTGGAATTATAAACATGATCAAACCCAACAATTGAAGCGGTGGAATGCTAAGATATTATGGTCAAGACAAAATTGAAAAGAGGTATAAATTTAAATTTTCATCAAAAATCCCAATGGTTTTTCATATGAACAATCAATTTATAATAATATTTATGTATTTCCAGCTAAAATAAATGTAAATAAACAGAGAAAAAGGTAAATTATTAATTTATTTACAATAATTAATGAGTCTACCTTGTGAATACTAATATTTTAAACATATCCGTACAAAAAACCTTCAGCGTGAGCTTTGCTTGCATCATTGGATGCCGCTTTGATCCTTCTTCCGATCGGCTCCAAATCGTTGTAGCATTTTGGAAATACTCTTTCAATAGCGGCCTTGGCTTCCTCGATTGATACCTTTCTCACAGCAAGGATAGACTGGAGGGCCTTCAATTTGACGCACTCCTAAAAAAAAGCATTTCGTCAGTTTTTCAACAGCTAAAGTGACCGTTGTGAGTTGTATACCTGATGCCTGTTTTTGAAGTTGATGGGCGTAGCGTTCCCCTGGATCATAGAACTTGTAAAACTGCAGTGAGTCAAGTTGGCGGCTCTCACCTCGGTACATGCAAGATGGTCAATGTTACGGAAGTCGAGTTTATTATTACAATAATCGAACATGTGAATCATTTCATGTGTGAGGATCCCTTGGATAATACTTTCCTTATTTGATGTGTTCTGACAAATAACAATCTGAAATGACCAAATTCTTGGAAAATTAGATAGAAGGCTTAATTATAATCTTAACTATATGATAGAAACAATAACTACTACAATACTAGAAAGATAAAAGTGGTGAGTAATAAAAAATATATCTTAAATCTAAGTTAAAATACACTCAATGACAAAAAACCCAGACACTCTTATTTTGTTTATTTCAAACTATATGTAATATGTATTTTTAAAATCATATTAATTACAACATATTTATAAGCCAATTTATATAAGCCAAATTAAAAAAATCAAAAATTAATTACTTTTAATTTTTATTAGTTTAGATTTTTTGGAGGGGGGAGGGCATAGCTGTGCTCTTCATAGATGAGAGCAGTTTGGTTTGTGGCAATCAGATGCCTGGTACTGTGTGTTGAAAAGTGGAGAATGCTTTGCTTCATGGATCATGCAGGATTCGAAACAGTTATGGCATGGTCTGGAATCAACATCCAAGCCTGTACCGAACAGATTATCATACAGAATGGATCTTTGTCTACACTACGATACATTGAGGAATCATTAGATGAATCATGAATTAAATCATGAATCATGAAAACATTTATAGGACATGATAAAGAGACAACAACCTCCAGCAAGCATTGAACATCTTGTGTGGTGGTTAGTGACTGTTAATCGATAATTATTCAGAAATCATGGGATGCGGTCTGGTGTGATGTACGTTTCAGAAAAACATTTTCTTTATCGTGCCAACGTTTCGATCTTTATTGAGATCATCTTCAGGGCCTGGGATTTACAAACATTGTTTACATTTAACAAATACATGTAGGATGTGGAAAAAAGTGAATTTATACAATGCAAAATGTATTTTTTATATTCAATCGATAAATCATCAATAGAAATACTTTGATTTGAATATAAAAAATATATTTTGCATTGTATAAATTCACTTTTTTCCACATCCTACATGTATTTGTTAAATGTAAACAATGTTTGTAAATTCCAGGCCCTGAAGATGATCTCAATAAAGATCGAAACGTTGGCACGATAAAGAAAATGTTTTTCTGAAACGTACATCACACCAGACCGCATCTCAGATTTCTGAGTAATAATTGAACATCTTTTTTTCTTTTTTCTTTTTAAACAAGGGCATTTCAACTACGAGGTTATTTCAAGCCTCAGGGTGCCGGTGTTTTCGAAAAAAGCCCATGTCTAAGTATGTCAGGTACTGACCTAGGAGATTTGAGGTCTACTAAGAGGCATTATTAAGAGCAAAACCATTGTTATATTAATTACAGCATATTTATTTTAATGTAAACCAAATTAAGCGAGAAAATACATGAGTTTTAGTAAAAATTATTTGGTTTGAAAGAAAATTCACCAAAACATCAGAAAACCATTTAGTGAATGATTAAAATTTTAATTACCTGGTTTTGCTCTTAATACATAATGCCTTAGAAAGAAGAAAATAATCTCTACCACTTTTTTAGTGTAATATTCTGTAAGGGATAACTTTACCTTTTCAATTGTAAGCATGTTGGGTTCAAATGCAGGGTCGCTGGATTCGAACCCAGGACCTTTACCTTACAGTTGAGCTCCGTGTCAATGCCTAAACTGTTGCGGCCACCGACACCCCTTTAGCAGTGATAAATTAAAGAATAACAATTTATTACTGGGTTTTGCTCTTAATAACACATATTACATCCTCTAGCCTTGCAGAGGGCATTTATTCTTCTAAGCATTGAGTAAATAAGCAACTGGATTTCTCCTTGTGAAACAAAATCCCATTCTTCTGTTGTTTTCTAGTTTTCTAGGATTCAGAACATGCTGGCAAATTCATTGTGGTAATCCATACATCCTCTAAGTAATGGGTGACAACTCAATGGCACCACTGCTTCCAGAAGAACTATCTCAATGTACTTCAGTGCTCTCAAAGATCCATTCTGTGTGATAATCACTTCGGTATGAGTACAGATGTTGATTCTACCCCATGCCATAACTGATTGTCTTTGAAAAGGTTGTGACTCCTGCATGGTACATGAAGTAAAGCTATTCTCTACACACCTGCTATACAACTACCACAAACTAAATTGTCACTCGTATATGAAGAGAACAGCCCCCATTGTTCAAGTATCTCAAGAGAGATGCTGCTTTGCGATGCCTCTCCAGTAGTAAAGAATCTGAAACGGGATGACTAGAGACTAGGCTATTCTCACAAAGCCTTCTGAAAAGTTCACTTTACAGACCGTTTGGGGTTGACTACCTATCAAGGAAGCCATTAAAAGACCTTAGTGCAGTAAGAGCAATGTAACAATTGGTTCTAGCCATCATACATGGCAACTACTTTCTCTTCAATCAAGACTTCCGATTGCTCTAAACCTATGAAGACCATCATGGATGGTAGAGTGTGGCACATCCAGGAATTGAGCTATCTAACATCTCTTGTTGTTCAAAGCAACTGCCCGGGCAAGATCTCGACTTAAAATCATGCTTATGAAAAAATAATTTTTTTTTTTACTCAAATTTATTGATTCAATCACGAAAACCATTTAAAAAACCAATTAACTACTCGACAAGTAGTCTTTGTAAAGGATGAAATTTAATTATTTTCTTTTTTAATCATAAGAGTATACAAGTATTAGTAACACCCAATGTAGTTTACTATGAAGGTAAACAAGTAGAGATGGGCAAATTTGAGATTGATTTAACTAATGATGAATCATTAACATTTAATCATTAATCATTACTGCATTAGGATTTTTTCAGATCCTTTTGTATTAGCTATGGTCTGTTTTTGTTCTTTGACTGAATATGCCAAATTAGAAGATCAACGATTGGCTTGAAATCCGAAGAAGGCTCGTATTGTAATATGAATAATATTTAGTCGTGCATTGTATGACAAATAAAGTATTATTCTATGATTATAATCAAAACATAAGTCAAATCAGAATCCTTACTCTCTGCTAAACATTATTCCTTAATATTATTATTATTATTATTATTATTATTATTACAATACCAAATTATTAATGGTTTATCTAGAAAAACGACTTTAACTGTACAGATCGTAAATATTTAACAAATGTATCTAGCCTTTATGTGCGAATGTTGTACTTTTTTGTTGTCAAAAATTGTATGAGTAAAAGCGCGGTGCAGCGTCGTTATGTAAATAATTATGTTGAATGACAATTTAATCATTAATCGCATGTTAAAATAATGATTAATCAGATTAATCATTAATCAAAACTTCGATTAACGATTTACTTTTAAACTTTAACTTTTTGTGATTAAAAAAATTAACCGATTACGCCCAACTCTGTAATCAAGTTATTAATGCTGTTTAAGTCAACTATTAATAAACAAATAAATACAATTGTCCTTTTTTTCTTTTTTTTGAGTGTATAAATTTAAAAAATCTTGTAAGCTGCCAACAGTTGTATAACTTTTAAAAAAAAATTAAATGGATGAAATGAAAAATGTGCAAATAAATGACTGCAGGACGACGATTAAAATAAAATGTCAACTTACCTGGTTTGTCTCAGGATCATATCCTCCACTGACAGAAGGGTCGCAGACTTCACAAACCACATGCCTAGCCAAATCAATTTCGCTAAAAAAATAAATATTGTAAATTTTTCAATAATTCTCATTCTGAAAAAACAAGCAACAATAATCAAACGAATAATTTAAGACTTATCAAAGCAAAAATATGCCTGACTTTTTTTTTTTTTTTTTCAAATTAAATTCATCGTTTTAATACAATTTTTTTTTCATTGTCTTTTTAAACTTTATTGAGATAATGCACATTGCAGTTGTGATATGTTAACTAAATATAAAATATGCATTGAAAAAGTAGTGAAGACAAACGCCCAGCGGTGTTCCTTTCTTAATCAGATTATTAATCAATTTGATAGCAATACCTTGGAATAATTAATTATTTAGCAGTAATAGATACAAGTTTAGGATGGTCCAAAACAGGGTCAGACAGGGCTGCTTCCTAAGTCCTCTTTTATTCGTTCTTTTCACTGACAACCTCAACTCAGTCTTAGAATGTGGTATTAGAATTCAAAAAAGGCTGATTAAAGTACTACTACATGCAGACAATGTTATTATGGCGGATAATCCTGTGGGCCTTCAAAGAAATGTCAAATTGTCTTACTGCCAACAATGGAATTTGACCGTCAATCTAGATAAATCAAAGATTATGGTATTCAAGAAAGAAGAAAATTGAGTTCTTGAGAGTGTTGGTCATTTGAGGGTGACTCTTAACCGAAACTTAGTTGGACTAAACACCTTGCCCTGAAAGCATTCAATGCAAAAGTGGCTATAAACAGAACTTGGTTTCACTTATGTCGTTCAATCCAAGTTAAATTCAGGTTATTTGATGCTGTTTGCTGTTCCATTCTTTTTTATGGCTGCCAGGTTTGGGGATGGCAGCAGTTTGAGTCAATACAAAAAGTTCAGCGTTTTTTTTATCTGCAAACTATTTTCTCTACCTTCAGCAACTCCTAACTATTTATTGTACTTGGAAACCTCTTGTGATCTTCTTTTTGTTCATACCCTTAAACTTCACATTGATTTTGTTTTAAGATCTCTTCGTTCTAGTGTGGCACATCTCTCTAGGGATAAGGCCATAGCAATTATCGAGAGTAAGCTTTCATGGTTCTCTAGTAGCAGAACATTTTGAAGGATTATGATTTTGATTTTTCACCTTCATGGGAAAATTCCTCAGAGTGGAAAGACAATTTTCATAAGTTGCTGTAAAAAATATGTCAATATAATAGAAACAAATGCCTTCTTCGCATTCAATCTTCTAACCTTCTATCCCTGTGCAAATAAATTAATCATTCTTCATCATTATTTCATTTTAACAAAGGTAATTTTAAAAGTTACCATTCAAGAGAAATCCGTTGGCTGATTAAAGTGAAATGTGGGGTATTACATTTGGGCTTTGCATATTACATGGTTGGGGGGAGTCTGGGCTTTGCTCCCTTTGTAATTCCCGCTCCTTGGAAACCGTTTTTCACTTTCTAGCAAAATGCACAATACTAGGGGAGTTAAGGCAATTTTATTTGGAGAATTTTGTTTTAAGTAAGGATCTCTTAATTAAATCTTGATGGTGTATTTGACCCATACCAATTAATTGTATACGCACACCATGCATGGAGATACAGATTTGAATTGGTCCAGCAATTTAATTATCAATACTGATATGACACACTACATCTCTGGTTTGCTCTCCTAAGTCAGTCTCTCCTTTGTATTTTTTGGTTTTTTTATTTTATTTATTTACTATTGTCTACTTTGTATTACTTTCTTTATTTTTGTTTTTTTAATTATTTTTTTTTCTTTTCTTTCTATATTTTTTTATGTATTTCTTTGTTACAGTACTTTTTCTTTTGTTGTAAATAAAAGTATCTATCTATCTTGGGTGTGTGTGAAGGACCAGTGGTGTCGACTGTAGGTGCCCTTTGATCACTGTATTAACAATAGGAGATGTCCAAAACTTTGTGGATATTTTCGTTCCAAACATACCACGAAGTATTTATTATTAACTGGAGGATATAGTTCTGAATGGTTTGCATGTTTTATTTTATTTTTTTATTTTTTTTTTTCATAAAATTATGCATTTGAAAACAATTTGTGTGGATCTTATTGATCCTAAGGTCATATGGTTCATTTATTCAGGAGTTTTCCTCTATTCTAATAATTTAATATTTTCAAAAATACCCAACACAATAATACATTTCAATTTGCTCACCATCCTGAAGCCTTGAGCGCTCCGAGCATGAGTTGAACCAGTTTGCCTGTTCAACAAAATATGTCACTTAGCAATTTAAAAAGAAAAAAAAAATTTAATTTAATTTTCTCACTCGTCTTGTAGCATTTGTAGACCCGCTTTTCGCATTTTAACCGTTCATAATCTTCGAGCCCTTCAGTGCCGGCCATCATCCCGATGACTGACGGAGTGAAACTGCCTTTTCTCTCTGGATATAGATCATATCCCCATTCTTGAGCGTTGCCTGAAAATTTCGGCTTCTCGCTCGCACTCGCCTCCTCAGTCATATTTCCTTTACAAAAAATAAATAAAAATTTTAAATTAAAATCATTCCTGTCGTGCAGGAGGGCTTAAAGTACAACAAGATGAGAGGTCAAACCACTTTACGATATTTTTTCTTATTATGCTCAATTATTGGGTTGTCCGGAAAATAATGCAGGATTTTGGTATTAAACAAAAAAANGAGTAATCCTGTAAACGTAAACAGAATATTTTATATAGATTTTTTTAAATGAAAACTTAAAATCCTGCATTATTTTCCGGACAACCCAATAAATTTCCATGGATTATGCCAGGATTCGAACCCAAGATAGAAAGTCAATTATGTGTCTGGTGCCCTAAACATCCAGCCACGGCAGTCTCCTTAAAAAAAAGGAGGCTAAAAAATAAGAAAATACAACTTATTCTCACAATAATCTCTACTTCTTTATATTTACAATATAAAAAGTGTCCATTTTCCAATGAAGATGGCTGAAGTAGGAGGTCAAAGAACTAAAATATTAAGTCCCTCAAGGATTAAAGGAGCAATGGTGAGCAAGTCAAACAGTTATGAAGTGTGATTCGGGTTATTTCTGATTACCTGTGGTCTGCCTACTTCACAAGCTTAAAAATATGATTGACCCTGCCAGCTTTATCATGAAAAAGCTGAAATTGCACGTCTATAAAATTTTATTTTGGTCATTTCTGGTCAGTCTGAGGTGTTCCAGCTTCTTACCATCTTCAGTGGACGATTTCTCTGTGCCTCACAACCACCCAAAATGTTAAATTGCCAAAATCTGGCAAAACAAAACAGCAAGGATAGTCAGGTCAAAAACGATTACCTCGCAGATACAAAACCTCACGTCTTGTAGCAAAAAATCTTAGCTTGAAACAAATATTGGGTTGTCCGGAAAATAATGCAGGATTTTGGTATTAAACAAAAAAAAAGAAACTAGTTACTTTCTNATCCTGTAAACGTAAACAGAATATTTTATATAGATTTTTTTTAATGAAAACTTAAAATCCTGCATTATTTTCCGGACAACCCAATATATGTTTAACATGAGTTGATGCCGGCCACCAGTCTGCGAGTCGGTGAATTCCATCTTCACTCATAGAAGTCCGAATAGTTCAACAAACCCGTGAGCAAAGACCGACCCAATAAGTGAACCAGTGCTTGATCATGATATCTTCAACAAGTTGCTTAATTTCATATCAAATTCCTTTAAAAAATTTCTCAAAGTAGCGACAACAGACCTCAAATATTTGCTCCCATCTAAACCGCTGAGATAATTTTTACATTGTTAAAGCATAAATACAAACAGGAAAAACCAAAACAATTGGAATTTATTTTATTATCGTCAAATCAACCTTCCAGTTAAACAAAACAAAAAAAACAGCCCATTTATTCAAACGCTCGCTCACCTTGAACCTCGTTATTCACCACTTCCTATACTGCAGAAATTTGAGTGAGAATTAAATGTATTTATTATACAAATGTACTTTAAAATGCAACTTTTCATAGATTAACTCAGACAATTATCAGCATGTGTATCTATTTAGAAGTAGGTAACGTTGCTGATAACGGTTATAAGAAAAAGCAACTCTACTGCCAACCAAATATAAGCTAATCACATATTCTACCTAAGCATCTGCTTGACTGCTTGAAATTTAAATTTTAAACGCCTCAGCCTGGTGAACTTGTATTTTGATCATAATGGCATAATGACAAAAAATAACTCAAATTTAATATTTTGGGAAAGCATGTAGGATAGGAACATGTGAAGATGAATAGGCATAAATGTAAAAAAAAAATTAACACATTCAAATAACAAACAAAAATAATTTAAAATGTACAATTTATAGTTTAGTACAGTATTTCATATTTAAAAAATATAGATTGGTCTAAGGAGAATATCATTTAGAGAATTATTCACAACAGTTTATAATTATTTATTTACAAAATCGTTAAAATGTTTCACCAAAAATTTGAAGCGAGCAATCCTTTTGGCGGGGCGATATTTTTCCCTTGGACTATCCCTTCGAGGAAACTTTTCAATCTCATCACAGGCCCTCCATTGCCTTTGGGTGTTACCTGTAAAAATATTAAAAAATAAAAATACCCAAGGTCAAAAAAATCCAGAAACTTGTATTTATTTGTTAATTTTCCACAATAACTAGGTAATAAAGATTAATAGTTGACTTAAAACACAAATACAACATTTGTTAACAAATACAACATTAATAATTTGTTGTTTACCATTAAAGAATGTCCTTTTACACTCTTTAAATTAAAAATAAAGGAAATCAGTTCAATTTCATCCTTTTGAGTGAGTTAATTTTTTTCTTTTTTTAAAGCATAGTTTTAAATGGCGAATATTTTGCCTGGGCAACAACAGATGTAGTGTCCATTACATAGCTCAAGTCCTGGGTGAGCAACGCTCTACTATCCACGATGTTCAACAGTGGTTTAGGGCCACTGGACGTCTCAATCGAAGAAAAGGTAGTAATACAACTGCGATGTACGACAGCTAGACACAGTCGGTTTTATTGTCCTTACCGCACTACAGAACCTTCATTTAAATTGCTTCCTTGATAGGTATTTATCTTCTAACGTTCTCTAATGAAAGGGTGAGCTTTAAGTCATAAGAAAGTTTTGTGGGAATAACCTTTTTTTTCTTCTTCTTTTTTTTTAACGAGGGGTATACTACGAGGTTATATATATATAAGAGCAAAACCAGGTAATTAAATTTTAAAAATTTAATTACCTGGTTTTGCTCTTAATGCTTAATGCCTTACGAAGAAAATAATCTTTCCCCTTTTTAGTGTGATATTCCATAAGGGATAACTTTACCTTTTCAATTTCAGGCAGGTACATTTTACATATGAAGTGCAACATTTTACGATATTGATTGCCGTAAGCGGCCAACATCGCGTTTCCTGTCACGTCCAACATGTCCAAAAGCAGCGTAGCACTTATAAACGCTCTCGGCTCTAATAAAAACAACCAAAAAAACATTAAGAAAGATGCACATCAATTTAAAAAAAAAAAAGGCTTACTCAGAGAAATGAAAGCTGCCGTCCACCTCCAAGCCTCACTCAAAGGAAGCGGATGTGGCTTATTACTAAGAGATTTCTTTAAAGGTGATAAGATGATTGCAGCGTACAGTCTCACAACACCACCTTGGCGCTTAAGGAATTTATCTATGTCTTCTTTTTCCCCGCCTGAATAAAGGAAACCTAATTTTCTTGAAAAAATATATAAATTATTATTGATTATTTCAAATAAAATATCTTAATTAAATTAAAATTAAAATCCTGACTGTTAAATGAAAATAGAATGTAAATTATTTAAATTTATATTAGTCTTTGATATAAGATTTTTTCATTATTTTAAAAATGCACTAATCATTTTTAGGCTTTTCCCCATTTTCAGTACTAGGTCAATTTTTCTCTGCTGTCTTATTTTTCATCCATCCTCTTGGCTTTTCAGCCAAAGGTCGAAAATGATGGGCTGTGAGGTTGTGTAGGTCATGAGTTTTCTACTCTTTATCACATTGATCAACGGTATTGTCCAGGGACCAATTTTTTTTAGAGATCTTCGTCTTATTTCTTAGAAAACAATATACTATTATCGTCACCGAATCGGATTTCGACAAAACTCAGGAGACAAGTAGTACTGGTTGCTGAATGGATCTGGACCTATGAATGCCTCAATGGAAAGGAAGCAAACGTAGGGACACAAATGAAGTTTGACTGAATTTTGACTCAACAGTCGTAGTTTCAGTAGTTCAAGTTCAAAGGGATTTCCAGCCTGGAAAGAATCAGTCATCCTGTACCAGCATTCCTTGATTCCTTTTTCATTATTGCTCTTTTGTGTTTTCCAGAGTAAATAAATTTTTTAAATTCTTGATGTATATTTTTTTAAACCGGGCGAGTTAATTTTTAATAATATGCAGACTTACAACTTGTTTCTAACTGTTAGTAATATAAATATTTTTATGAGCAGAATTTTCTCTTTGTTTATTTTTTTTTCCCTGGCTTCCAATTATCTTTGATAGAATTTTTTTCCACCTATTTACAAAATATCATAGCTTTTAGACTCTAATTTTTTCAAGGACTTACTTGAAATACTCTTCTTCAGTTTGATCTGGCATCTTGTCCCAGTACTTGGGTATCAAATAAGGGCAAACTTTGTAAAATTGCGCCAAGAGGAGTTTGCCGAATTCAGGGAACTCGAGCCAAATTGCGATCGTGACTGATGCGATGGCAAACGAGGATTCTGGTTTACTTGAAACCACATGCTCGCCTTGTTTCTAAAAAGTATTCCAGCGATAAAGAAGTCTCCACAGCTCATTGTAAAGGCTTACTAACCACTATCTTGTTCGCTAAGAAATACATAGAGTACAAAACGCCCAGGGGGTGTGTTCCAGCCGAGATCCGCTTCTCTGAAACTGTGACCGTCTGCCCTTGTAACAGCGTAACGAGTCTTTTCAATTTGTCATTCAAATGATTGGCATCCAATGGTGAAATTGCATTAACTGGTATATTCACGGCTTTCTAAATTTAAAAAAAATATATATTATAAACCTCAACACTATACTTTACATACATACCTGACAATCATTCCGAAATTTTTTTAACGAATCATCCAGTAAAAAATCTTTCAGCTTAACTTCAACCTCATTTGTGAATTTTTGAACGGAATCGTATAGATCATAACAATCTGTAATTAATTTAATTAAGCTGTAGATTTAATTTCAGGAAGAATTTATTGTTGATTGAAACTTTGCATTACTTAGCGTTTGTTTTTTGGCTGTATTCTCTTTATCTTGTTTTTCTTTCTCGGCTTTTATCAGTTTTTCTTCCTCTTCTTCCACCATCTTCTTTTGACGCAACTCTATCTGTTTCTCTAGACACATAGTAAAACATAATATATATATATATATTTTTTTTTGGGGGGGGGGTTCAAACGAACTTAGGACTGTGGAATCTACGAGCCAAGAGTTTAATCATACTAACCACTAGGCTACCATGGACCCCATATAAATCTAATTACCATATTTTTTTAAATAGTAAAAAATATAAATAAATAAAATCTGATTAAAAAAAAATACTGAAAGCAATACAAATACATATTTACCAAGGACTTCCTCCGCTTTCTGGCATAAATTTTCAAGTATTTTAACAAAGCTATCAGATTTTTCAACATCCTCGTCAGTAATTGTGTCTCCCTAAAAAACAAATCAAATTGTAAAAAAAAAAAAAATAATAATAATATACCAACAAACCTTGCATTTTGTCATAAGATTGCTGAACGTTTCGTTAGCAGTTTTTGCATTTGACATTTCACCGGCTCGAAATGATTTCAGGTCTTCGTGGCTGAAAAGATTAAAAACTGATATGACTTAAAAATTTTGAAATAAAGCAAAAATCAGACAAACACACCTTATCTTTTCTAAAAACAAATTGTACAAAATCATAAATTTTTCTCGGTTTTTAAATATAACTTCAAATCTTGAATTGCGCTGTCTAATTTCCTCTAACCTTCGTTGCTCTTCTATTAGTTTCGCAGTGTCTGGGTTTGCCTTGAAAATAAAATGACTTTATATTAAAAATTTCTGATTTTATTAAATTTTAAATAATATTTTAACAATAAAAACAACTGTATACTTAAGATAATTAATAAATAATAATAATAATAATACAATAAATAAAAATGAATAGGATGACTAATGCCACATCTAACAAAAAACTAGTGTATAAAACTTATCAAAAAGAAATCATCTTATTATATATACATAGTGTTTTTAAGAATATCTAGATCTTGTTTATCTAAAATAAATATTTAAAATAATTCCTTACCTGTGTATTTATTGGATCTTGTTTACTATTTAAATAGGTTTGATCACTGGTATTCTCTTTATCGCTTTCTTGATTCTTGTTGGTAGTCAAAGTCTCTTTCATTTTAATTTTTTCAGCAGCCAGTTGTTCCATCCTCTGCTGCTCAATTTTGAGCCATTTGGCTTCCTCCTTGGCAATAAACTGTGCCACCTCTTCATCCCTCTTTTTCTTGTATTCTTCGATTCTTCTGAGAAATGCAAATTTTGCTTGCTAAAATAAATAAACAAATAATTTTAAAAAACCTGAATTCATGAATTTAATAAAAACAAAAAAATTCAAAACATACTTGCGCTTCGTTAACCGAAAGGCGGTCTAGTTGAGTGAATATATTCTTCGAACAAAACAAATCTTCTTGAGTAGCAGCGTTTATGACGGTCTGTTCTTTTTCATTTTTGCTCACATTTCTCAAATGTTTTGCAATCGCATCATTCTTTTTCGGCGTTGAATGGAAGATGGAATTGTCAGGCATCGTCAGGGTTTCTTTGGAGGTAATGCCTCCTGACGGATCAGGAGCATTCGGGCCCAATGTGCAATCGTTGACATGCCACTTGAGCCATACGGCCTTTGTCAACGCTTTCGTTTTCATATGTTTGAATCCAGTCTTGTCAATCTCAGTATCCTATAATGAAACATTTAATAACAAACTGTACTAATGCAAACTAGACATAAAGACATAAATATCATATTTCATAAAATTGAAGAACAACCAACCAATATTATAAAAGACTAAATAATCCATTTTACTGAAGTTTAATTTAATTCTAAATAAGTTACCTCAATAGGGTAAAGCATCAAAGCACCAAGTCACACTTAAAAACAGTTTGGATAACAAGTTCAAGATCTTCAAAAACATCCCACATTGTTTTGTTCTTCTCATCAGTTATCAGGTCTATAAGTAGAGTGAGGCAATGAAAGAAACCCATTCATCCCCCCCCCCCGGGTTCATATTATATGACGTGCCAATGTTTTTGAAAAAAAGCTTGTTTGTAAGTATCTCGGGTTTGAAAGCAGAGTTGGTGGATTCGAACCCGGGACCTTTACCTTACAGTGACGAGCTCCGTGTCAACACCTAAACCATTCCAGCCACCGATGCCCCCCCCCATCACTGTTGAGTACAGTTTGGATAGCAAGACTATGATGATCAGAACTCAACTACAGGTTCATTGGTATTTTATTTATTTTTTTTATTTTTTAAATTATAAGTTTTGGTCATTTCTGATAATTTTAATCAGCTTTTTCCCTGTTTGGGTCAGTCAGTTACATTTGAATTTCTCACCATCTTTAGTTATGGGTTTAGCAGGATGAGGGACTGGTGCAAACCCATTACTGAAGATGGCAAGAAGCCAAAACGCATCTGACAGACCAAAACAATTTGGGATAGGTTGAACAAAATGAACAGAAATGACCAAAAAACAGGTTCATTTTTACATAGACCTCTAGAAAAATCTCATAACTTGAGCATTGTTACATTCAATTTAATACTGACAAGTTTGTTTTTGGTCGTTGCCAATCATTTTGCTCTGCTTTTCCCCCTGTTTTGGTGTGTCAGACACATTTCAACTTCTCGTCATCTTTATTAATGGGTTTAGTAGGATGAACAACTGACACCAGCCCATTACTGAAGATGGCGAGAACCAAACACATCTGACAGACCAAATCAATTTGGGATAGGCTGAACAAAACAAACAAATGACTAAACAGTAGGTTCAGTTTCACGTAGACCTCTAGAAAAATTCTCATCACTTTTAAATATTACATTCAATTTGAAGAATCTTTTAAACACGTTTTACTGACTTTGAGCCATAGTAGACAAGCTAAAATTGAAATGACCCCACAGGAAAAAAAATTTGTAATTTTCTCTTTTCTGCCATAGCAATCTATAATAATAATAATAATAATAATAAAGTGGGAAGTTTATGGGCCGGCAAACAGCTAAGGTCATCGCCGGCCCTCTGCGTGTTTTCCTTCTTTTTCTCTTCTTTTGTGCGTATTTTTGTTTAAGCTGCAGCCATTTGAGCGTCACTACTTTTAAATGTATACCATGCCGATCTAAAATGCTAGCCTCTCGTTTTTATCTCAGGTTGTCAAATACAGAATAGAAACAAAACATACAATACATCGCCACAAACATAGATGTCTGGTCACATTCACTTCCCTAGAGTACTCGATATTCCCCAGGGCGGGGTTGAATCCTCTCCACTAATAACTTACTTTTACTCTCCAGACGTCACAAACTCACCCCAGAGTACTCCGGTATTGCGGGTTTATAAGCAACCTCTTCCTTTCACGCTAATAAATTACATTCATTCCAACAAATTAACACAAACAAACACTCGACAGAAACATAGAAGTCTAGTCACATTCACTCTCCCAGAGTACTAGCGGTTATAGCAATCTGAAAATCACTCAGATCATTGTGGATCGACCTTTAACGAAACCGCGCTGCTCACCAAGAATTACAATCTTGAATGTAAAAGAGAGATGATGAGCAACAAAGGCATCCAAAACCTTAGGATTCGCCGATAACTTGAAGATTGCCCTATAGTTTTCTATTTAGTCCAGTCACCCTTCTTAAATATCAGTGAGATATCGCTAAATTGTCAAAGTTCCTTACTACATTACTAACCACACCATCCACAATGACCTCAACACTAATTTTATCAATGAATTGATCCGTCTCCTACAGCTCAGGCCCTCCATACACATTCCCATCTTGAGAAACTGTCACTTTAATCGACAATGGCCTCAAGACCTCCTTGACCCTTAATCCATCACACTGCGTACCTAGGCTGCCGCTCATGGTGTGTCCTTCGGGTGACAGTGCTGGCATTAGTGTTAATGGGGTACGAGTCTACCCAGGCATTTAACCCCTCGGGTCTTGGTCGCCCACCATGCATAATATATTAGTGTTAATGATGTAACCGTACGAAAAAAACATACTGAGATCACATTTGTAATATGTATCTATAGGGTACAAAAACCAAAATTTAAATTTAAAAATTCGTACCCTACTTCTGACAAACTTGATTTTGTAAATAAATTGTGATATGAAGACAAAGAAAAGTGTAGATGAGATTTTTAAGTAAAAAAAAAATCCAAGCCGCTTAGAGAAAATGTCCAATTTAAACATAGTATAGGCCAACTCACCATATCAGCGGCGAACGGCATTTTGAATAGCGCAATACCGGTTTAAATTTAAAAATTGTACAATAACAAATTCAGCAATATATTATAGCATAATTTGAACTTGCTCATTAATATTTTGTGTTATTTTGTCTTAAAATCAAGTTCATTTATGTTGTTATTCCCGCTACGATTGAAACCTCTCTATAACCTTCTAAAAATGGATATTAATCACTTACAAGTATCTTTAATCAATTGATAATCGATTTTCTCTATCGATGAATTGGACAATATATACTTAAGTATAAGGAAACACAATAAAATTTTAATATCAAATATATTTATAGGAAATTAAATATATAAACAACATTCCGGATCAAGAAAATCGTTTTATTATCTTAGCAATAGAAATTGTACATCTTTGAAAAAAAGAAAGGCTTCTTTCTTTTTATATCTGGAAATATCCTTTGTTTCTCTATGAAGAATTTTGAATAGGCTCAAAATTATGTAAATCGAGGGGAAGATAATTGGGGATGAAAGTTTGAAATCTCGACCAACAGAACCCTACATTCACAATGTCATTTCGAATTGATTTTAAATTAAAAAAATAGAAAATTTAATATAAAATAACTACGATTTGTGTAGAAAGGAGCAATTTTCCTTAGTGCACCCTTAAATGTTATAACCTTAACTTCAAGTAAACGTCAACTGTCACTTGACACTTATCGGAGGTTCCGTCAGGGTTATCTTTGCGTCCTGAATTCCTCTTGCCAAATTTCACGTAAGTTCTACTTTCAGGTCAATGTTATTTTTGTTAATTAAGAAAATGTCAACGTAAGATCGTCAAATTGTAACATTTTAACAAAAAAGTTTCTAAGCCGCAAAGCTCGTTCGGGGTATCTGTTGAAAACCTAGTTGTTGTTTTTTCGATCCATTTCGAAATTGGTCAATATGGGATAGTTTAATCTCCCTCTGTATTATCTAAACTTTACACATAAAATAAAGTCTAAACACATGAATATTATCCAACTAGAAAAATGTCCGGGCCAAATCCGTCTGAAAAAATCCTGTTTTATACATTAAAAACAATGTTAAGATTTTAAAAATAAGTCAGACGAAATAATGCTGAACCGGCATTGGTTTGGTCCTCGCGTTTCAGCATCGCATATTCAGTGAATAACTCCGGTTTCTTGAGTAATTCAACAAACCCACGAGTAAAGATGGACCCAATAAGTGGCCCAATGTTCAGTATGAATGCCGACTCGCATACCTACACCCAGCATCAAAAAAGATGAAATAGTGCTGAACAAGCATTCAGTCGGTCTTCACTTGCGGGTTTGTTGAACTAATCAAAAGCTAACTACATATTAATTTCACATTGGCTTCATTATTAAATCTTCGGGGAATAGTTCTTGAGTATCTCGTCGCTCTGAACCAACATCATCACAAACAAATGAAGACCTAGAAGATAATCTTGTGTCACCTGCAGATGTGGGGTATCGTCAAGAAGATAGAATACCAAAATTGAAGACAAAACCACATAAATGGAGCTAATGGAGAAAATTAACAAACTACGTCTCAAACTGAAGAAGATTTCACAGGCTCAGAGGTGTAAAATGTTTATAGAGTATGCAAAACAAAAGGAGCCAAAGAAAAGAATCAGAAAAGGAAAACAAAAAAATGAGTGCAAACTTCCAAACTACAGCACCAAGGCTAACCACTAGAATCACCTACCACAAAACCAGGGCCAATACCAACCAAAGGTTGTAAAAGGGACAGGTCACCCATGATTAAGTGGAAGTGGTCCCAGGTTGAGTCTCGAGAAAAACAAAATAGAAGGAAGCAATGTGAAGCAACCGTCCCTCCAACCTAGTTCATGGGGAGGGCAGCAAAACATATAAGCAATAAAATTGGAAGGATATCCAGACCAGGAACTATCAGAGGATCAATATGTCTACTGAATAGTAGGCCATCGTGGCTGAGGTAAAGAGGTGTGAAAACTCCAAACGGCCTCAGTTCAGAAATGGATACATTAAAATGGGAGCTGTCCTAATAACATGTGAAAACCCAAAGTGCCAAAGAATGGCACACGAAAAAATACCGTACACCCACTCATTTGAAGAGAAAAACATTTGAGTAGGCCCCTACAGAGATATAATAAAAACTTCTAGGGTGGCTAGGTGGGTGCCAGATCCTGATCTTGTATACTCTAAAGATATATCTACCATTCTTGGGCTGATTGGGTCTAGAACATACATTTTTATTAAACAATACATTTCATTTAGTACATAATTACAAATTTGAGTGGCAGTAGCAGGGATTTAAGTACAACCCAAAATTCTTTAAATTGTTTAAATTGTAAATAGCTACAGCAAGGTTTTTGAGAAGTGGGAAAAAGTTTTAAAAAACCATTCATTTAGCCAGAAGAATTCAAAAAATACGTTTTAGGGCCCAAATGAGTTAATAAATAAATTTAAAAAAAGGTTATGTACATTTACAGTCCAGAAATTATTGTAATATCGCAACACTTACTGGAGTATCACAAATGTCATAAAAATCACAGCTCAGTCTCAAAGCAGAATGTTCTTTAAACACCGGTGCTTCCAGTGCTTATTAAGGTCATACCTATTTCTCTGCATAGGGCATTCCTACTGGCAGCACATTGCTGAAGAAGCGTAGCATTCTTGACATTTCGTGGAGGCACTCAATCCTAGTCCATCTTGAGCAGGAGGTGACAAACCTCAAAAACTTGTTTTCGATCACTTGTAACATGTTGAGGTTTGTCCAGCAAGTGATGCTTCAATCGGGAAGCACGTGTTGAGCAATGCTGCTGTAGAGGAGCTTTTTGTTAAAAGCACTCATCATGGAGTCCCGTGATAATAGAGGAAACAGCAGCCTAATATCAGTTTTTCCGAGGTCTTTTCTATCTGCCACATTCCTAGTGGACGTCAGGCTGCTATCCATTGTTAAGCCCAGGCAATGCTATTTCCTGCTGCCACGACATGGTTGATTACTGCAGGTCTTTTGGTGAAGAGGATTGCTTCTGTTTTGGCTCAGAGTTGATTTTAATTTTCATATTTGGCAGAAGCAAACAATTTTTCCAATTTGTGTGCTGCTGTTTAGAACATACCAGAGTAATCAACATTTATCTTTGAATAATCTTTCTAGTATATAATATATGATGGATAAATGTTATAACATCCTAACAAAGCCAACGCAGTCCCCATTTAATTATTACCATAATAATCTACAACTAGATATTAAAATCTGTTTGGATTTACAATATACATATATAATAGTGGGCAAAGTCCCAAATATGTCAGAAGAAATTTAATTGAACAAATAAATACATAATATGAAAAAACTAATCTCGACTAAAAGATTACACTAATGTAGAAGGCAGAAAGACAGTCTCTTCCCTGTAATGTAGCTAATTTAAAATTAATATATAGTTAGGTCATTTCTGATTAAACTGCAGTTTCATCCCCCAGGCCCAGAGGAAATCTCACAACAAAATTAATAGTTGATCTAACTTGTACTAATAATTTAGAAAAAAGTTGTAAATGGATTGTGGTGTGACATTCCTCTGTTAAGACCTTTAACAAACTGTGTATTTTAATAAGTTGCAACCAGGACGAGTAATAAAATTCTTACATGGATTACGATTGTACCGTAATTAAATTAATGGTGAATAAAATAGCTCTTGGAATTTAGAGGCTATCAGTCAAACCTAATAATTAAAATAAATGTATGTTTGTGCTCTATGAAGTTTATAAATTAAAAGCTGAAATTATGCCAGTTTAGTGATGACAACTGGCTTCTTTTTTCTTTTCTTTTTTAAGTGGTTGTAATTAATTATTCAGATTAATCATTAATCATTCATGTCTTCAAGGTAAAATTCAGCATATCGGTTCATTTTTGATGACATAACAGCATTCCAAATGAAATAACAACTAATTTTATGCTTTTCAAAAAGCCTTGCTTTTTATTAGAAATTATATGTCTCATAGCAAACTGAATCATCTGGTGTTGTCATCAGACCTGTTACATCAAAGCTACTTAATCAATCTGCTTAATATTCAACAATTTCAGCCACTAACTCATGCAAGTTTTAATCATAAACATATAATGTTTCACTAAACCCACGTACTTTATATTCCTCGTTTACCATTTCTACGGACTATGCAATTATTTTAAGTGAAGGTCCACTAGCCCTCTCACACAATACACTCATGCTAATAAATAGTCAATTTCACAAGGCACTTAACAAACAAACAAAAATTTATTACATTAACCAACCAATATGTACTTATTCTTTCCAGGTCAGGACAGGAAACCCAGAAACTTGCTGTTCTATTCTAATATCGAGTGTGCCTACTCACTCTCTACATAAAGCCAAGGCACATTGTTTAATTGAGTGATTTTATTTATTTATTTTTTACTTTTTCTACCCTCAACAGTGTGTATTCTTCCTAGTTCAGTTATTTTTCCAATATGACTCAGAAACCCAATGAGGTTGGGAACCCTTTCTGTATATGGTTTGTAAAAAACAAAACTATGCCAACTAAAATAGCCAAAAGATCAGATACGCCTTTTTTTTAATATTAAATAATCATACAAATTGTCTGAAAAGATAGGATTTCAGTGTAGGCGGAAAATTCTCTCTTCTTTGGATTTAAGCTTGTTATATATTATTGTGTAGACTTGAATCATAAATTATTAAATATCAGGTCATATGATAATAATATTGATGCTGAAAGCTTAATGTAGAAAAGTTTTATAAGCTAATTTTAATTTTCAGAAAGTTAACGTATTTCTATATAAAAAGGGTTGGTTCATTCTAGTCTGATTGTTGGGTTCTTTTTTGAAATTATTTTGTTGATTTTACTATGATATACTTTGAGCTTCTGCACCAGGAAAGAAGTTCACATTAAATGTTTATTTTTATAATAATAGTTTTGATTAATTTAGTTTATGATTTGTTTATTTTTCAGGTAATGCATGGAATAACAATGGATGGCAGACAAGTTTGCGAAGATTTGCAGATATAAATATCGCAATTCAAATGAACGAACTAGGAAACGGAGGTGGTATTTTAAATATCCCCACTCTCATACCAGATACGGGTCTCTTGCATCGTCAAGATGACCACAGGCTTATACTCTGCAAGCCAAAATTAATGCCGCTGAAATCGGTGACACTTGAAAAGTTGGAAAAAATGCAAAAGGAAGCCGAAGAAAAGTTGAAAGAGCAACAATTGAATTCGTCTCAGTAAAAAAAAAAAAAGACAAACTCGACAAAATGACGGCCGGCCCTCTGATAGCCGAAGTCGTCTTTGTATTCTGCCTCGCTGTGGGGATTTTGTACAAATACGGAAATTTGAAAAAGCAAAATGCGTTTGTTACATTTGCCGTACTTATCGCTTGGTACTTTTCATTTTTGATCATTTTTGTGCTTCCCTTGGATGTGTCTTCGGTTTGTATACTTTGTTGAATGAAATTGAATGAACAATCTAATTATAATATAATTTTTACAGACGGTTTATAGGCAATGTCTTAACAACCTAAACACAACTGGGAATTCAACTAACAAAACGGTATGCAAGGTACCATGGAGTTATGTTCCTGACTATGTACTACCTAATTTATGGAGAGTTGTGTATTGGTCATCCGAGGTTTTAACATGGTAATATACACAAGTTCAATTAATAAAAGTGGTTTTTACAAATAACAAGCCAACAGTGTACTTTAATTAGTCATTTTATTTTTAAATAAAAGTGGCAAAAGTGTTATAAAAAAATCAAGCTGCTCACTAGTGGGTATGCTTGCATAATTATGCATGCATATATGTTTCATTCTAGGCATTGTTCATGGATTTTTTTTTTTTTTTTTAACAACAGTAGTTTGATCAAATAGTAGTTGTTTCAAAAATATATAATGTCATTGGGTTGTAAATTCTCATCTAGTTATAATTGTTGACAGCCTTATCCTATTTTTTATTATTTGTTCATTATTTGATTGCTTCACTGTATATATACACTGATAGGCAAAAATTCCTCTTATTTGCTTTTTGATTTTTCCATTCATAAAAAAATTCTGTTCTTAATTTTTTTTCATTTTCTTAACCTTGTTCACATTGTTCTGAATTTGGATTATAAATGCAGAGGTGAATACATTCAATCTGTACTGTATACTTTTATTTGTTTATATTAACTTTTGATATAATTTAAAAATTTTATTCAGTCTCATTTGAGTTCTGATCAAATCGATTGTTTACCGAGGTTAGGCTGCACGAGTGCTATCAACTGCTAGATCAATTTAACACCCAATGCATCAGTTCCAGGTCTAAACCCATTCACACTCTCGTTCATTCTTAAATTCATTTTTTTTATGTACATACATTCACTCAATTAGGAAGATGGAGTACTCGATTTGATACCTAATTGAAAGTCAATGGGGTACTCAATATTCTGCCATATCCCCTCTTACACTACACATTCACACTAATAAATACATTCACCATTGCTATCAACAACCTTCTGCGATCTATTGTACCAATTTTCAATACTTGATCGATAAAAATCAATTGGTTTTTGAGGAAATATCTAGAGATGGCATTTTGGACATCATCCAATTTTTCAAATTTTTTACCACTTAGAAAATGTCGTAGCAATCAGAATAAATGGAAATCATATGGTGCAATATTGGGCGAGTATAGAGGGTGAGGCAATACTGCCTACCCAATTCATTAATCTTTTGCAGGGTTCGTCTTGTGCAGTGCAGTCTTGCATTATCTTGTTGCAGAATAAGCCTTTTCTGCTGACAATCGCTGGACACTTTGTCAATTAACGATTAACGATTGATTTACTAGATCTGTTTGTTCACAGCAAAGTTCTCCATTCAGTTTCAGCACTTTAAAATGAACAACTCCGCGAATACTCCACCAAACACACAAAAGCCCTTTTTGGCTGGGTGTACTTCATGGGCAATTTAATATACCAATTTTTCATCTCCATGATCAAGAAATCGAAAAACACTTCTGTATTGTGCTGCTGAAGCACACACCTGGTCTGCTTACTTTACCATGCTGAAATGTTCTTGGATGGTTGACTAACATTGGTTAATAGTTCCTCAATTGCCTGATAAGGATTTGCTTCCACCTCCACCCTTAACATTTCATTGTTTAAAGTTGTTGGTCTTCCTGATCAGTATGAGTCGAAAATATCAAAATTACTGGATTTGAACTTAGAAAACCACCTTTTGCATTTACAAACGTCTAATGCACTTCCTCTTCCGGTATTTGGCTCACCATTTCACCATAAATTGCAAAAAAAATTCAGAATTAATTATTTACGAGTAAACAAATCATTCTTCATACTTTTGGGACGACTTTGAAGTACACAATGAGTTAATAAACAACAAATGGATATTGACATAGGCAGAAATGACATTATTTTCCACGCCCCCCAATACTGTAAAACAGCCCTGTTTCTTCCACACACAAAAAAAAAAAAAAAAATGGGGCACTTGCTGCCATGCTCAAGCACAATTCTCATATTGGGTGGCATTCCTACACCCTCTATGTAGAGCCAAGGAGTTGCACCCAGTAATTTGATGGGACACATCAAGCAACATTTCTCTACATGCCACACACACAATTTGGTTCAAAAGTAAACTACTGTATGTCAACCAAGCATGGCCTATCGGGTGAGGATAGCTCTTCTATGAGTCAGGTCTTCTGAGCGTCACCTATTCAAGTGATCTTGAACATGTGAGAAATCGATTGTTTAGTTTTGTAAAATGACTCTTTGGAGCGTTGGCTGCTGCAACAGTTTAGGTGCTGACCTGTAAGGTAAAGGTCCCGTGTTCGAATACAGCGGTCCAGCATTTGGCTAAACATACAAATAGGTTTCCCCCCCCCCCAAAAAAACATCAGCATAGGGGGTTAGGGTTCATATAGCCTTGTACACTACCCCCTCATACAATGGAAAAAAATTTAAGAGCAGAATATCATATATATCATTGAAAAAAAAATATTAAAATTCAAGTGGGCGGAATTGTTTGCCTGTCAGGGTGTACAGATATGACTATATTTTCAATTTCATTTTTAAGGCTTTTTGAAACTTAATTTGACATAATATATTTCAGGTTGGTGTTGCCTCTCATGCAATCGTACGCCAAAGCAGGGGAGTTCACCATAAGAGGGAAACTGAAATCTGCTTTGGTCGACAATGCAATTTATTACGGTTCTTATTTATTTATATGCGGCATACTACTTATATATATAGCTGTCAAACCTGATCTCCAACTTGATGGGTAAAGAAGAAATTATTTTCTTTGATTATTAGGAATTTTACAAATATGTTATTTTAGGCAAAAGATAAAAGCAATTGCTTCATCAGCTAGTAACACGTGGGGACTGCTACTCCTCGTCGGCCTTCTTGGCTATGCTTTAGTTGAAATTCCAAGGAGCCTCTGGTTGTCTACGACTCCCGGCTACTGCTTGCAAAGGGCTTATTTCAAAGTGGCAAAAATATCAGCGGATAAATGCGAAGCAGATGAGACCCTCGATGACATACTGGAATCCATACAGTCGATGGCATCCAGTGTGCAGTCGAGAGACCCTCTATATTCCGAGTTGGAAACAGTACTTAGAAAAATTCCACCCCATCTCTTACGGCAGACAAAACTCCAGTCTGCGGCTGCCCATGCTGATTCAATGGTCGCACCAACCCTTAAATCACTTGTACGCATCCATAAACAGGTGTGTGCCTTCAAGCCAGAAATTGAATCCATTTTAAATTATTTAATTTTTTAATAAATTAAATAACTTTTTATTATATAATATTTTAATCAATTAAATCATTAATTAAAATTATGTAATAATTAGTACTTTTTTTTACTTTAGTTGATTAAAAGCCTCCATACGAGTAAACGTTGTGAAACACAGTGGAAACTTGCTGTTGAAAAAGTCATCCTTCTTGAGGATGTTCAGAGAAACAAAATGAGCAATGATAAAACCTTCAAGCACACTTTTGACAACACGCCAGCTCTAATTTCACCAGCTTTTGGTATTTAAATTAAACACAGCTCGTTTAGAAAATATAAAATAATTTAATTTATTTTAGAGTGGTACTGGAGGTGTTTGATTCAAGATTACGTTTTCAAAGTCGCAGCAGTTGTATGCGCAATACTTTCAGCCATGGTTGTATGGTCAGAAGTGACGTTTTTCAACAAATCCCCTGTCCTTTCCCTGTTTGCAGTTTTCCTTAATTTAGCGAGGAACAGTTACGACTACTTCTCTATAGAAGTATGTTGATTAGTTTACTAGTAGAAGTGTATTTATTATATATATTATTTTAGATCCTGTCTACCGTGATAATTGCCTACCTATGCTTCTGCGCTTACTCAACTGTATTGAAAATTAGAGTATTGAACTATTATTATTTAGCACCTCATCATCAGACAGACGAGCATAGCCTTATTTTCTCTGGAATGTAAGTACATATTTTATTTTTTGAATAAACCCAATAATATTCCGCTTATCTGAACTGATAAACATTGGTGTAAGTGTCTTGTTATATAATTTTTGTGCTAGAATGAAACTTGTAAAAACAACTTAACAGTATAATTGTTGGTTAGTGTAACAGTATATTAAAGCGTGATAAAAAAATATATATTTTGCCCTCAATATATATATATATTTTTTTTTTTTTTAAATTATAAAAATAAGTAATTTAAAAAGGAAATATTAAGTAAAGAACAAAAAAATTAAAAAACAAATAAAAATGTTTCTTGTCCCCTTTAATACTGAGTATTTACACTCTGGCAGGAATCACTTCTGTTAAAAGCCTTTGCATTCCTTGGAAAATATTTCTGATATAATTCTGAGGAATTCTTTCCAGTTCATGAAGAACAGCCATTTCCATCTCCTATAGGGTGTTAGGACTTGGGTTTTGTTGTTGTACTCGTTGCTTAAGTTGGTCGAAAATGTGTTCAAATCTGGACTTCGAGCCAGTCACACCAAGCACTCAATTCCAACCTCATTCAGGTAGTCATGCACAATACATGCTCTTTGGGGCCTGCATTAGCAAGAATCTCTCACCGATGTGGGGGGCAAATGGCACTACATGTTCTTTAATTGTACCTCTGTAAAGTTAGAAATCTTCCTCACACAATACCAATTTGGTGCATGCGTCCACCCAAGAACATCAATGAAGTGGAATGCCACCTTAGAAACCATGGGGGTGGGTGTACCTTTCTCCTGAGCATTTCCATATGAAATTATGCCTATCTGAAGATTTGAGGCCAACTCTCACCTCATCTGTAAAAAGAACTTGTCCCCAATCTTCTAATGGTCCCGTGCGAATTGAAGCCTGGCCATTTTCCGAGCTGTGGTAAGAAAAGGCCCATGAGCCAGGTGCCGGACCCTGAGGTTATTTTCATTGAGGCTTCTTACAGTCCTGGAGGAAATCGAAAAATTTTGGACTTGTCTTATCAGATTTCTTACCTCATTTCCTGTAATGCTATAGATTTGTTGAGCCTGATGATGAATCTATCGCCTCTCTTTTCTGTAGACTAAGTCAACTCTGTCCTAGCTTTTTAGTGTGAAGCATGGTATCTCTGAAGCACTGAAGAACCCTTCTTATTGTAGAGAGATTTACGCTCAGTCTCCTGGCAACTTGGCATTGGCTGTACCCTTCCTCTAATAAAGCTACAACCCTGATGCTGTCTTACTCACTCAAATGCCTGACAAGCCACGGTTTAAAAATAAGAATAATATCAAATGAATCGACAAAAGAAAAAGGTTAACTTAAAAGGATCTTTAGGCATAGCAGAATGGAAGGACATAATGCTACTTTTTGTGTAAATAGCATTAAACAGTACAAAAGTAAACAAAGCATTAATTACTGTTTATTTTGTCTCTGATAGCTCCTCATTAGCTATAAATAATAGATTTAAATGTAAACTAAATAAATTGAGTGGTGCATTAAATTTTTCCATCAGTGTAGTTTGCGGTTTAAACAAGAAAAATCTACTTTTGACCTTTTCTTTTTTTGTATTTAAAATAAGTGTTGATGATACAAAATTTCACTAATAAGCAATAAAGATTGGGATATCTTAGAAGAAATTAATGCCAGGTTGTCAAGCTACCTGTAATAATTTAGCATGAAACAATTAAAATATCAGTTAAACTTACAAAACGTTATTAGTTGAGCTTGAATTTGATAATTGCAAACCATCCCAAATGTTGTAAAATGCATTAAAATAGGTAATGGTTATTTATGCTCGCTTTGGTTACAGTGTTTACGTAAATAATGTCCTGTTATTATGTTAGGAGATGAAGTGAAACTATCAAAATTATTAACTCTAACTACTGAAATAGTGAAAACCATTGATTAAAAACATGGAGTATGTAGGCAAAACCCCTTGGACTAGTTTCATCTGAAGTCTTTGCAATCAAACTCAGTGCACAGGATTTATAAAGAATAACAGGATCTGGGGATTTTTTTTTATGAATTTATTTTTTATTGTTATTATTTGGCCTTATCCTCATCATGTACATCTAGATACCTAATATAGAAAAGACCAAGACCTCAAGGCAGCAGAGGCTAACACGCCTTTTGTCCATCTGGTCTGTAGGTCTTCATCAGTGTAAACAGTTTAAAAAAATGAGAAAAATTAAGAGCAGAATTTTTGTATGGTCGACACTATCAAACGGGCTGAATTTTTTGCCTGTCATTGTATATTGCATATTAATAAATATACTTAATGGCATATCTGATTTAATAGTGAAAATAAGGTGGTTGGTGGCCACAACGGTTTAGGTGCTCATCACTGTAAGGTAAAGGTCCTAGGTTCGAATCCAGTGGCCCTGCATTCAAACCTGACATACTTGCAAATGTTTTTTTTTCTTTTTTCAAAAACACTGGCACCCCAAGGGTTCATATAACCTCGTAGTTGAAATAGCCTCATATAAATTTAAATATTTCTGTAGTTCATTTATGTAAGAAAAAATTTTTTTTATAGGATGCTGTGTCGTTTGACACCGCCAATGTGTCTTAATTTCCTTGGCCTAATCCACTTGGACAGTCATATTATCCAAGAGCAGTTGATGGAAACCCAGTACACCCAGGTAGATCACTTTTTCATCTCGACCTTTCTTGTTTTAATCTTCACTTTTCTTTTCCAGGTTATGGGCCATATGGTGGTTGTTTCGATAATATCCGACGGCTTTAACATTTACTTTCCTATGATGGTTCTAGCATTCTGCCTTGCTACCTACTTTAGCCTTGGATCGCGCCTTTTATCGTTAATCGGCTTTCAGCAATTCCTGGAAGACAGCGAGCTCACAACTGAACTTATGGAAGAAGGCAGAGATCTAGTCAATAGAGGTATTTTTCTGTAATTATGAATAAAAATTCTACCCAGTCATAGCAATTAAAGCTATTCTTTTGTATTTTAACAATTTAATTATATTTTCAGAAAAGCGGAAGAGGCAAAGGAAGAAAGAGACAGAAGAAAGGAGGCGAGAATATAATGAAAGATTTGGAATTTCGTGTCCTGTTGTAGCTGACGATACTGTCATAAGTATGTTTTTATTTTATTTTATTTTTTAATAATATTCATGCATTTAACACATTTCTGTTTTAAGATACGGGCCTTCTGACGGACAGTTCATCTCGTTCAAACTTATTAACTGCGGCTGAGCCCATCGCTTATTACCAGACTGAGTCCAGGGCTGATTTTGGCGTCGGGGACTCGAATGGCCGAGGGGACCTCTGGAAATATTTCGACAATTGAGCACAATCTAATAAAAATGTCAGTTAGGTAGACAATTATTTCAAAGTGTAATACGAATCTGTCCTGTTTGGCTTGTATAATTGTTTTTACATAAAATGCATGTTAAATTAATGGATTTAGTCGACACAATTGAAACGTAGTAAATTTGAAAACTAGATATTCTAAACACTATATTCAAATACATAAGAGATAATCTGAGTGTATTATCGTACAAACTGGCAGAATCCAGACGTTAGCATTATAATGTTAAAGGCCATTTCAATTATACTATGTTTAGTATAATTAAAAATTAATATTATCAATTAAGAATGTTTCTTGATTTTTTTTTTTTCTTGAAATTGATGACTCTTTTCTAAAGAATTTTAATTTGAAGGGTAAAAATAACACTTCAGTTCATGTAAAATCATAAATTAATTTAACTAGTTATAGTTGACATTTTTGGCATAAAACCATTTAGGTACTTTTTATGTTGTGTGTCATTAAAAAAAATATAAACTGTAGCATTTTGTATTATTGTAATATGTATAAAAAAAAGTAATTTTTAACTTATTTAAAAAAAAAAAAAATCATTTGTAAACATTCCAGAATTGTGATGCAAATTATATTTACTAGCAGTAAGTCAATGTTATATGTTATTTAATTTATTTCTATTTAACAATTAGTTTATTTAAATAATTGATCATTGTTTAATAACAAATTGCTTTTATTTATTTATTTTTTAAATTGTTTTATCAAATTAAAAGCTGTAACATAATAAATGCACATAATGAGATTAAAAATGTAGTAATGGTTACCAGAATTATCGCAATATTTATTTTGTTAGTACACAGTAAATATTTTTATTTGATTGTTTATTTATGTTCTTAGTTTAAATAAATATAAAATGTATGTTTCTCTTTTATCTTTATCTGTACAATTTGATAACCGTTCACCTTTTGGAAATACATTTATGTAAACAAAAAGCCTGTATAATTTGGGTGAAAAATCTTAACAATTTAGACGGCTGTCACCAATTGGGCAGTCAGCAAGTGTGTGAACACTGTGAAACGAATCGGGTACCCCAGTGATTCCCAAACTGTGCGCTGCGGCTCCCCTTTTTATATTTATTTAAAAAACCTAAAATCTATACTCCCCTCATTATATAACCCTTAAAACTAAGACCCTGGTGGCCATCCAATCTCAATATGGATTTTAACAAGACAGCTGCAATTGTGTATTTTATATTATTGCCCAAAAAAAAAGTATTCCTTTTATCTTTTTGCTATTAAGTGCATAATTTCATAAGAAAGTAAGGAATTTTGATAATTTCTTAAATAAAATTGGAGATGAAACAAGTGGTTTAGATATATCAATGCTTTTCTGAATTGGAAATGAATTACATATTAAGTTCACGCTGTGATAGACAATTGTTTGGACTTGGTGCGCCACGGAAAATTTCTGATATTTTAAGGGTGCCGGTAACAGGAAAAGTTTGGGACCGCTGGGATACTCTCTCTCATTGAATATGTACTGGCCAATAAAAGTGCACTCACATAGGGATATGGATAAAAGAGGCGAACACAAAGACCTGCACTTCGACCTGAGTAGATCTATTGTGCTCCTCTGGTTTTTTTATAACTCACTGGTCAACTTTGGGTTGTTAAAACCTCAGCCTTGCCAGTCTCTCCCTAAGTATCTCACGGCTTTTCCTCCCAGTTGCAAGAATCTGCACTTTACACGTACCTTTACAAAAGAATTGGTGTCTAAAGACCCAAGATACCGAGAAATTCATATTTATATAACTATAAAAGGAACCAGGAGCAAAAAATTTGAGTAGTCAAGGGTTTAAATCCTGTCCAACATTGACCTTTTAACCTCATCTTTTGTTTATATAGAATTAGATATATGTACTTGTTGTAAAAGTATCTTACAGAGTATCTTACAGTTTATCCACTTCTCCTTTTGTTTTATTTGTATCCATTATGCGATGGATGATTCTGTATTTGTTTTATATTTATTCAAAGTATAGGTTTGGGGCCTATGCACGTCTTGCAGATCCTCCTCTGGCCAGTGTGTCTGTTTTCTCATTACCCAAAATTCCTCTGTGCCCAGGCACCCCAGATATCATCAGAAAACAATCTGTTGTGTTTCCCCAGGATTTGGATATTTTGGATGCATTCACTGGCTAATTTTGATGTGATTTTTTTTACATGCTAATGCTTTAATAGCTGCATGGCTATCAGATATTATAAAGATTTTTTTCCGGAGACCGCGGTAGCCGAGTGGTTAGCATTAGAGACTCTCACGCCGCGGTCGTGGGTTCGATTCCCACCGTCGCCTCTGGCCCTTTTTTCCCGATAACCCCCAAATTGAACACACCAGAATTCGTACTATGGCTAATATGCAAGATCATAAGGCCAATTAAAAAAAAAAAAAGATTTTTTTCGCCACCTCTTAAGATTTTCTGGGGCACAAGCGTTGGCATATATTTCTGCTTGAAAGACGTAAGTGTAATTCCATAATGAGTTTTTTGCTCATGTCTTGAGCTTGTACAAAAAACACCCGATCCAGTTGCTTCATGTGTTTTGGAGCCATCTGTATCATTGTATCTGATACTCTCCTGAGTTCATTCTTCCCCTTTATAATCTGTTAAGACTTTATAGGATGTTTTGAACAGTTTCTGAGATCATATGATCAGTCCCATATTTGTTTTTGAATTGAGCCCCAGTTGTTGATAGCCCCCAGTACCCTGTCTGCCAACACCCTGGAGGGTGACTTGCAAGTTCTGTTGTTAATATATTGTAGATTACAAAACCTGGAAGCGTTAATGTACATGCGTATGCAGAGTTGAGTAATAAGTCAGAAATTAGTATATGTTAATTTAAGCTCTCATGACTTCAAGACTCATACCAACAGTTTTGTTTAAAGAAATGAGCATGAAGATTCATATTTTGTAAACAATCTTTCTTCTCACCTATTTACTTATTTTATATTAGATATACTTATTTTTAAATCTGAGAGTAGATCATTTACAAAACGTTTTGTTATGGACTGAGCTAAAAATAGCTTACTTATTTCTACATTTATACCATATTTCAATTAATTAATCTTTTTATGTAGGGTTTTGGCAGAAATGAAAGAGTTAGTGTCACGAGCGGGATTCGAACCCATGACCTTCAAATCCAGCTCGTGACACTAACTTTCATTTCAAACAAAACCTTAAATTTAAAAAGTTAATTAATTGAAAGAATTTAGTCAATAGATCACAAAATATAATGAATTTATATGATAATTGTGCGGTGTCAGTGTCACGTCACAGATACCATAAGATGGGATTTTTTTTTTTTTTAATTTAACGATTTGGTTGAAATGGAAAAGTTAGTGTCACAAGCTGGATTTGAAGGTCGTGGTTTCGAATCCCGCTTGTGACACTAACTTTTTCATTTCAACCGAAAACCTTAAATAAAAAATTAATTAATTGAAAGAAGTAATTTAGTCAATAGATCACTAAATACAATGGATTTATAGATTATTGTGCCGTGTCAGGGTCATGTCACAGATACCATAAGATGGGATATTATTTTTTATTTATTTAAGGATTTGGTTGAAATGGAAAAGTTAGTGTCACAAGCTGGATTTGAAGGTCGTGGTTTCAAATCCCGCTTGTGAGACTAATTTTTTCATTTCAACCGAAAACCTTAAATAAAAAATTAATTAATTGAAAGAAGTAATTTGATCAATAGACCACTAAATATAATGGATTTGTACCATAGTTGTGTGGTGTGTGTCACGTTAGGGATACCATAAGATGGGATATTATTGTATTAATTTTTTCATTTCAACCAAAACCTTAAATAAAAATAATAATTAATCGAAAAAAGTAATTTAGTCAATAGACCACTAAATATAATGGATTTATATGATAGTTGTGTGGTGTCAGGGATACCATTAGGTGCGATATTATTAGTATTCTCTCACAAAAGAGTTTAAAAGATTAAACAATGACAGAAAAGTAAATATTTTCTGTTGAATTTTCTGTTCTTTTATTCTTTACTCAATTATTGTTTTTGTAGAAATAGATAATAAACATTTTCTTTTTAAATGTCTTATTTTTATAACCAAACCTATTTTTGGTATGTAAAATATGAATATACCTAAATACATTAAAATTTAAGGGCGGGGTCAGTGTAGAATTTGTTTTGTATTTTTAACAGATAGATTGATTCTTCTAGAAGTTTAACTGGAGAATTTTAAATTCTTGAGTTAACCGATGTTTGTATAAACTCATCATTGTGTTGTCCCTTGAGCAAGAGGCTTCCACCAGGGTCGCACGGTCACACTTCAAACTTTCAAAGTTGCACTCGTAATCATAAGTTTCCTGATAATTTTCCAAATACGTTTCTCTGTCGGATGACAGGTTGAAACAAATTTTCGATTTAAACATTCAACAAAACGGATTCGATTTGTTTTCCTGTCTCTAAATTAGCGTCGTTGGGTGCCAGAAGTGCTTCCGGCCGCGAAGTTGGGGCCGTGAGTCCGTCAGTCGATGGAACGTCATTTTCAAACGTCATGTGTTGATCTGTAAATCATCCGGGATCCGCTTGTATTTGCCGAGAGTAAAATCGTTCTAAGTTTCACAGTTTCCATCGTCGAGAAAAAACAAACGGCCAAAGGCGAAGACGTTAATAATCTCACAGAACGAGTTGTGGAAGTTGAGACGAGGCTGGAAAACAAAGCTGACATTAACCTTAAACATCGCAGTTCACACGTTTGTCGTCCTTGTTCCTTGTCGAATGATGCTTTAAAAGTCGGACTTCGAACCTGAAAATGTCTGGAAAAGAATCTGAGAAAAATCCTTTTCTGAATCTTTTTTCTGAGCCGGCGGAAGCCCCTACAACATCCGCACAAGAACAAGCTTCTTCATCGGAGGATCCTGTTTCTTCTTCGTCCAACTACAAGTAAGAAATTATTTAGAGGGTTTCCTTAAATTTCGAAGGCTCAGGAATTCCATCAATCACAAACTTTAACCTTATGTGTAGTATATAAACGATAAATATCACAAAAATCATATTGAAAATTGGCAGATAACATTGAGCTGCTAAACTACTGATCACAGCTTTTACATTTTTCATATACAACAACTACAAGAGAGAGAGAGAGAGAGAGAGAGAGAGTTTGAGGGAGAAAGGGGAAAGGAAGATAGATATTCATAGATTGGTATAGATGAAAAAGATATAGAGACAGAGAGTGAGAGGGGAGAGGAAGATAGTTATACATAGTTAGATAGATAGAAAGAGATAGTGAAAGAGAGAGAGTGAGAGGGGAGAGGAAGATAGTTATACATAGTTAGATAGATAGAAAGAGAAATAGTGAAAGAGAGAGTGAGAGGGGAGATGAAGATAGTTATACATGGTTAGATAGATAGAAAGAGAAATAGTGAAAGAGAGAGTGAGAGGGGAGATGAAGATAGTTATACATGGTTAGATAGATAGAAAGAGAAATAGTGAAAGAGAGAGTGAGAGGGGAGATGAAGATAGTAGTTATACATGGTTAGATAGAAAGAGAAATAGTGAAAGAGAGAGTGAGAGGGGAGATGAAGATAGTTATACATGGTTAGATATATAGAAAGAGAAATAGTGAAAGAGAGAGTGAGAGGGGAAAGGAAGATAGTTATACATAGTTAGATAGATAGAAAGAGATATAGTAAAAGAGAGAGAAGAAGATGGATATTCATACATAGATTGATAGGGATAGATGGATAGGGAGAGAGAGGAAAGAGGAAGATAAATATTGACTGATTGATGGATAGGGAAAGAGGAGGAGACAGAGTGAGAGAGAGGGATAGGTAGATGTATATAGATAGAGCGACAAATAGAGACAATCCTTCATCGGAGGATCCTGTTTCTTCCTTGTCCAAACAAGTAAGAAATTATTTAGAGTGTTTCGGGGAGTCGATGTTTGAACACAGTACGAGACACAAGTCAATCGTAACGCTGCAATTTTCTTGTATTTTAAATCAATTTTTTGGTGAATCTTAATCTAACCAGTGGTTTAATTTCGTTTTCGTTTAATTGCGAAGTGTTTTATTTTTATTTTTGATCGAGGAATTTTCCCTACATTAAAAGTGTTTCTCATGATCAAATTGAGTACATCTGAGTCGTGAGTTTTGCTGATGAAGAAGGGATTACTTGCGATTACAACAGTGATTGATTACAAACCTTAGAAAGATAGAAAGAGAAATAGTGAAAGAGAGAGCCTAGCAGTGCACTACAACACTATCTTAATATTTCTGTTAATATCGCAATTCGTTATTTGGTCACGAATTATTTTCAGTTAATAAAACTGGGATTCTTGCTCTATTTCATCGAAGGAACAGTTATTCTCCTCGCCTAAATCAACTACAATAAAGAGAGTAAGAATTTCTCCGGAAATGTCCAAAGAAAACAAAAAAGCTTTCTTTAGAGTGTTTCCTTAAATGTCAAAAGTTCAGGAATTCGATGAATCAGGCTCAAACTTTAAGCTTATCTGTTGTAGATCAAAGATAAATGCAACAAAAATAAAATTGATAATTGGCAGATAGGATTGAGCTGCTAAACCACTGATTACAGCTTTTATATTTTTTATATCCAACAATTACAAGATAGAGAGGGTGAGGGAGAAGGAAAGGAAGAGAGATATACATAGAGATAGGAGAATAGATGGAAAGAGATATAGTAAAAGAGAGAGTGAAAGAGGAGAGGAAGATAGTTATACATAGTTAGATAGATAGAAAGAGATATAGTGAAAGAGAGAGCACAACACAAAAAAATGTTGGTGATTTCTCTTTATAGTCACAGTGATTTGGTCAAATTTGACTACCATTACATCCAACAACTACAAAAGCGAAAGGGGAGAAAAAGATAGATATATTGATTGATAGATATATAGACAATGAGAAAGATAGAGATCGAGATAGGTAGAAAAAGAGAGTGATAAAGATGATGAGAAAGAAAGCGATTTCAATGTTTTGATTGATTACAAATTAAACTATCACACTCATTGCACTATCAATGTAAAAAAATTAAATTCTAATTTATATTTAGTACGATGTTTATACGATCAAGTATCAAGTAAGACATTAATTAATGCATACTATGGCTGTATTCATGCACATATTAGTTATGCAATAGTAATATGGGGTCGCTCATCTTCAAGTAAATTGATTTTCTCCATCCAAAGAAAGGCAGTAATACCCATTTGTGGTGCAGGCTAAGATGCCGATTGCAAAATTGCATTTATAAGTCTAAAAATACTCATATTACTTTAATTATATTAAATATGTTTATTATAATTATAACAAATTACCTAAAGTGAAGGAAAAGCTCCCAGGGATGAGTTTGATTAATTCAAGTAATAGTGTTAATTATTAGGCGTTTAAATTTTTCAATAAATTGCCCGACATGTTAATTTTTTTATTCTCAAAAATATTTAAGAGGAAAATTAAGGATTACCTTACCACCGTTATACATTTAATGAATTTCTTGATAAAAAAATACAATATGATGTGAGCCTATTTTTCGTAATATTTTGTATGATGCTTCTTTACAAAATTACATTTCAGTAAAATACGTATGTATTTTTTGTATGTTCAAATATCATTTTTCTTTGTTTTATTTAAATTACATTGATTTACTTTCTATTTTTAATTTATGAATATGTAATAAATTGTTACTAAATTTTATCAGCTTCTATTAAATATATAAATACTCAATTAATTATACACAATTTTTTTCGAAATGAAAAATTTGTGTCACAGGCGGGATTCGAACCCACGATTTTCGGCTCAATACGCCGCTGCTCTACCACTTGAGCTACCGTGACTTCGATTGCCCATGCCACAAACTTCTCATTTCGACTACCCGATTTTCGGGGGTTCGAGTACTGCCTGTGACACAAATTTTTCATTTCGAAAAAAATTGTGTATAATTAATTGAGTATTTATGTAATAAATTGTATTAATAATACAGTGTAATACGTGTGTTTATTGTTATATGCTTATTATATAATATGCAACCGTTGCTTGTTGTAATCTTAAATTACAAACATTACATAATTGTAAAATGTTAAAGCAATAAAATTGGAATTGATTTGATTTGACAAAATTCGACAGAAAGATAGAGAGACAGTGAGAAAGTGAAGAAAGAGAGAGAGAGAGAGAGAGAGAGAGAGAGAGAAAGAAAGAGATGAGAGATGAAGAAAGGGAGAGAGTGATAAAGAGACAGAGAGATGGATGGAGATGAAGAGACAGATAGAGTGAGAGAGAGAGAGAGAGTAATGCCACTTAATCCTGACAGGGTCTTTTCGTCGCCGAGTATCACAGTCACTCAGAGACTTGAGTATCCCTGCATGAGTAGGGTCACAGCCTAACGGAAATTTTGTTATTGAAAACAAGAAATAATTTTCTCACCTAAAATCAATATAATTTGATATTAGACGCTTCAGAATATCCAGCAATTTGAGCATATTAGAAACAACAAATTTGAATGGTTATAAAACAATTTCCTGACTCATTAGTTTCAATAGTGCTTACAATTTTCAAAAGTTGTCTATCCAATGGACAGCGAAGTCTTCTTTTGGTCTGCCTATCATCACTGATTGGGTCTGTCAAAGGCGACCCAGCACTGAAGATGGCAAAAGGAAAGTATGGCACACAAATAGCAAGATAGGCGGAGGAAAATGATGACAGATGAGCAGTATGTAAAATTCATTGCCTGAGAATCAGATAAGGAAATAAATATGTGCTTGGATTCAGCATTATAGCAGTAACGATGATTACGATTTCCAATTTTAGCTTAGTTCGCCAAATGGAATTTATTATTTTGCTAGAACTGTAAAAATAATACATTATATTTAGTGGTCTATTGACCAAATTACTTCTTTCAATTAATTAATCTTTCTATGTAAGGTTTTGGTTGAAATGAAAAAGTCGTGGGTTCAAATCTCGCTCGAGACACTAACTTTTTAATTTCAACCAAAACCTTACATAAATAGATTAATTAATTGAAAGATGTAAAAGTAATGTTTATATGTATTGTTTTATTTTTTGCACAATCACTTCTAGTAATTAATATCCAAAAATATAAAATTTCAACACTCAGTTATTGAAATATACATTGTTATCTGTACCATAAAACATTTTTAATAACAAATAAAATACTTTATTTTTTACTTGTAAATACAATAAATATGTCGTTTTCAGGTTTATATCTGAAGAGGTGCAAAAGTTGGCTGAGGATGTGTTTAATATCACATTCACAAAGGATGAAAATTCGGTCAAGACAGGGCGGAATCCACAGTTGGTTTTCATGGAAGAGCTTGCAACGACCGCTGCCAGCAAAGCGTACGTTGATCTGGAATTGCTCAAGATAGCCCTTTTTGAAAGGCTGCTGCTCAATAATCCAGCTCAGCACCTGATCTGCGCTAAGTCGAAGACCAAACTAACTTCAAACTACCATGTCGTCCAGACGGAGTGCATGCTCTACCTTTTTGAAAGCTACAAGCGGCTTAAGAAAATTACAAAAAAAACAACCGACTTCCCTGAGAAAATCATCTCGAACATTATCACTTACGTAATCGAAAATGCTTCCACTGCACTCAGGCAGCCTGCCATTTTTGAAATGCAGGATGTCCATAGACAGGTATTTATTTATTATAAAAATTTATCCAATAAACTTGAAAATGAATTGAAAATTAATGGAATAATTTAAAATAATAATTAAGATACAATTGTATATACTTTATGAATTAAAAATTTTCTAACTTACTCAGAAAGAGAACTGTAGCTTAAGGGCTCCATACACGATCCTGCTGGCCTGTCAATTATACCTGAACTACTAATGAAAACAATTGTTCATGCGTTGTTGCAGGTTTTGACATTGTATGAAATAGAGGTGCTTTACGATGAATTCCTTCAGAGTTTTATTAGCGACATAGTGAATTTGATCATAGCAGAAGAGGGTAAAGCAGTTTTAGCAGAAGCATTCCAACCCATTTTAGTTCATATACATAAAAGCTTCGCAAACGCGACGTTAATGTCATTTCAAAGATCGCATTTTAACGTTTTGAACACGTTTGTCACTATAGTGCCTCTGGCAGATGTAAGGTTTTTCATATTTGTTTTATTAGACTAATTGTTTATTGAAATGGTTTTTGGGTTTTCAGCTTTTGTTGGATTACACAGCGCCAAGAAATTACAGAGTCGGCCTGGCTTATACCGATACGCTATTCGGGAGTATGTTGAATTTGTCATGCCTTCCGAAATCTGTCGAGGCGCCCGTGGAATATTTCGAAAAGCCTCTTGATGGTGTAAGTGACAGAATCGGCACACATTGGAGCAGTACGTTTCAAGATTTTGTCATTTTTGTGAACAGGCATTAAGCGCTCTCGAAGGAAACCTCTGGACGGCTATGAACGAACTGTGTGAAAGGATACATGCGATGTTAGATCATATTCTTCGTTTATCCCCAGAATTAAGGGGTAGGGTATTAAAATGGATCGGAGGATGTTTAGACGCAAATCTTCCACGTGGAAGGCTCTGGGCGACTACAAGCCTAGGACTCCCTGGTGCCCTGGGCTACATTTCTGATGGATTTGTAATCAATTTAACATCAGTTATGTTACGACTCTCTCAACCTTTTATCACTGACCAAAGAAAATTGCTCAAAATTGACCCAACGTATCCAGCATTTAGGGTAAATCCGCATTAAAATATTCACTCGTCTATTTTAACACATGCTAACGCTTTTCTTATTTTTCAATTATCAGGTAGAATTAAATGAAGACATGGCCAAATTCGGTGTACACTGTAAATCTTTAAATAAAGAAACCTGTCTTCTACCTTTAGAAGAAGGTGAGGTCCGTCCATTCTCTTCTCAACCATACAGTTTCATCACCGAATGTTTCTTTATGACACACAGAGCCCTGGATCTGAGTGTAAGAATATTATTAGAACGGACGCAACAACTTTACCAAGAAATAGGAAGACTACAACAATCCCTTAATGATGCTCAATCTCATGTCCAACCCAGGCTAGACATAATTGACTCATTTAGGGAAACAATGGAATTGGAAATGTCAAGGTAAATATAACAAAACTTGGCATCATCTTCAAAAACAAACCTTATCGGTTCATCAGGGTTCATGAACACCTTGAACATTTAGAAAGACAAATACTTAAAATTAATAAACCTCAATCAAAGGACAAGGGTTTTTTTAAATATTGTCATATATAATTAATAACAATTTATAAAATATTCAACTAACTACATATAACTTGAATCTTTTTTTGTTATAAATGTTTTTATTTTGTAGGTACCTGTGTATGAGATGTGCATTGCTCGAGCCAGTCATGTTAAAGCTCCTCGGGCAATTTGAAGTTGCCACGGCCACATGGCTCATCCAGGTGGTCTTAGACCCTATAACTGAAAAACGGCAGCAGTACGCGCCAATGGTCATGAGACCCTTGAAGTTTCCCCTTCCTGAAAGCGGCCCTTCAACTCTGAGGTAATAAAAAGAATTGAAGTCGTTATTTACACCAAATTCCATTGTGGCATAACATTGTCCTTTTTTTTAATTATATTTATTTTATTTTATTGTTTCTACTTATTAAGAGTTATAATTTATTAATAATGATATTTCAGGTGTATACCAGAGTTGGTTGTAGAAAGTGTGGGGAGGTTTATGAAACTGGCAAAAACGTACAGCCCTCAGACTTTGGAAGAAGGGGGCCCCAGTTTAATGGAGCCGCTCATGTCGCTCCTGCTTGTTTTAATGGGCTCAAAAAACAGAGCGAGGAATCCTCATCTGAGGGCACATCTGGCCCAATGCCTGGAATGCCTCCTACCAAGGGATCAAGACGAACCCAGCCTTAATCCGAACCCACTCGGTGTATTTTATAGGGAGAAATTATTTTTAGAACACCCCCATAGGGATCAGGTAGTTATAGATTTTATTTATTTTTTAATAATGTTTATTTTTACGGTGATTTATTGTAGATTGTCGGTTGTCTGCTGCACGTCTTCGTGTCGATAGAAATGACTGGAGAGAGTGTGGCTTTCGAGCAGAAGTTCAATTACAGAAGGCCGATGTATACTGTAATGGACTACCTTTGGGGAATCGAAGGGCACCGTGCAATATTTAGGTGAGTCTGTTTATTTATTCAATGATACATTAAAATAGCAAGTATTTTTATAAGATTTCCTGCTGCTTGATTTCTTGTTTAAAATGATTTTGGTCTATGTGTGTGTTTCGGCTTCTCACTTGTTAGACTCAGCGTTGAAGACAGCAAAATTGTACAAGGCTGACAGCCCAAAAGGAGGTTTCAAAGTGATCTGAACGACCAAACTTAATTTTGTTGTTATTCCTTTAAAAGGACTTGATATTTTATGAGAATTGCCCTTGCTCTTTAACCCCCCCCCCCAAAAAAAAAGGTAGACAGTAGTGTCTCTTATTTGAGAGATCACACAAGGAAAATATAGGTGAAATTAATGGTGGGGTTGTTTACATTTCTTGGTTTGTATTGAATGGCTTACAATATTTTTTTAAATTATTTTTAATTTGAGTACTCGGTTTTGTGGCCCAAAATTCACCCAGGGAGTGTCTACGGTATCAACCGCTCAGTTGAGACAGGAGTGGGGAAAAAAAATTAAATACCAAGAGGACATAAAATAAGAAATAATAAAAAAAAGAAGTCGAGCACCAGTCATTTAATTGGTTAAAATGACCATAAACATAAAGAAGGAAAACAAAGACAAATTAAAAATAAATAAGTAAAATTTAAAAAAAGAAGAGTAAATAAAATAAATGTAATAACCAAACTGACAAAGAAAATATTTTAAAAAAAGGCTAGTACCTACACTGGTACCAAATCTCGAGTCTGCAACAAATCCCTTATAGATGCCTCTGCTTTCTCGGCTACCGCGATCTCGTTGTCGGTAGGATTTCTGTCAGTCCATAGCTCTGGAGAAGAGAGGAAAACCAATGCTTAGAAATTCCCACTCACCCTGAACCTTTGGCCACCACTTGGAGAATTGGTTTTGTATTCAATTTTAAAAATAAATTCACTAATTTCGTGGTCCGTTTGACCAATTAATATATTACAGTTAGTTAAGGTTTTTAGTTGAGATAAAGAAGTCAATGGCACGAGCGGGATTCGAACCCACGATCTTCGGCTTGATATGCCGCTGCTCTACCACTTGAGCTATCGTGACCTCGACCCACTCGGACACTAACTTCCCATCTCAATCCCACCTTTTGAATTTTCCCTCCTTTTTGCCATTTTTCAAATGTGCAATCTATTTGATTCTCGGCGACAAATGAAATGACCACGGAGAGCTTTAGTGAAGGTATACTTCATTTTAACTTATTGAAATCACTAGTTTTCGTGGTCCGCTTGACCAATTGATATCTTTCAATTAATTAAGGTTTTTAGTTGAAATAAAAAAGTCAGTGTCACGAGCGGGGTTCGAACCCACGATCTTCAGCTAGATACGCCGCTGCTCTACCACTTGAGCTATCGTGACCTCGATCCACTCGGACACCAACTTCCCATCTCAACCGCACCTTTTGAATTTTCCCTCCTTTTTGCCATTTTTCAAATGTCGTGTAATCGGGTTGTGGATTCTCGACGACAAAATGGCAAAAAGGAGAGAAAATTCAAAAGGTGCGGTTGAGATGGGAAGTTGGTGTCCGAGTGGATCGAGGTCACGATAGCTCAAGTGGAAGAGCAGCGGCGTATCAAGCCGAAGATCGTGGGTTCGAATCCCGCTCGTGCCATTGACTTTTTTATCTCAACTAAAAACCTTAATTAATTTTAAAAATAAATAAATAAAATACTCTAAAATTATATAAATCTCGAATTTAACACAATAACAAAATTAATGAATTACAAATTTAACACCTTTATTTAAAGAATAAAATAATTTTTAAATGGCTTATTTCTCCTCTCTTCCTCTTCTCGTTCTCATCTCTACTAGCCTCTGCTTTATTTCCCTTATTTTATTTATTTATTTTTTAAATTAAATTTTTTTTGTACAAAGCCAAGCTTTGCTCTATATTTAACCAATTTTGGTCCTGGCTTGTTCCATTCTATAGTCTTTTTTTAAATATATATAATATTTATTATTTACACGTACATGTAAACAAAATGTAAGTTATCTTTTTTTAAATTTTGTTATTAATTTTTTAAATTAACTAATTTATTTTTAGATTTAATGTTCTTTCTTTAAAAAAATTAATTTGACTTGTAATAATAGTAGAAAAAATAAATGGTTCGTTGGGTCACTGCAAAACAATTTAGAATGAATAAAAACGAATTGCCCAATCCAGCCCAAAATTTGGCTTTTGTGGAAAAAATCGAATCTAAAAATCACACTTTTTTCATTTGAGAAGTGATAAGGTTTAATCCGGTATGTTGTTTATAGTGTTGTTAAGTAACAATATTTCCTCCCCTGTGAATAAAGGGTTGGCTTGAGGTTAACTTAAGAAAATATTTCAAAGGAGAGATGATTTGTCATATTCAAATTACTTCTCTCAGCAGAAATTGCATATGTTCACCAGAAAATAAATGTAGCTTGATCGTTTCTGATCATGTTGGTCACTCGCTGTTTCGGTGTTTAGAAAAGTCTCAACTTCTCCCATCTTTGTTGCTGGGTTATAACCCTGCATACTTCAAGAGTAAAAGTCTGTGTTCAAATTAGAATGGAAACTTTCTTTGATAATTTGAGAAATATTTATAAATGGGTCTGCCCTGCCATTTGTTGTACATGAAACGGTAAATGGATTTTTAAGCCCTCCTACCCTATTCGCACTGTATTTTACATTATTTATGAGCTTTAAATGTTGACAGTGAGCAGCATATTCACAGAATTTATTGAACGATGTACAATAATGTTCATCAACAGCAATGGACGATGAATTTATTTTGCTGGTTTATTTTTAAGAGAGCTTGCTGATGAAGCAGAGAGAAATATGGAAGAAGTCATCCCACCATTGTTTCTAAGGTTTCTCAACTTGTTAATGAATGACGCTATTTTTTTACTTGATGAAGCTTTGTCAAACATGGCACAGCTCAGGACATTACAGACAGCCAGGTAAATGATTTATTTAAAATGACATTATGTTGACATTTCCTTGTTACACTCTTTAAATATCAACCAGGGTTGACATTTTAAAGTTTTTTGTTTTTGTTTTTATAAAGGGACAGCGGAGAGTGGGAAAACCTGCCGGACGAGGAGAGAAGCCGGAACGAACAGTTCTTCCGACAAATAGGAATGACAGCAAAGTATGGTCCTATTATCAATTACTGTTTTATGTTTATTGCAATTCAGTTAATTGTCCAGGTTTGATAATATTCTCGGAAAGGAGACTATTCACACAATAGAATACATGAGCTCGGAAATCAAATCAATTCTGTGCCACCGCATGATGGTCGACAGGATAGCGGCGATGCTGAATTATTTCCTGTATCATTTGGTTGGCCCGAAGAAAAAAAATTTTAAGGTGAGTAATCCTTGTTAATTAATTATCAGGGCTATGCAGCAATCAGAGATTTTATATTGACAATGAACAGTAGGGGAAAAACATTTTATCCACTTATTATTTTATTATATGCTCAGAAATATGTATGTATATATTATTTATCGACAAACATCAAGTGGTCATCGCCGGCCCTCTGAGCTTTAAAACAATTTTTTTTCTGTGCATCTTGGTCACTGACTCTTGTCATATTTTCTTTCCTGTTTTCTTAGCATGCTAACCTCTCAGTATGTCTGGATGTCAACTATTAAAAGAGTTAGAAAAACCACACATACATAACACATAAAGATTTTCATTCTTCCCTTCTCCCACGTAAACACTGCTGGTGGCGAGAGCCCTCCCCAGCTAAAAGATCTGGATAATGCCTAGAGGAACCCCCGCAATGCCACGGCAAAGAGCCAGCAGACAACGTCCTCAAAAAACACGCCACGGCCCCCCAGAGAGAAAGCCAGAGCGCATGTCCTGCGTCATGCTACTGGATATTCTGATGACATCGATACCTGTCACCTCTCAAAACAAGACAAGTCTAGTCAAAAATCACTCCCCCAGAGTGCTTGATATTCCTCGAGGTGGATTTAAACCCTCCTTCATGTTACTACATGAATTACTTTCACGTCATAAATATTAATGAGATTTGTGTGGTGATTAGTGACCGTTAATCGATATTTATTTAGAAATCATCCCAATATCTGGACAAGAGAGTAAAGCAACATATCTACGATTGCAAAAAACTTAAGCAAAATCCTACAGCACTCGCTACCTACCATCTGGAACACCAACACAATTTCGACTTCAAAAATCCAAAGTATTACACACAGAACAAAACAAACATAAACATAATTTCTTAGAGGTGGTTTATATCAACAGAGATAAACACAGCATCAATTACAGAACAGATACATGTAAACTCAGTCGCAGCTACGTTAATATCATTAATCAAATTCAATATAGATAACATACCTATATCATCACATTACATTCCACACATCAAATATTTTTCACATAGTCTAATTTCCCAACAATTTAGCTTTCCTTTTCTTATTTATCCCTTTCTATTTAATCCTGAAAGTATAATCTGGCCTAACCATTACCAACACATTGTTTCCCTTCGTCTGCTCTTTTCACCCCAAAGAAGCCAACGCCTTATACAAAAATGTCTTTTCTGTACCGACATCCTTCCCCACCCCTTCAAAATCCAACATATATAAACACAAAATAGCAAAATCTCACTGGCACTCGCGACACGACACGCAAGAATGGCACAATTACACAGAAGACAAACATTTTGAGTGAGTAGAAATACTTTGATTGAATATATAAAAAAATATATTTTGCATTGTATAAATTCACTTTTCCACATCCAAAATGTAATTGTTATATGTAAACAATGTTTGTAAATCCCAGGCCCTGAAGATGATCTCAATAAAGATCGGAACGTTGGCACGATAAAGAAAATGTTTTTCTGGAACGTACATCACACCAGACCGCATCTCACGATTTCTAAATAAAAATTAATGAGATTAGTATCATTTCACACAAATCAATACATTTGCATTTATTTTAACATCAATTTTTTGCATAACTTATGTTTATCTACATAGTTATTATTTATACTACATAAAAAATTTTACTTGTAATTCAACTTTTTGCCATAATCTTTGATTAATTTTGGTCCAAAATCATACAATTTTTATTCTCTGCTTAGCTTTTGTATTTTTTTTTCTTTTTGTTTATCCTCACAACTTTGTTAATTAGTTCATTGACTATCTTCACCTGAAAGTTTCATGAAAAACCCGTTCTGCTGTATTTTTGCAAGAGGTATTATTCTTCTCGAGGCTTTCTCCCTATAAAGTTGTTATGTTTTAAATTATTAATTGTAAGCCAATAAGGTCTTAGAAAAATGACAAGGATATAAAAATTATAACAAAGGGGACCGTGGTAGCATGTTAGACTCTCGCCTCATAAACCCCACGGTTGTGGGTTCAATTCCCATTATAGCCTTTTTTCACGCTCCCTTTCCACCAAGAATATAATTAATCCATCATTTTCCATTTTTCTCTCTTATACCGGAAAATAAGTTGATTAAAAAAAAAAAGTTTATATTCTGATGTGAAATTTCCCTACAGGATCTGAGGGGTGCTGACCTGTACTTTGATTGTCCGGTCATTTTGGTTTGCGTATTCTCACTGTTTGGTCTGTCATATGTGTTTCGACTTTTTGCTATCATCAGAGGGGAAAAGCCAATCTACACCATATCTACTAAATTGTGTGATTTCTCCATGAGTTCTGTGGAAAACTGAACCTATAGCTCGGTCGTTTCTGATCATTTGGTTTCAGTTTGTTGTTGTTGTCTCGCATATAACCCATGCCAAAACGTGATCAAACCAACGAAGATAGGCAGATCAAAATGATTTGTAATGGCCAAAATTATTATAAAGTGTAATGTTTAAAAACTTACTGTATTAATAATTATACACTTTAAAATATAGGTTAAAGACCAGACGGAATTCAAATTCGATCCAGGATCCATAGTCAAAGACATTTGTAGAATATACGTTCATCTAGGCAACAGTGAAGAATTTTGTGCTGCTGTATCTAGGGACGGGCGCTCGTATAGCCCCCAGTTATTCGTATTGGCTAGTGACGTTCTAGGTAAGGTGTATGAGAATTATTTACATTGTAGTTTTTCTATTTGAAAAAAAAAATTTTTGTTTACAGTAAGAATAGGCGGAACAGACTTATTAACCGAACTTCATGCGGTTTCCCAAGAAGTCGCTAGGCTTGCAGCGTTGCAGCAGACCGACGAAGAACTGCTTGCAGAAGCACCCGATGAGTTTTTGGATCCGATAATGTCAACACTAATGACAGATCCTGTTACATTGCCTTCTTCTAGAATAAATATTGATAGATCCACAATAGCAAGGTAAACTGTATGGTAGATTTTTAAAGAAAGCATATTTGTGAAAAAAAATCATGCAAGCAACATGCAATGACTTATATGTTTATAACACACACACACACACACACACACACACACACACACACACACACATATATATATATATATATATATATATATATTTATTTATTTATTTATTTATTTATTTATATTTATTTATTTTCATTATAGAGCTTTTGAAACTCTTGACTGTAACTGACCTCCCACATGATAGTGAAGCAGGTCAGAGCTTTGAAATGGGTACAATAAAAAAAATATATATATATACAAAAATAGAGTTTTGGAAGCTCTAAAATGAAAATAAATGTGTATGTAGCACGAGTTCAGTACACTATTAATCCAAACACATTCGGTGGGGAATTTTTTTCGAATTCTTTCAAAAATAAAGTTTTGTTGTAATTTCCAGTCAGATATAAACAGTATTAATGGTCAATTATTGTGGCTTTGCTCACTTCAAACTCTCCTGCTAATTTGGCTTCATTTTGAATGCTGAAATAGAGAGGTCAGGTGAATGACGCGTAGTTAGATCCTTTCCGAAAGTTTCATTCTGCCAGTCATCATTTCGGTCTGTCGGATGTGTTTTGGCTTCTCATCTCTTCAGTGGTCGGTTTGAACTAAAATTATTAGCAAAAACTGAAAATGACGAGAAGCTAAAACAGATCCGACAAGGCAAAACTGCTAGGTTAGACAGATGAGAATGATTCAAAAAGATTTCACTATCACACTTGCCCTGTTTTTTTTTTCAAAATTTTTGACTTAAAAATAAAAAGTAATTCCTTTAATAAAGGAGGACTTAACGTTCAACTACCCTTGGGTGTTGCATACTAGGGGTCAAACCATACATTTTTCTTACATGTACATTTACAATACATTTTTCATACTGTTATCAATTGAAAAGCCATGGATTCGAACCCAGAACCAAAGCACAAATACGAGACAGACGTCCTAACCACTTTTGCTACTGGAGTCCCTAAACTCTCTACTTATTTTTCAATGCATATGTGTATGTCACCTACCTGCATAATACACATATACATGCACATAGGTGTCTTCCAGACCTGTTTTACTGCTTGGTTTTGCATTATTGAATTGAAAAGGATAATGACTGATGACAATGAATGATCAGTTTGGACCTGAAGGACTTTACTATAATTAAACGCTACTCTTATATAACCAATAAGAAGAGTTAAATTACAGTAGTAAAATAAAAAATAAAAAATCTGCTGTCTTCTTCAGTCAGTCAGTGTTTTGGAAGCTCTAAAATAAAAATAAATGTACATGTGGTATGAGTTCAATATATTGGATTCTGCTTTCCTGGAACAAAACCCCAATTGTTATCCAATATAATTTTTTTTTTTAATCTCAGATTCTTTTTTTTTTGCAATAACATTTTATTTATTTATTTGATTTGATTTGTTTTTATTTTTTTTATTTTATTTTTTATTTTATTTTTTTTTTTTTTTTTTTGTGGCGTTTTTGTAAAAACTATGTGGTTTACGAGCTTAATTCTTTTCCATTTGAGCCAGCAGATCATTTTACATAGAATAAAACAATAAAATCATACTTTTAGACAAAAATGTCAAAAAACCAAAAAAAATTTTGTTGTCTTATTCGATGTAAAATGACCTGCTGGGTCAATTGGAACAAGAATTAAGCTTGTAGACAATATCAACTTGGAATTCTAAGTCGAGTGACCACAATATTATGTCTTAATCAATGTAAAATGACCTGCTGGGTTGTTTGGGACAAGAATTATGCCCATAGACCACATAGTTTTCGAGAAAAACACAAAAAAAAAAATTGTTATTGTCTTATTCAATGCAAAATAACCTGCTGGGTCGATTGGAACAAGAATTAAGCTCGTAGACAATATCAACTAGAAATTCTAAGTCATGTGACCATAAACCCTACAACTTTTTTGCCAAGGTGGGATTGTTGGGCCCATGGGAAGGAACTTTTAAAATACCAGCCCATCATCCATAGGTTTTTTGAAATGTTGGCATACCTTTCATTGAGGATACAAGAAAAGATCAATGCTTTTGTTCATTTAAACCCTATAAATACTAAATAAAAACTCTTGTTGGCCTGTGGGTGAGTACAGGGGGTCCCATGGCACTTTAGGTGTTAAAAAGCTCTGCTAAGATTCAAACCCATAACCTTTAGCAGAATTTGAGTTGGACGCCCTAAATACTTGGCCATTTCGATCCCCCAACTCTTTGCTTATTTTCAACACAAACGTGTTATGTTGTGTCTACCACACCTGTTTTACTGCTTTTTCTTTAAAGGTATTGAATTTATTCCGCTAATCCAAATAGATCAATGTCGTGACTCTACTGTAATTACAACCCTACGTTCAGGAAATAACCAATGACAAATGATAAATTAGAGTAATAAAATAAAAACAAACTTTTTTAAGATATGACCGAATCATTGAAATGTAACGGTTTTTTTATTCTATTTCCAGGCATTTACTTAGCGATCAGACAGACCCTTTCAACAGGTCGCCCCTGACGATGAATATGGTCAAATCGAATACAGATTTAAAAGGGCGTATTGACAAGTGGATATCGGATAAGAGGAACAACAGGCAGGATAGCAACCCTGGTGCTTCGACCAGTACAAAAATGGAATAAATTATTAGTTTTATGTTTACAGAAATAAATCAAAGCAAAAGTCGAAGTGATTTTTTGCTTAAATCAGTTGTATTTTTTTAATTTTATTTTTATCTGTTAAAAGTAAATATTGTTTCCTGGTTTGTCCCATAAATTTATAAATTTCTGAGATCTTCCTTTTTATTTTTCTTATTTATAATAATAATAAAAATTATTTTTAAAAAACAGTATGTCAATTAAATTAAAAAACAAATGATGTCACATAATTTATTAAGTTTTAATAAAATACAATTGATTTCAATTATGAATTAAATTTGTTATATTATACACATGTGATATATCTTTTTCAATTTTTAATACATTCAATATAATATGTAAATAAAAACAAATACTGATTGCCTGGAGTAATTTGAATGGATTATCCACTTTGTAAACATTATCACATAGGATCATATATTTTATTGTTTTATGATCTCACTTATAAAAACGTTATTATCTGACCAAACTTTTAATAAATATATAATCTTATGAAATTATATTTTTTAGAAAGAAAAATCTGGAATTTGAACACGCTAAATTGGTTACATTGGTCAAAAAATATATAATTGATTAATTAGGATGTTTAATTATCCCTTATCTTCTCACTTTTTTCTCTGATAATTCCTTATTTATCATATCTTTGAGTTCGTTTTTCTTAATTTTCCCCGAGGCCGTTTTTGGGAAATTGTCGACGAATCGAATGTGCGTTGGAATCTTGTATTTTGCAATCTAAACAAATTGCAAAAGAAAAAAAAAGTAATAGAAAAATCATATTTATTATTTATATTGAATTAATTTAATATTTTACCTTGTCTTTACAGAAGTCTTTCACCTCCTGCACTGTCATCGTGCTGCCACGATGAAGCTGAATACTTGCACAGACATCTTCTCCGAGACGCTCATCGTAACAGCCGTACACCTAATGGAAAATATATATACATACAAAAAAAAATATTGCATCTACAATAAGAATTTACCTGCGCTTCTAGAATTTTAGGGTGTTTCTGAAGGTACTGCTCTATTTCAAGAGGCACTATATTTTCTCCGCTTTTGATTATGATATCTTTAATCCGGCCGACTACTCTCCCGTATCCGTTTTCGGTCAATATCATGAGGTCTCTAAAAAAAATCCAGTATTGTTTATACAAAATATTTAGATCTTCTCCTTGATGTAAATTACCCTGATTTCATCCATCGACAAGGTGTGATGTTTTCTTTGGTTTTCTCCTCGTCCCTCCAGTATCCGAGCATCAAGGAATAGCTACGGAACCAAACTTCGCCTGGGGTTCCAAACGGTACCATCTTACCATTTGAGTCCACAACCTTGACCTACACAAGTAGAGATTGAATTAAATGAGCTTTTAACAGAATGTTGATGTCATTGTGTCATCATTCACTACTGTAAATGCTCAGTGTTTGAGGACCAAATCGCTGTAGGGGACTATTAGGATTACAGAAGGTGTTAAAAAATACGTGCATATATATATATACAAAAGCATAATTTCAACATAAAACTTCATTATTATTGCTTACAACAACTTTAAACCTATTAGAATACATATAAACTGTTAATCTTTCTAGAGTTACATAGAGAGAGAGATAGAGAAAGGTTATGAGAGATCCACTATCTTCCTATTTCTCCTTCGCGCTCTCTCTCTCTCTCTTCTCCACTCTCTTTCTCTCTCTTCCCCTCTCCCTCACTCCCGTCCACCCCCTCTCGTGCTCTCTCCCCTTTCTCACGCTCTCTCTCTCCTGCCCACCCCCTCTCGTGCTCTCTCTCTTCCCCCTCTCCCCTTTCACTCGCTCTCTCTTCTCCACTGTCTTCCCCTCTCACTCTCTCCCGCCCTCCCCCTCTCGCGCTCTCTCTCTCCCCCGCCCTCCCCCTCTTGTGCTCTCTCATTCTCTCTCATTCATTCTTTTCACTCACTCTCTTTTTTCTCTCCCACACTCTTTCTTTCCTTTTTCTATCTATCTACCTCCACCTTTCTTCTCTCTCACTCTCTCTCTCCCTCTCACTCTCTCTCTCCCCCTCTCACTCTCTCTCTCCCCCTCTCACTCTCTCTCTCACTCTCTATTCATTCTTTTCACTCACTCTCTTTTTTCTCTCCCACATTCTTTCTTTCCTTTTTCTATCTATCTACCTCCACCTTTCTTCTCTCTCTCTTTCTCTCTCTCATTCACTCATTCTCTCCCAGTATTTCTTGTAAAACCTCACTCTTGAATTTTTTTTCCAGTTGACATTACTAGAATGTTTGGAGTTCAAAAGTTTGTGGATTAGGGAGAGAGCACTAGTTCAATGTAAAATTAACCTCAACGAAAATATCCTTATGTAACAATGTAAAAAAAAAAAATCATATTTCTAATTTAGCCTTTTTATAAATTATTTAATTTCATGCAATAAAAAAGATTAAAAGACAATAAAATGTATATTTTAAGATTTCTCCTTGAGGTCTGTGGGGCGATAAACCTTAGCTGATAGATAATCAACTTGCAATCAATAAAAAGGGAGATAAACTGTTGGTTTAAATAAATCATCTTTTGTCAGAGAAATAAGCAAGATGAGGCATTGAAAAAAAAAAAAAAAGGCAAAATATCAAAATGTTTACCAGAATACTATAAACATATTTTGAATACCTCAGTGTGTTCTGCCACTTTGCCGACCGTTTCCGTTCTTTGTTCGAATGTGTCATTGTAAGTATTGGTGAACGTTATCGGGCTCATTTCTGACATGCCATAAGCTGACTAAAAATTAAAAAAAAAATTATTTTTTTATTTATTTAATTATTTTTTTATCTATCCACCTGGATGTTTTTTGTATTGAAACAATATGATATATCCTTGAAAAGCTGCGGAGTACAGAGAGCTCCGCCACTCACGGCGACTGAAAAGTTTTTTAAGCCTTTCTGCAAATCGGCGCTGCCTTCCAACATTTCTTTAATGCTTCTGCACACATCAGTGTACATTGTTGGTGTTCCGTATATTGCAGTACACCTGTTGGATTTATTATTATTATTGTTTTTTTATAAAAAAAATTTCTCAGAGAAAGATGGGTTTTACCTTTCTGTTTTAAGAGTCTGTATTGTGTAATTCGCTGAGAAATGTGGACCAGGGAATATTAACGTTGAACCAAAATCAGTTGCTGTGACTACCCCAAGTACAGATCCAAAAACATGGAAAAGAGGAACTTGAAGGCACACTATATGATGCTAAAAGTTGTCATTCAAAATTCACTTACAATTTTATTTAAACAATCAAAGATCTTTAATTAAAAAAAAAAAAACAAAAAAAAACCTGTTCATGAAGTCCGCATCGTTTACCAAAGAAATGAGCATTGTTTACCATACCGAAATGGGTAAGAGTTGCAGCCTTCGGATAGCCTGTTGTGCCCTAAAAAAATAATATTTTATTCGTTATTTCGGTCAATCATTAATGTTACATCATTACCGATGTGTACTGAATATTTCCAGCTTCGTCTGGCTGAATGTTTCTACTGACTTGGTAAAATTGGTCTAAATTATCCGCCAATCCTTCCACATCTTTAAATCTGTAAGTTCCGCTGTAAAAAGGAAATCAAGAAAATTTTGTTACAGTGCATTTTCAAACTTTTTTTTATAGAAAAAAGAATTTCAGTTTTTTCTCTTCTGGATTGTAAATTTAACAAATGCAATGTTTAGTCTTGCAAAACAGTCATCTCTTATCTGAGAACAAAGCTAGATGTAATAATAATAAACACAAGAACAATGGGCAAATTTTTCCTACCATCAAACCTGTTGTTTAACCAAAATTTTGAATATTTCTATTTAAATCATCACAATAGTATGCACTTCAACTGGAAAGTGCATTACCTTTTGATGTAGTTGAGCATTTTCCAAGGTTCCTTTGTTGCTAATTTCTCTAGGTGTTAGTATCACTTTTCCGAAGAGGCTGTGCAAATCTGTATGTCAAATTTGTGCACCTTTTCACGGCTTTTTACATATTTCTTATGCACAGAATTCTATTACATGGATCCTAGCTTGGAAACTTGATGGTGTGGGGCCTAGACCTAGGGTTCCATTATGTTAAAATTTATGCTGTTGGCTCTTGCATACATCTACATACTATAAAAAGCTTTTACATCCTTTCAAACATTTCTTGTTATTTTTATTTGAAAGAGTTTGTCAAGATTTCTTTCAATTATTTTATCAAACTTTTTTTAACCATCTTATTTAACTTTATCCTTTTTAGGATTTTATTATGACTATTTTAGGTCAGATTTTATTTCATTTGTACTAAGAGTCTGTACGCACTTTTTATGTCATCCTCTTGGATGTAAGCTACAGTTGTGATGTCAGCATCACTTTTAGAAATGTCAGGTATCATAAACTTTTACATCTTACAATTATTTTTTATTAAGCTGTATATATATTAAAAATGATCTATTTTGACTAGATGGACAAATATTTAATAATTTTAACATCATTAAATATTAAAATTTTTAGTAATTTAACCATTAGTCGAACTTACGGAAGTTGTTCATCCGAATTGACAATCAAAAATTCGAGTTCGGGCAGTTGAGCTGTTTTCAACTGGCAGGCCGGTGGCGTCTGTGCGATAGAAGGCGAAATTTCAGAAAGCATCTTGTAGAAGTTTTGTGATTTGAAAGACACATCGGTAACGACAGCACGCAGGCCTGCTTTATTAAAAGTATACTTCAGTTCATTCGGCCTGTAGAGAGGATTTATGCCAGCCTAAAATTGCCCACTGTTATTATTTAACAAACAACATATTGGTAAAGAAATGTTATTCTTTAAAAATTTATTTCAGTGTAATTAAATTTGTTTTTTGATTTTTTAAAAATTAGTTATTGAAGTATAATTTTTACCAAAATGAGTCCAGCTTTTGCTGCTGCATGAAGTGTGAGAAACCAATTGATTGAATTCGTCCCCAATGCTCCGATCCTGTCTCCCGGCTTTAATCCCAGCTTCAGAAAGCTTGCTGCTAGTTGATTAGCCTGTGCGTTTAAATGTAAAACATTTTTTTTTAATCTATAAAATATTTTTTTAAATTACATCTAATAACTAAATTAGAATATTTGAAGTCGAAATTAGTTTTATATTGTTCCGATTTGGAATGCATATTTCATAATTTCACAGTTACCACCGTAATTCAGCAGAACCTTGTCTCGCAGCTGAGAATACGTTAAAGTGACATTTTCATGTTTGGACGACACAGCTATCCGGTCCGGCCATTTTTCAGCAGCATTGTCCAATAATTGGCCAATTGTTAACGGCCTCAACGGCTCACTTCCCTCATAATGGTAATATGACAGAGAACTGAAAGTTAAAAAAATTCATTTTTTTATATATGTATCTATGTACACTACGGTGATCAACCATCTTCTAGAATACTATATTTGGCTTGTGGTAAAAGAAACACAGCTGGAAAAAAAATTATTGTCATTTCCAATTGGCATATTTTAAAACAATGGCCAATTGTTCTGAGACAATGATTAATAATTTAATTAAAATAACTTGATACTTTTTATTTAAATACCAAATTTGGTCGATTGTTAATGTTAAAAATTTTAGGTTCATAATCGTGTTGTCTTCATTCAACAGGTTTTTTTTTTTAATGAATTGTAAATTTTAGATTATAATAACTTAGTTCAATTCAGAATGCAATAAATTAAATCATCGAGTGATCAATTTTAAAATATACCACCAAGCAAGCGTAAATAATAAAACAATTCTATTGTCATTTACTGAACTTTTCCTTCTGTGTTTTTAAATTAAAGTACTATGTGTACAATTTTTAATCAAATTACTTTATATTTTTCTATAGAAATAAATAATTTAATTTGTAATTGATAAAACAACACAATAATGTGATTTCTCCTTGTGAAATGTTAGGTGATGAACCTGTAATTTGGTCTTTATCGATCATTTTATTAGGCCTATCCTTGATCTGTCAGATGTAAGCAGTGCATATGAAAATTTAATTTCACATAAATTAAATTTTTGATTTATTGCAGTGTTTATAATTTGTTGGAAAAATTATCATGCAAAAAAATCCACAAAGCTCTGAATTTCTGAATTAATTCTTAATGTAATTACACAATAAATAAATACCTTTGTGTAACTATTTGTATTTATTAAATAATAAATTATATACAAAAATTGGACGGATGGATGGGGGAAAAATATCGCCAAAACACTGAAGAAGGCGAAATGCTTGAATGTGTCTGGTTCAACAAAAATCAGCAAAATAGGCAGACCAAGATAGTTAACTATCAAACAGTAGGTTTATCATCCCACAGACCACGGGAGGAAATCTCACAATATAGAATGAGAGAGGTTGTGAAAAATGTTGCTATTGAGATATTAACGGTTGTTCACCCTTCTGTGCTTACAGTTTACTCCTGTGTACCTATAGCTCTTCATATGGAATTAGGGCTTTTTGGAACTTTAAAGAACTTAAGTGTGCCTTGCAGGATTACTTCTTTGAGCCATGGAATTCCAGTAGATACTTGGAGGACAGTCAGAAGGTTTGTGCGCCATCAAGAGAGGTAGCCTTACAAGCCTTACAAATTATTATGGATACCCTGTAGTCTTTTTAATGTCTATTGCACAAGTGAGATTCCAAGGTGGGCACGCATAGAGCATTGGTCAGACTGTTTCAGAGATTTTATTATTTACACTTAACTTTGATCCCCTAGTGAAAAGAGAGTTTTAATCGCTAGTTTACCTTTTTAATTTTTAGTTTTTTAAAGAGATCTGTAAAATTAAGTTTGCTATCTAGCAGAACACCAAGGTATTTTAGCTTATTGGTTCATGGAATGGTAGTATCCCATATAGTTATCTGTTTATTGAGGAGTGGCATTCTTTTGTAAAAGGATAGCCTTGATTTTCATTGTTAATTTCCACCTATTACAGAATTCAATTTTTTTTAGTACAAGGTTTAATTGCTTTACAATAGAGCTTAGTCTCCAGGACATATAATAAAACATCGTCAGCGTAAAGGGCCAATTAGCACAAGTAATTTAACAACTTATTCAATTTTCATTTTATGGCAGGATTCAGATGTTTTGTATTTGCCACAGCTCTTTTAAGCCAGAAATATGGAATAATGAAGAAATTATCTTAAGCGATAAATGATAAGGGGCTTCATTGCGTAATCTAATTGTACAAGCTTAATTTCTAACAATTCACTTTTGTCGTTCACTCGTTTTGTCAAAAGCGTCGAATTTATATTTTAAATATCTTTTTTTATTTTATATATTTGAAATTTTCTAATGCGCCTGATTCGGTCTGATTAGATAAAACGTTTGCCCTGTGGAAAACATCTGCTATGATTTATGGGAGATAAGTCCAATCTAGATGGTCACAATTAACATTTTTTTTCTTTCACAATTTTTGGAAGCAATTTTGAAGATCTGACCTGCTTCCTATCCAGAAACATAGAAGATCAGTTACAGACTGTTAAATTAGAATATTATTATTATTTTATTTCAATTAATTATTCCTTTTTATCTTAGGCCGATAATTAATATTGTCAATTAGGACCTCTAAACATGTATGGATTATTATTTTATTTCATTTATTTTTTAATTCTTTTTGCAATAAAGATTAATTTAGTGACAAATTGATTTTTATTTAGAGAAAAGTTACTCACTACTAATTTTAAACTTTTTCTAAAGCTAATTTTGTAACAATAACTAAGTTACTTAATTATTTAAAAATTGCAATTTGGTCATTCCATTTTTATTGCAAATAAATTAATTAAAAATAAATATTTTTTACTGGCTTAAAACGTCATTTTTTAATCAAAAACGGAAATTTAATTTTTATTGAGATTCAAGCTGAACAAGGTTTTCTATTTATATAGATTTTATAGATAGGTTTTCTATTTATTATATTTGTATAATATTTATACTTATATTTGTTTTAGCGTATTTTTTTTTATTTTTACAATCAATGCACAGCTTTTGATATTTGGTCAAAGTGATGAAAAGTGTAAAGTTCTAGGGCTTCACGTGTTGTTGTATCAAAAAATGAGTTGTTTTCGGAAAAATAAATTTATTTCCGAATGTATCCATGTATAATCTGAACATTTATAGATTTTCCTTAAAGTATTAACAGACCTTGTGATCTTTTTTGCCCTTATTTTTAACCTATTTCAATCATTTATTGTTCCTCTCGTTTGACAGTTGAAAAATTGACTATTTCAGTTGGGTTCTTTACTATTAAAACGTTATTTTTACCTATAGTTATTTACTATGTACATAAATAGAAAAGAGTAAATTCTCGACGAAAGTTTTTCTTTACTTTACTGTTTAAAAATTATAGATATTTTCAATCAAAGGGCCTATTTTTATTATGCAAAATTACTAAAATAAACGTTATTGATAATAAATAATCTGCAGGAACCATCTATACACGTAGAAACCCAATAAAATCTATGTATCAAATTTGGTTTCGGATATGTTTTAAAATCGGATAAATTGCAGTTTTCAAACGTTCAAAATTAATAATAAACAATTGTTTTTAATCCTTAATGTTTTTAACTGTTTTCTTGTTAATTTTTAAAAGAAAAATCGGCACTAAAAAATTTTTTTAGACGCACCTGAAGCACCTTCTTGTAAAGGTGACGATGGCCGTGAAAGAGCTTCGAATTTGCTTGACCATCGCCTCGTCCAGTCTCGCTGTGAATCGGATTCTTTCTGGCCTGCGAGACCGAATGACTGCATTCATCCCCTCCACAAATAATGACTGCTAATTCATGAATTAAAATTCATGTGATATCGCAGTACGAGAAGAAAACGAAGTAGAAGAAAAAAAGAGTGCACGGATTTGCCAGAAGGATAAAGAATCTCGTTGGCCTACAATTAATAAAAAAGGCTTAAAATCCATGGAACTTTTTTTTTTCTTAAATGAAAATGTCTTCTTGCTCGTTGATTCTTGGCGATTCATTACTAAAATAAAAGATGAAATATGGCCCAGGATGGGCATAATCGTTATTTTCTTCTTAATATAATCAGACAATTTATTCGATTCCATTTTATAATCAACTAAGCAATAAACATTCATTTGTAATATCGGAAATATCGAGCACTCTGTCGTAGCATAAACGAAGTCTGGTGGGTGAATGTGATTTATTAGCGTGAATGGAGTGGCATATCTCCAATTACCCGGAGGAATATCGAGTACTCTAGCAGAGTTTGAAAACACGTGTGAATGCACCCTATTTATGTGAACGATTTCTCCCTTGGAATATCGACTTTTCCCGTGTAATGTGATTGATTGTGTTGCACTGTATTAGCGAGAATGTTAGAGATGGGAGACTTATCCCCCAATTAGCCCGATGGATATCGAGTACTCTGGGGTAGTATGAATGAAGACGTGTGAATGAAATTTATTAGCGTGAATGGACGCTCTCATTTGCTACCATGGAATATCGTCTTTTCTTGGATAGTGTGATCGAATGTGTGATGCAATGTATTAGCGTGAATATTAGGCTTATCTCCAATTTCGCCGAGGAATATCGAGTTTGAACAAATGTGTGAATGTAATTTATTTCTGTGAATAAAGGGTCTTATCTTCATTTTCTCCTTGGAATATCAACTTCTCATGGGTAGTGTGATGCAATTTATTAGCGTGACTATAGAGATTTGTCTCCAATCAGCTCGAGACTCCAATAATATCGAGTACTCAGGGGTAATATGAACGAAGTTGGGTATGTGATTGTAATTTATTAGCGTGAATGGGGAGCGTATCTCCAATTACCCAGAGAAAAATCGAATATTCTGGGGGAGTTGAATAAACGTGTGAATGTAATTCATTAGTGTCAATGAATGGGGCTTATCTTCACTTTCTCCCTGAATATCGACTTCTCTTGGCTACCCAAGAGTGTGTGTTGGAATGTGTGATGCAATTTATTAGCGTGAATATAGAGGCTTATCTCCAATTACGCCGAGGAATATCGAGTACTCTGGGGTAGTATGAATGTAATTTGTTAGTGTGAATGAAGGGGCTTATCTTCATTTCTCCCTAAATATCGATTTCTCTTGGCTACCCAAGAGTGAGTGACGGAATGTGTGATGCAATTTATTAGCGTGAATATAGACGCTTATCTCCAATTAGCCCGAGGAATATCGAGTACTCTGTGGTAGTATGAATCTAATTTGTTAGTGTGAATGAATGAGCTTATCCCCAATTACCACAGATGAAAAAAAATAATCGTAAGAAATAAGAAAAAGTTGAAAAAATGGAATTAAGCCCAAAGCTGAATGAGTGAAATACAGGGTGAATTGCTACTCGTGCTACAAACTTCTCCAGTAGATTCTTCACCCTAAAATGAACAAAAAAGTTCATATTGTCCATGGTCCGATTCTCNGACCATGGACAATATGAACTTTTTTGTTCATTTTAGGGTGAAGAATCTACTGGAGAAGTTTGTAGCACGAGTAGCAATTCACCCTGTATATAAGTAGATAAAGTGAGTGTGATTGAAAGAGGAGGGCTAGCAAAAGTAAAAGAATGAGTGAGCATGAGAAAGAGAGAGAGAAAGAGAAAGAGAGAGAGAGGGAGTGAGAGAGAGAGGCAGACAAGTACAAAAGTAAGTAGTAGCAAAAGTACAAAAAAAAGGGTGGAAGAGAGAGGGAGCGTTAAACTGAGTGAAACAGAAGGGGAGGGAAAGGGAGGAAAGACTTACTGAGTGAGAAAGAGATGGGAAAACAGTGAATACAGTATGATATAAAGAAAATACACTGTAAAATGAAGGTAAAGAGAAAAGAAAAAGGCACAAAAAGGGAAAAATTATCAGACAAACCGAGAGAGAGAGAGAGAGAGAGAGAGAGAGAGAGAGAGAGAGAGTGAGAGAGAGAGAGAGAATGAGAGAGATGGTTACCGTTACATCTGAAAACATCATAAGTTGGCTGGAGAAAAGTAAAAGAAATCAGTTGATTTAAAACGCGATAAAAATAAGAAAAGAGATGCAAATCTGAGAAAGAGAGGGCTGGCGATGATTAATGGCAGTTTGCCGGCTCTAAAACTAAAAAAATTATTAATACATATTTATACAATTTTTACCTTTCTCCTAAACACAAACATTTTTCCATGAGGATTTCTTTGCGAAATTTTATATTCGATGCGAGGATATTTCTAAAAGTTGCGTTTTTTTTTTTTTTAATTATATAATACTCTATAATTATATATCATCTTGGAAGGAAATTAAATACAAAAAAAGGGTCAAGTCAAACAAGCCTGCAGGATGTTTACAAGGTTTGATCCACCAAGGACAATAAACTATTCGTTTCCTTGGGGGAAAATTTACAATGCAAAATTAAATAAGGACGAGTAGAAGATATACGCAGGTTGTTCCACGTAAACAAATATATTTAATATAAAATTTAACTCCCAGAAGAGAACTTGTAAAAGTTTCAAAACATGACTTTTTCGTTTATATACTTTATCTGCCGGCTTTCCAGTATTTTTGTAAACCTATTTATATCGTATGTTTTTTATTTTTATTTTAATTTTTTTTCTGTAGGTTTTTGCTGTATTTCTCAATCTAACACCCCGCCAATTGGCAATCTTCGGCGACTTGCTGAATTGACCTGATTTAAGATAATACAATCGTTTGAACTATTTTTTTGAACTATTAAAAAATGTATACATCTTTATGCGATAATTTTTATTATATAAAGAATTATTCGGCAGTTTTCTTCTATTTCATTGCGAATCCTTTTTAGTTCAATGTAGAGTTCAAATCTTCTTTAAGGTCTTTACTAGGTGAAAGAAAGACAAAAGTGTTGGGATCTCCAAGCTTTCGGCAACATTATGTTGCCATCATCAGGGCCTATTTACTAAGAAAAAATATACATAAATAATATAAATTATTGTTTTAATTGTTGATTGTTAAATTTATAATAATTATGTATATGTTTTCTTAATAAATAGGCCCTGATGATGGCAACATAATGTTGCCGAAAGCTTGGTGATCCCAACACTTTTGTCTTTCTTTCACCTAGTAAAGACCTTAAAGAAGATTTGAACTCTACATTGATTATCTGCAGGTCGATCTACAAACATCATTTCCTTTTTAGTTCTTATAGGCAGAAAAGAAAATTCCTGAGAATTTTGTTCCATTTCTTACATTAAAATTTATCCTTTAAGATTCAAATTAATAGGCAAAATTGTCAAAACAGCTGAATGTGGCGATGTCCGGGAAAGGGTGACTCGACCTGCTTATAACCCTGACAATCATTGAACATGACTAACTCTATTTTTCCGCCTGTAAACTGGCCAATTTAAAAACCAATGGACGTTAGGAACTTTAAGAAAACGAAAAAATCTCCTGATTAAAAAAAAGTGGATAAGCAGACTAAAATGAAATTTTGTTTTGTTATTTTTCTTGTTGAATTTTTCTAATGTTTAATAGTCAAAGATACAATGTTCAAATGTGAAATTTTAGCTTTTTGTTACATCATTGTTGATATGTAAATGATTCAAATAAATAGGCAAACATTTACCTAAAGTTTATAATTGTATGTGTTCGATGTTAATTATATTAAAAAATTATAAATTTATTTATGCTGAAATTTAAAAAAAAAGTTATCCAGGGTTTTAAAATGTTTTTTTAAAAATCCAAAGGAATTTATTTTTCTCTGCAATTGGGTCAATAATGTCTGTCGGTGAAAAAAGGCGCTCTCCGGGGGGGGGGGATCCGTGGTATTCGAAAGATTCCAACAACTCGCTTTGCCGGGATCCTGAGGAACAGGACCGCTGGAAAAGCAAGGAGCTACCACATTCCAGTCACAGATGGACTGCCATCTGTGACCGGGCACCCAAACCAGTTTTACCCGGTCAAATTTAACTTTTTGTAAAAATATTTAAGTCTTTTATTATAGAAATCCTTACCTACAACTCATAAAAGTACATAAACTGATTAGAAAAAGTTTCTGTATTTCATCAATCAACTTGCTTTTTTTTTCTAAAATCTGAAAGATCTCACTCTTTGTATAATTATTATTCAAAAAGTGAGTACAAATACTTTGATTGAATCTAAAATTTTTAGCATTGTATAAATTCATTTTTTTTCAAAACATGTATTTGTAAAATTTAAACAATGTTTATAAATCCCAGGCCCTGAAGATGATCTCAGTAAAGATCGAAACGTTGGCACGATAAAGAAAATGTTTTTTTAAACCTACGTCAAACCAGACCGCATGTCACGATCTCCAAATAATAATTTCTCAAAAACTCTGTTTCACACCTAGATTAAAATGGCAACTTTATCTAAACAAGCTTTCAAAGACGCCCTGTAAAAGAGAGACAAAAGTACAGAAAGAAAAACATAAATACACTTTTGGTATAAATTTAAAAGTAATGGAGCCAAATATTAACTATTTATAATATATAGTTTATTCCCAAATTCCTTATCCAAATGCTCCAATCATATCCCAAGCCTTCTATGCTCCTCTAAGACTTCAGTCTTATCCTTCAGAGTTTCAGGGTCGACTATGGAATTTGCTTCTCTGGGAAGTATGTTCTGCTTCCTAGCTGGCTTTTTTAGATCCAGACATTAGATTTTATAAACGACATGAAGCATCACCTTTTCTTTCCTCTTCTTTTTCTTTTTCCTGTTCCTTTTTATCGTTTTTCTCTTTCTGCTTTTCTTTCGTAATGTGGTTTCATCATTCAACTATAACTAATTAATATTTTAAAGGATATATTATTGCCATTATTGTTTTGTATATTTTATTAAATGTTTTATTATTATTGCTATTATCATTATTTTACTATGTTTGTAAAGCTACGATTATTTCTACTATATGTACATGTAATGGGCTTAGTCCTATTTGTGCCTTTAAAATAAATATATTTATTTTTTTTTAGTTTTGTAATATACTCATTTTTTATGATGTCTCTGAAAATATTTAACCTCACTAGTTGGCAGATGGTTTGATTAATGTATTTTAAATAAAAAAATGATTAATTATGTGCTGTCATCTTTTTATCTTTTGGTCAACCTTTTGTCAACCTTGTTTTGATTTGTCAGGCATATCTTGGCCTTTCAACTTCATTAGTGGTGGATTAAGTGCCTCAACCTGCTTATACACCTGACAATCACTGAACATGGCTAAGTATTCTTCTACAGCCTTACAGGCCTACATAAAAACAATAGATATTAAAATTTGAAATTAAAATTGGTATCACATACAATTCTCTGGTGAAACGCAAAAGTCCTCTTGATTTTTCTTATTGACACGATAACTAATCACAATCCCCAAACATTGAACATTTCAAATCAACTGTAGATTTTTTAAAACATAAAATTTTTGTACTATTAAAAATGACCAAATGCATTATTCAATGAGAAGTGTGAAAAATGTATTCACTGTAAAGTTCGAAAACATTCTGTATGTGATGTCCATGAGAAATAAAATTTAAGATTTTTTATTAAGACTTTTCTATGCCGGGTTAAGTAGCAAGAAGTCAAAGTGGGCCAATTTTCTAAAGATCATTAGTTAAGTATTGTTCATATTTTTTAACATGCTCTAGTGTAACTTATTTTAATCACTGCATTCAATAAAAGTGATCTTAAATTATCCTTATTCAGCATCAAACTACTTGTTCATCATTTCACTCTGTTATCCACCCACTAACTCCATTCTGTTGATTAACCATTATCATCTCTTATCCACTAATTTCATTCATTCAACAATCACTTTATCCACTCATTTCAATTATCCAACAGTTCCCTTATCCACTAATATCATTCATTCAACTATACTCTTATCCACTAATTTCAACCATTCTCTTATCCATTAACTTCATTCTTTTTTTTTAACCAGCCCCATATCCACTAATTTCATTCATTCAACAATTCCCTTACTTACTTATTTAATTTATTCACCCACTCCCTTATCCACTAATTTCATTCATTCAACAAGTCCTTTACTTATTTCGTTTATTCACCCATTCCCTTACCCACTCATTTCAATCATTCAACCATTCCCTTATCCACTAATTCCATTCAATCAATCATTCCCTTATCCACTAATTTCAATCATCCAACAGTTCCCTTACCCACAATTTCACTCATTCAACCATTCCCTTAACCATTAACTTCATTCTATTAACCAGTCCCGTATCCACTAATTTCATTCATTCACTCATTCCCTTATCCACTAATTTCACTCATTCAACCATTCCCTTATCCACTAACTTCATTCATTCATTCAACAATTACTTTACCCACTCATTTCAATCATCCAACAGTTCGCTTATCCACTAATATCATTCATTCAACTATACTCTTTCCCACTAATTTCAACCATTCTCTTATCCATTAACTTCATACTTGTTTTTTAACCAGCCCCATATCCACTAATTTCATTCATTCAACAATTCCCTTACTTACTTATTTAATTTATTCACCCACTCCCTTATCCACTAATAACATTCATTCAACTATACTCTTATCCACTAATTTCAACCATTCTTTTATCCATTAACTTCATTCTTTTTTTTTAACCAGCCGCATATCCACTAATTTCATTCATTCAACAAGTCCCTTGCTTATTTCGTTTATTCACCCATTCCCTTACCCACTCATTTCAATCATTCAACAATTACCTTACCCACTCATTTCAATCATCCAGTAGTTCCCTTATCAGTTTCATTCCTTCAACTATTCCCTTATCCACTAATTTCATTCAGTCAATCATTCCCGTATCCACTAATTTCATTCTATTAGCCAGTCCCGTATCCACTAATTTCATTCATTCACTCATTCCCTTATCCTCTAATTTCATTCATTCAACCATTCCCTTATCCACTAACTTCATTCTATTAACCAGTCCTGTATCCACTAATTTCATTCAACTTTTCTCATCTACTCTCTTCATTCTTACATATTCATTCTGTCTCTCCACTCAATTTATTCACCACTCTTCAATCTCATTCATTCCACTTTTTTTTAAAACAACAAATAATGATTCATCCCACCTACTTCATTCATTAATTTCATTCTGTCTTAAGCATTACATTGATTCCACTTTCTTCAATCTTTCCAACTCCTTTCATTGCACTTAGTCTATCCATTTGCTCTTTCAGTAATTTATGTTACTCCCTCATTGATCACTTTATTCAGTTTTATGCAACAATACAATCCAAGCAATGAATAGCGTATTCGCTCACTTGTTCCACTCTATTCATCGCTTCACTCAGTCTATCCACTCACTTATTCAATCCTTACTGCTAGTATACATATTCAGCATCCAAATTACTAACAAATCAACATTACATCTTTTTTTTTTTTTTTAGAAATCTGTTCACTTGGAAGAATAAGAGAACTACTGATTAAATTCAATACTGCCATATCGTGAGTTGGTTTTATTTTTCAGTTTTTCAAAACCTATATAAGTGAGAATTCCAGGCCTAGAAAATTGGCAATAATACTTTTCTAAAAAATAAAATACAAATTTTCAAATTGACTCTTAACATGTTCCTTTACATGCATTTTATTATAATAATCTTGTTAATATTGTTTCAATAACTGGCCTTATTTTTTTCTTCTTTTTGATAAGCAATAATGAGTATTGAAAATCCAAAAATGGAAACATTTTGCTTTAATCGCTGTTTAATCATCTGGATCAATCGAGCTTTCTACTGCATCTGTAAGACCGCTTTACCTTGGATTCTGTTGTTGACTTCCAAATCGTGTCCGATTTACATTCGTATTCTAAATTTATTCATTCGTCCATCTGTCACCGCAAGGTTCGGGTTAAATAAATTACGGGAAAAAAACACAAAACAATTTCAGTCTTTTAAATATTTATTATTCGCCTTTATTTCACACTGTGTGAATAAATGAAGGGAAACGAGTCCAAAGAGATTCATCTTTCCAGCACTCCCTTTATTATTTAAATTTTTCTTTAAAAAAATGAATAAAAGGCCTCAAAAGCTGTCTTTTTAGAACGCTCCCAGTCGGTAACATCTTGATTTAAAAAAAAAGTACAATGAAATTATTAATAATATAGATGTACTATGCTATTAATTCAATTAACAATCAAAACTATTACCTTGTTAAAGAGAACAAATACTCAAAAAAGGGTATAAACTTAATAAAAAGAGTATTAAGTACTTATATAAGTAAATTGGTCACATTATAAATAAAATGCACATAACTATTAGTTTTTTTAGTTAGTTTTACATAAAATAATTTGGTTTATAACTTTTCTCTTATACATTACATAAAAGCCTTTTATTAATTGTCTATACAAGACATTTATGTTTAGTGATAATCCGGCTCTGGTGATGATTTGTTCATTTTATTGGCTTAAAATTTGTTTAAACTATCTGTTCGTCTATTTGCATTTTATTACAAATTAATTAATATATGAAGAATTAAATAACATTTCGGACAGATTTACGACAACGCTTTACCATCTGTCGCAGTACAAGATAAGTACAATAATGGTTGAAACTTATTTTAAAAAATGAAATTAAATTATAATAAATTTATTTGTGATACAATAAAAATAATACTCCTATAAAAATTCAAGCACGATATTTCTAAATAGTAATAAATAATTATAAATGTTTATAAATACACTACAAATTGACAGGTATCACATACTTAGTAATTTTTAAAACCTACTTTATTGTCATTTAAAAATATATTGATTTTCGATATTCAAAATACAGTATAAAATGTAGATATTTACATGTGATTTTTCTGTTAAAATTTATTCAATAATTTACTTGTAAGGCAGCATTTATTATTTACCTCTGCAAGTTAAGTAATTCAATATGGTAAACAGGTAGTTTTTTTTTAACGAAAAAAAATTAATATCATGCTATTTTCTAACTTTACAGCACCTTTGTTTTTTATAATTTTAATTAGCATGACATATTTAATGTCTTATACAATATTTTCTGACAATCATCACAGAAAAAAGACCAACAAAATAAAGATAAACGAATAACTTTCCCAGTTTTCTAATGGTTACAGACTAGTATACTCACAGTTAAAAATAATGTTACAGATTCAATCCTAATTATACGATGTGCGCGCCTGAGTTTAAAAGATTCACGCCATTCCCCCGTCCCTCAAAATCCGTCGCTTCGATCTGTTCCTTCAGCAACTCCAGCTCCCTGATCCCCGAGACGGTCACTTCGTACTTGTGCGAGACGAGCGACCGGTAAAAGTGGACGGCGAATGCGACAAAAATAATAAAGACCGGTATGACGATTATCGCCGCCGACCATGCAGCATATGCCGAAAAATCGTAGAATTTTACATAGCAGAGTATAGCGATTTCGCAGAGGAAGAGCAAGAGTCCCAAAAGGGTCGAGAAGGCCCAGGCCGTTTCGATGTACCAGTGGAGACGTTCGTGCGGCGACTCATGTACCAAGTTGATGGCATGCAGATTGCAAACCGCTTCAATGTTAGGTAAAATGCAAGTACTTATCATTAAAGCGAGCATATGGACTGCTACCAACAAAGTGGTACAAATGGCAAACACAACGTACATCTCTTTTGGCACTTTCGAATCTGGATTTAGCTGAACCTCCACCATAGCCACCTAAAATACAGAGAAAAAAATTGTGGTCAAAATTGCATAAAACGTAAAATCCAGGCTCAACATGAAATTATGACTATTTTTAATCAATTTTATGTTTTTTATTAAGCTTTTACAACAACAAAAAAATATTATTTACTCTAATATATTACTCTAATTATTTACTTTAATATTATTCATTCCACTGAGGTAAGAGAGTAATTCAACAAATCAGAATCTTGGAAACCCCTGAGCCATCACATCGGCAGGAGTAAAGTGGCCCTCTACCTGGCAAAATACCTATAACAGTTCCAGTAAAAATACTGGAAAACCTAATAACAAATTCATTCAGATAAACCTACAGTTTGTAACTTGTTTGAACAGATCATTGAATATTTTAAAAAATCTAAAACAATTAAGGAAATATAGTCCACTAAATCTCTACTACTCGAGATTATCATAATTTTCTGAAATAGAAGCTTTGTTAAGCACTTGTGACACAAGAACAAGTCATCGGAAACCTTCAAGTCCCCTTTGGAGGCCCACGGTACTGGAATATCATGAAACCTCACAGCTTTTGCTGATGACTATACTGGTTACAAGAAATGACTTTCACATTTGTACTTCAGATAATAAAGGACTATTGCAGTAGGAAAAAAAGCAAGGTCATGCCATCTTCAGAAGGCTAAAAGAGATTAAGGTATAAATTATAGGTAAATGCTTGGAAATCGTTCAGTTAAAATACCTCGAGTCTTTGACATTAACGTGGAAAGAACACGTACAACGTGTGAGCCGCGGTGGCTGAGTGGTTAGGGCATTCAACTAGTATTTGCCATGCTTGCGGTTATGGGTTCGAATCCCGGCAGAACTCCAAATCCTATATGACAGAAATTACATTACCTTTTACAAGATATGTGACAAAAGACTAATCAATCAGTTCACAATTTATCTTGAGCTGCTACGATATACTGGAGGTTAAGGAAAAGCTACCCTTCCAATTCTTACTTATGTAGTGCCAGGATGGTAAAAAAAGATTATTAAAAAAATACAAAACGTTCTCATATGAGCCATCCTGGCAAGATAAATTCCAATAGAGCTTGAAATAACAGAAGATATTAAAAAATATAAACTAAAGCACGAAAATACAACCGGACTTGGACCTCCTGGTTAACTAACAAGAATGGCATCCATTGAAACAAATAAGTAAAAAATAATCTAGGAATGGATAGCAAGATATTCAGTGACAAATAAAAATTGACAGAGGCACAGGCTAATTACACAACATCACAATAACGTACTGTGAAATCCTTAGAGCTGCTGGGATTTTTTTAGCCTCCTCCTCAGTACAATTTATTAAGTAGCCTCCAAAGAACTAAGGTAATCATTGGAAAAGCTTAATAAAAAAAAATCCTAAACTTTATGAAAGAGACATTTACCCAAAACAAAATTTTATTTTTATACTTACCATTGCGAACCCAGAGAGGAGGGCGGAGGTTTTACTCGAGGCCTTTAGCTTGGCCCTACTCAGTTGAAGTTTTCTCCAAGACAGGTAGCTAGGAGAGTTAGGTCCATCACCGTTTGTTGACATCTTCTACTAATCAACAAAAACAGATCTATTTGAGAAAAGTGAGGGTGGTGCAAGTTTAAAAATAAAATTGATTTAAAATATTTAAAAAAAGGATGCTCAACCAGCTTGTTATGTTTTAAATTGTTAAAAGTCGTTCTTTTTTTCCCATAATCTTTCATGCAAATCCAAACGATATGGTAAATACATGCGATAAGTTCTTTTATTTGATTTTTTTTTTAAATAAAAAATCCAATACAAACATCTTTTTTAAACCATTATCTGTCTTATTGATTCAAACTCAGAATGTATGCCGCCACACATTCAGATTTAATTGAATCTACCTTTAAATACAGGATGTCCCTAGCAAAGGAGGTCAAAGCACTCAACGTCCTTTTGTGAATGTACACGTGTATAAAAATTATAATCTTGAAATTTATTAACTTTTAAAAAAAAGTTTTAATTTTATTAATTAAAGTAATTTAACAACCTGTCTTGAAGAACTGATACAAATTCACTCAGATATCCTGTGATGATAAGATAAATAAATAGTCAATAGTCAAATGAGAAAAAACGTCTATCAGAGATATAAAAGAAGAACTGAATGAAAATTATTTGCTTATCTTAAAATCAAAATCATTGATTTATGTTATGACGCTGGATAAACAAACCCTTGTACTTTGAACTGAATAGCATATAAAGAATGATCAAAGCTTGAAAAGGAACATACAATTCACTTGAACATTTATTTATTTAATATTTAAAAAATTAATAGACTTTCCTCGTGGTCCAAGACTGAGAGGTTTGAATATAAAATATATTGTATGTATACGTTAAAAAACCTAACATTATAATTCATTGTGAACACATAGTTTGTCCGTACCCTGATCCTCCTGATCAGCCTTTTCTTATTGATTTCGTCTGACAGATGCTTTTCATTGCTTCAGGACTGATTGAAAAAAAAAGCTTCTTCACTGAAATGCTGAAAAGCATCTAGCAGACTTAAAAAACACAAATAATAGAAAGTGAAATTTTTTGTTTATCTGATGATGAAACAATAATTTGGTTGTTGCCAAACATTTTAGTCTGCCTATTCTTGCTGGGTTTTTCGACTATCTTCAGCGTTTGTTCTGTATGCTGTTGAACACAGAAATGGTGAAATGTTCTGACAGACCGACCAAGCAAGTATACGCACAATAAAATGTTCCATAATGACAGTATGATCAGGGAAAATGTCACTAGATTTATCACTCTTTTACATTATAATATCTATAATATCTAGGTCTGGAGGATACCAACAAACTCAATATTCTGGCCCTTTGATGTTAAAAATGCATTAAAAACATGATTTAAAAAAGTAGAAGCAGCAATCAGCAGAGAAGCTCTATCGTATTAGAAGCATTTTTAATAAGTGGTCCTCAGAGGATCTGACTAATAGAACAAGGGCCATCCTCACCCAATTAGGATAGGCGAGGTTGACACCAACACTTTTGTAATGATTGATTGATATGTCCCACTTAGTGTCACTCCTTAGCTCTATATAGAGAGCGGGTAGGAATGTCATCTGCTTGAGCCCGCAGAGAGTATTTAAGTCCCCTGTTCCAAAATTTACATGAAATATTACTGTTTTATGTAAATTGTACTTTATAGATATCTTGTCTTGCCTTTCTTTGTGTACTTTGAGACTGAATGTATTTATTAGAGTGAATATGTAGTGTGTAATATTGAGTACCCCATTGGCCCTCAATTAAATTAGTTATATAATAAGTGTAAAGGGTGATATAAGAATATCAAGTACTCCACTACCCTAACTGAATGAATGGTATGTACGAGTGAATATATTTAACAGTGGAATTACATTGGGGGCTTAAACGATCTAGATGTTCATAGCCCCTGGACAGATAAGACTGAGATCTGACCGACAACCAAGGTGGGGGATTCTCGAAGCCTACTGGTAATGAAGTTTTTCGGAAAAACTTCATGTTTCCAGCAGGTCGATAACCCAGCTCATCCTACAGGTATTTATTGTAAATTACAAAAAAATTAGATTGTTGGTGAACTGTAAGTAGTGTAATGTAGATTATGAGTGAATGTTTGGAGTCAGAGCTTTATAGCACTCAGAAGGGAAACAGCTGACTTAAGACAGAAGTTTTAAATATATCAGTGAGGGCATGAAATGACCTTAACTGTTTAAACGCCCTTAAAAATTAATAATAATAATACAAGACTTTATGATTTATTAAAATTGGAGTAATTACATTGTTATACTTGGGCTACCTTCGTAAGGTCTGATGAAAAAGTAGACATTTACGGTCCTACCAAACTTCCTGTGATTTGATGATTCGCCATCCTCAGGATCCTCCTGCTTGGCGGAACCCTAAATGTCTACTTTTTCCATCGTTGAGACTTTATAAAGATAACCCATGTATAAAAATGTATGATTTATGTTTTACTTATGCTCTTGTATTTTTTAAACAGCCTTTAATATACATAAAATAGGATCAAACGTTGAAAATGGTTATTGATGTATACTTTATAAGAATTTACAATTTACGCTGTCGTTTTACAACATTGACATGATTTCCTCGTACGGTGCATAAAAAAATTTCAAAGCATGAAAAAAATATTAATTCATATTTACTTTTTTATTAATTTCTGTACATTACATATATGTAAACTGTATATTATAAATCAAGTTGTACACACTAAATGATTTTCGTTGTTACGCTGTTTAATAAATATGATACCTTGTATTCCATCCGTAGAGCTTGAAATATAGTGAAACCTTGAAAATAAATGTTATTTAACACTTAATTATTAATTTACATAGGCTATAATACACAATAAGTGCTGTTTATATTAAAATAAACCTTATGATTTGCGTTGTCAAATAAACCTGACAGTTGTTTACTTTAAACTGAAATATATACGGCATAAAACCTGGCTAAACCGTGAAAATAAATATTCATCTTTGTATTCTATTGTTTACTGATTTGCATATCGCAGTAAATATAGTTCGTTAAGAAATATGTTTCCCTTCGTTCCAGGAAATTGTTATTGATAAGATTATTATTGAGTTGAGCACCTTTTTTTTTAATATATATTTAATAATAAGGAAAAAGCCCTTACCCTATTCGGCTGGTAGGGGAACCAATTTCTGGATGGTAAGAAATGCACACTCCCTCCAAAATTCTCAAATGTTATTCTTCCTGTACTAATGGAAGATGAGGACATGGAATGATTAGAGATCCCTCGTTTATCTGATTTCATGGAACGCTCTAGCAGGTCAAGAAAAAAAACAAGTCAAAAACTTATTATATATTAAAAAAAAATAATAAAAAAAAATCTGTTGCTGTGAGTAAAATTAAACATTAGCATTCCAGGATAATTTAACCAAAATGTGCATAGGGGTTTTTACCTCATCCGAATATGTATTGAAGGTCCCCTTTTTAAAATTCGATAAAGGTTTTTGTTTTAATTCTATTCACACGGCAAATAATTCACAATCATGATTTAAAAAAGTCAAATATGACTTTAGTGATAAATCAGTGATACTGTGTTAAAACCTCTACATTTCTGGTCAACGACAGCGTTGTACTAGCTTGGCAAGTGCCAACACTAAACGTCCAATAGTTCCTGCTCCTTCCACAGAGGACACATGCTGACCAATCACCACATTCAAATATCCACAGCATCCAACACATGCACAATTAATAAACTAAAAGTGTAAATTATGTAAATTTTTGCCTATTTATTTGAATCGTTTACATATTTGCAATAATGTATCAAAAAGCTAGAATTTCACATTTGAATATAGCATCTTTGATTGTTAACCATTGGAGAAATTCAACATGAAAATAACAATATCATTTTAGCCTGCTTTTCCACGCCCTTTTTATTGTTTGTTTTTTTAAAGATTTTGAACCTAATGTACATTGGTTTTTAAATTGGCCAGTACTACAGGAAGAAAAATATAGTTTGCCATGTTCAATGATTGTCAGGGTTATAAGCAGGTCGATGTACCCTTTCCTGGAAATCAGTGCATAATACATTCAAACATCCACAGCCTCGAGCACAAGCATAATTAATATACTAAAAGTATCCATTAGGTAAAAGTTTGCCTATTTAATTTAATCCTTTACATATTTACAATGATGTATCAAATAGCTAGAATTTCACATTTGAAGATTGAATATTTGATTGTTCAAAATTGGACAAATTCAGCCTGAAAAAAAACCAAAAAAAAAAACAATGAAAATATCATTTAGCCTGCTTATTCTTCTTTTATCAGATTTTTTCGTTTTCTTAAAGATTTAAAAGTAATGTCCATCGGTTTTGGAATTGGCCAGTATTACAGGCAGAAAAATAGAGTTTGCCATATTCAATGATTGTCAGGGTTACAAGCAGGTCGAGTCACCCTTTCCTGGAAATCGCTACATAATAAATTCAGCTATCCACACCACCGAACAAATGCGCCATTAATAAACTAAAAGACGGCTTTTTGTAAAAGTTTGTCTATTTATTTGAATCGTTTATATATTTGAAAATGTATCAAAAAGTTAGAATTTCACATTTGGAGATTGAATCTTTGATTGTTCAAAACTGGATACATTCAGCGTGAAAATAAGAAAAAACAATTGAAATATCATTTAGCCTGTTTATCCACGTTCTTTCATCAGATTTTTTCGTTTTCTTAAACATTTAGAAGTAATGTCCATTGGTTTTTAAATTGGCCAGTACTACAGGGAGAAAAATAGAGTTTGCCATGTTCAATGATTGTCAGGGTATAAGCAGGTTGAATCACCCTTTCCTGGACATCGCTACATAATAAATTCAACTATGCATACCACCGAACACAAGCACAATTAATAAATCTATCTGTCTATTACATCAGAAAGTTGAAATTTCACGTTTGAATATTAAACATTGTAGAAAAAGAATATGAAAATAACAATGATTAAAAACCCATCTTTGGCCGGCTTATCCACGCTCTTTTGATCGTTTTTTTTTTTTTTTTTTTTTTTTTTTTTTTGTTCGCATACAATGACGCCGAACAAAGAGTTCTATTAATAAACCGAAAGAGGATATTTCGAAATGATTTGACATATTTATTTGAATATTTGATCATTTTAGCCAGCTCATTCAAGCTCTTTTGTCAAGAGTTTACCAAATGGAATGATTGTCAGTGGTATAAGCAGGACGAGGCACCGGCACAAACACACAATTGATGATGACCAAATTTATCAGAAATGACCAAACTAGTTTTCATTGACTGAAGATGTTATATATGACAACAATTTTGATTTTTAAACGTTGAAGAAATATGATGTCAAGTTTATAAGCAGGGCGAGGCACATAAACCCACCACCCAAAATGGCAATAAACCCAAATTCGTCTGTCAGACCAAAAAGTGAGGATAACTCGAAGACTTTAAGGAGAAATCACAGTTTTACTAAAGGTTTTTAACTGGAGTTGGAAAAGTCTTGTAAAGAAGAGGATCCGGTTTATTAAACATTGCTTCGAGCACCTTGATCGTCATGGATTCTAGCAAATTGATTTGCAATTTGACAAAAAAGAACTCTATTGCTGAATTAGCTGTACATTCAAGAAGTCTAGAAATTGCAATGTCCAATGATTGTCAGGAGATAAGCAGGGCGAAGCACCGACACAAACGCACCACCCTAGATGGCGAAAACTCGAAATGCGTCTGACAGACTAATATAGTGAGGATTATAGGCAAAAAAAACCCTTTTTTTAACTGGACTGAAGCTGGAAAAATATGTTTAAACCTGCGATTTATTAGCCATTACTTCGGGCACAATCGTCCTGGATTTTCGCAAATTGCCTTGTTATTAAACAAAACCATTTAAAGATGAAATAGCTCTACTTTCAAGCATGTTAAATGATTGTCAGGGATTTAAGCAGGGCGAGGCACCATTGACGATAGCGTATAGCCGAAATTCGTCCGACAGGACCAAACAGTTAAGATCACTCGAAGACTTTAAAGATAAATCACTTAAGGTTTTTAAATGTAATTTTAAATGCTGGATAAAACTTGTAAAGTCAAAAGGTCCTGCGATTTATTAACCATTACTTCCGGCTCCATGATCGTCCTGGATTCTCGCATATCGTTCTGTTAATTAAACAAAATATAATTCCATTTAAAAAGTAGAAATTAGTAGTACATTCAAGAAGTATGGGAGTTGCCGTGTTCAATGATTGTCAGGGTTATAAGCAGGGCGAAGCACCGACACAAACACAACACCCGAGATGGCGAAAAGTCGAAATGCGTCTGACAGACCAAAATAGTGTGGATTATACGTAAAAATACCTTTCCTTAAACAGGCACTGGAGCTGGAAAAAATCTTATTTAAGCCGGAAGGTCCTGCTTTTGCTTAAATTCCTTCTTCCCCTTTGATCGTCTTGGATTCTCGCATGTTTTTTTTATTAGACAATTTCAAATAGAATATAGTAATTTAAAATTTAATAGTTTTTTTTACTAATTACAAAGCTTACTTCTTTTATTCGGGAAAATATTTCGAAGATGTATGTTTGTATGTTTTACTCGTTTGGATGTTAACTTACTTTTTATGATTCTGTTCCATCTTAAATGTTTAATAAGACATCTCATGACGAACCAGTGATCTTTAAATACCAAAGTTTGATTATTTTACGATTGATACGTCTGGTAAGTTGTTAATGCTCTTAGCGTTTTGTTTCCGTGGTGAAAGTTTTTCCGCCGAACGTTTTAAAGGTCCAACGCATTAAGAGGGTCCTCTTGTATAAATTATCATTTCAAATTAAACAGAATTAGGAGAACATTGAGAAAAATACAACCGGGGGCGGAGGATCGACAAATTATTGATTTAAAAGCTGTACTTTGAGGAATTGTGTAAAATGTCTAACAATAAGGTTGAAAATAAAAATCTTATATTATAACTTTGTCTTTAGATTTTTTTGTTCGTGACATTTTGATTGTGCCTAATTTGCCTACAGTTACCTATTTTTTTAAAATGTAACGCTCTTCTTAATGAAACGAAAGCCATGCCATGCAAATTAGCTCAACAAGCCAGACCAAAAACCCTATAAATAATTATTGATTGGACCTATTAATCAAACGAGACCAAAAGTATTAACCAAAACGCTTTTGAATTAAAAAAAAAAAAAATGCGAGGATTGTTGCCAAATCAATAAATATAGGGCGTGAAGTACGCTTTCTAAAGCTTAAACGTTGCACAATTTCGGACTTACTTTCACCGTTTTCTTTCATCTCGTGCATCCAAAAATGTAGATCCTATGAAAGAAAATTCCACAGGAGCACAGGACACTCGTTCGCCTCCGTTTTGCCTTGGGTTCCGACTAGCTCCCCAGTCTCTGGAGACGGCCAAATGCCGTTTGACAAGGCATTTTCCGTTCTCCTTTCAAAATCAAGGTCAATGACACCGCTTTTTATCGATCCGATGAAGGAAATTATAAATACACCGGCACAGTAAGAGTTAAAATAATCGCAAGGTGCTTAGTGTACAAAGAGAATTTTGAAGACTAAAAAACAAAAAAAAAACATATTTCAGAAATATCCTCAAGATTGTTTTATTTCTTTGATAATATACTTTTATATTTATATTTTCTATAAACTAGTGAAAACAAAACAACGAATTATTAAACAAAAAGCCCATTCAATAAATCTTTGTTTAATTTGAAAATTCTTTATTTGCAGAATGGTTTTTTTTAAAACTATTATTCGGAACGTTATCCTGTTCGCGTAATAATAATTACAAAATGGAACTCAAAGGTCGAGTAAATATTTGCATACGTTTGTAAGTTTGCATATTAAGTATCTTTGTTTTGGTTTGGATTTTTCAGTTTGAAGGACAGTTCTATCATGAAAAAATGGCATTTAAACAAATAAACAAACTACCTTACACACATAGAGAAAGAAAAAGATATTTATATAGAGGTAGGTACATAGATAGAACGAGAGAGAGAGAGAGAGAGAGAGAGAGAGAGGGAAAGAGATCTGCTGATATATAGTTAAAGAAAGAGTGTTTGTGTTTGTGTGTGTGTGTGTGTGTGTGTGTGTGTGAGAGAGAGAGAGAGAGAGAGAGAGAGAGAGAGAGAGAAGGTGAGAAAAAGAAATGTGGTTATACATAGATAGATAAATAGATCATTTATTTATTATTTGGAAGAGTTTCTTAAGAATTGCATCCAACAAATTTACTAGCATTGAGATAAGATTTATTTTATATAGATACTTATATCAAAAAGTGATGAGAGATAAACAATAAAATCACTATCTGCAAGGGTTCATAAAAATGATTTAATATGCTTGGCGCATCCAATACTAAATCTTATTCGGGTGACAGAAATACGCGATCAAAGAAGATTAGGAAAATCGGCTTTTTAATTCATCATCCGAAGTTCCTTAAACACTTAAAAAAAAAAAAATATTTTCAGTTTAAAATTATTTTTTGTATAGTATCCTTGTTTTACTGCTTGACATAGCAGCTTGTGATACTTTGTGCATAGTACAAAAAATACTATTATTAAAATGCCAAAACTGATTAATTATTATTCTATGCTTGGATAATAACGTAATAATGTAGAAATTATAATAATTGTGAATGTTTGTGGAAAAAATCTCTGCTCTTTAAAGATTATAATAGTTTGATTTTCTAATATTAATATAATGAAGATAAATTATGATGGTTCCTTTATTTTGAAGTTTTATGTTTTATTTATTATCAGTGTAGTTAATTCAGCTTGTTCATAATAGAAACTAGGTATAAAATAGTTAATATTTTAAAAAAATCATTTAAATGATGTCCCTTTGCGGCTTCCTCGGGAGTCCCGCAAGGGTCTCATCTTGGACCAGTTTTGTTTCTCTTATTTATTAATGATATCCATCTTGCTCNTCTTTCATTTTTGTTGTTCAGTTTTTACTCTTTAATTGTATTTTTATATTTATCATTTATATTTACCATTTATATTATTACTATGTATATACGTCCTTATTCTTTTTACATATATTATTTGTATTTTTACATATATTATTTATATTTTTTGTTATTGTAAAATGTTTTTTTTTTATAGTGGATTTCGATCCGTAAATAAATAAATACTTATTCTTATATGTAAAGTAAATGTTACTTAAACATTTTGTTAAGTTAATTAATTTATTTATTTTACAGCTGTGCTATAAATTATAATAGCATTATAATTTATAGCATTAGCAGTCTAGATTATTAAATAATAAAGTAAAACTTTGGATAACTATTCAAAAATTGTTGTACTGGCTTAAAAATTGTATTCCATCCCAATTTTTTCATGCATACACAATAATTAGACAAAAATTGTTCATTAATTTCATCTTCCGTAAAGTCTGTTCAAAATGGTGGACTCAAGTATATCACCATTGGGATTACAGGAAACAAGAGAAATAAGGTAAAACAATGGACGACTGTTTAAAAATGTCCTTCTAGCACAGAAATTGTATTTCCAACCACATTTGTGATTGTTTACACAATAATTAGACACAGGAGGTTCATTAATTTCATTTTCTATAAGGTCTGTACAAAATGGTGGACTTTCAAGTAAATCACCATTGGACTACAAGAAATCTAAGAGAAATGAGATAAACATTGGACAACTGTTCTAAAATTGTTATCGTGTCATAAAAATTGTATTCCCAAACGAATTTTTGCTTCTTTACATAATAATTATTCAGAAATCATTAATAGTTAACCGTTCATATATTTTTTACAAGATGGTGGACTTTTAGATACGTTATTATTGGACTACAGCAAATAATTTGTGAGATAAAGGATAAAAGTTGAATAATTGACGAAATTCTTGGAATGGCAGAAAACCACTCTAACCTGAATTTATAATTTGTTTACGCAGTAACGTCTCCCAAAATTATACAGAAATAGTTTTTTGAATAGTTAAAAAATTAATATGTTTTGCCATGGCTTTTTGGCAGTGTCTAATTGAAATTTGTTTCGCAATTGGTGAGTCGCCAAGTACACATGGTACGTCCCGTGACGTCCAAAAGCCTTATCACCATGATCACAATGACATTTGCCGGTAGAATTGAATCCTGCCGAATATGTTGTAGATCGCCTACTATCCGAAAGTGGTAAATTCGACTTGGAACTGATTTGTTTTCAACCGTGTAACCCTAAATGACAACATAATTGAATTGAGAACTGCTTGGGGTCATAGCCAAAGTTGCAGCAAGGACAAAATCCTTTGGGATGGAGGATGTTCAAGATTGCACCCCCGTACTTCCTGACACAGCATCCGGAAACGGTGATGCTGAAAAAGAAGAATCTCAGCCACTCGAGAAAAACAACTGCTGGGGCAAATTAATATCTATAAAAAGCACCCTAGAGTCAAAAGGTATAATGACCACAGTTTTCTTATTTATTCAGTGAAAAGAAGGTGAAATAGACAATATATAGAATGGTTAAAGAATGAAAGATTGTACAAAAAAAAAAAAAAAATCTAATCAAATGGTATCTTGCTTCAAAAAACCATTGTCATGAGTAAGAACACATGATACAATCTTGACCATACTGCAGAATCAATTGACAATATGATAAACATATAGTTTTAATCAATTAATTATTCTTTCTAAGGTCTTGGTTGAGAAAAAAACTCAGTGTTACGAGCGGGATTTGAACCCACGACCTTCTGTTAAATATGTCGCTACTCTACCATTTGAGCTATCATGACTTCGTGAAATCAACCTTCTCAACCAAGACATTAGAAAGAATAATTGATTTAAAAAAGTCACTTGGTCAATTGACTACGAAAACATAAATGGATATAGTTTTAGTTCATTTCATTGCATGGTAGGTGAATTGAAAGAAATATAAATATTTTTGGATAATATATTTTTAAATGTACTAGCTGGAACAAAGCTCGTTAAAAAGCATTACTATTCAAATGGTATTTGCTTCAACAAATCTTTATTATGAGCAAGAACACATGGTACAATCTTTACCATATTGCAGAATCAATTTACAACATGATAAACATAGTTCTAAAGTAATTTCAATGCATGGTAGGTGAGTTGAATGAATGTACAAATTGTAATAAATTATACTTTTATCTGAGGTCTTGGTTGAGAAAAGTATAATTAATTAAAATAATTAATATGGCCAATTACGACTACTAAACATGTATTGATGAATATACGAATATTTTTGGATATTATATTTTTAAATGTACTAGCTCTTAAAATGCTAGTAGCTCTTAACTAAGCTCTTAAAATAAATAAAAAATAAAAAACTTCAAATGGTATCTTGCTCCAATAAACCTTTATCATGAGCGAGAACACTTGGTAAGATCTTTACCATACTGCATCACTTTGAATGAATATACAAATATTTTTGGACAATATATTTTTATATGTGCTAGCTGAAACTGAGCGCATTTAAAAGCACCACAATTCAAATGGCATCTGCTTCAATAAAACTTTATCACGAGCACGAACACTTGGTATGATCTTTACCATACTACAGAATCAATTTATAACCATATCAATCATTTCAATTACATTCGACCAAGACCTTAGATAAAAAGAATAATTGGTATATAGTTTTAACTGATTTCGTTGCATCGTAGGTAAAATAATCGCTTTGAATACATATACAAATATTTTTAGGTAACTGTTTTTAAATATACTAGCTGGAACTAAGTTTGTAAAAAAAACTCTATTCAAATGGTATCTGCTTCAATAAACCTTTATCATGACCAAGAACACTTGGTCCGATCTTTACCATACTGCATCACTTTGAATGAATATTTTTGGATAATATATTTTTAAATACACTAGCTGAAACTGAGCTTGTTAAGAAGCACCACTATTCAAATGGCATCTGCTTCAATAAATCTTTATCACGAGCACGAACACTTGGTACGATCTTTACCATACTGCATCACTTTGAATGAATATTTTTGGATAATATATTTTTAAATATACTAGCTGAAACTGAGCTTGTTAAGAAGCACCACTATTCAAATGGCATCTGCTTCAATAAATCTTTATCACGAGCACGAACACTTGGTACGATCTTTATCATATTGCAGAATCAACTGACAACGTGATAAATATAGTTGAGTTCATTTCAATCCTTGGTACGTTAAACTTACACTTAAAATGTATATGCAAATACTGAATTTTATAATTATTCAGAAATCGTGAGATGCGGTCTGGTATGATGTAGGTTTCAGAAAAACATTTTCTGAAACCTACATCACACTACCACATCTCACGATTTCTGAATAATTGTCGGTTAACTGTCACTAATCACCACACATTGAATTTTATATTTTTTAAATGTATTAGCAGGAGCTAATGCTGTTAAGAAAGAACGTAAATTACTTCAAAGAGCTGTTTTCATGAATCATTACAATATTGCAGAATCAAATTGACAACATGATAAATAGAGTCCAGATTTGTATGCGATTGTATATTACTTTTTCAGATATTTACGACCATGGTGATCAGATATTTATCTATGGAGTATAATGGTTAAGACTGAATTGCATATTTGAACAATAACGTAAATTTGAAACAGTTTTGTTTACTTTAAAAAGATACAAATAAATTGGGAAAATAAGAACGTAAGAGAAAAAGTAAGAGCCTAAAATTTGATTCAAAATCAGTTAATTTTCAAGGAAAAAAGATAAACAAACTAACATACTAAAATTCTCTTGAAATAATTGGCATTAAATTCATTTCCAAAACTTCTTGGTGTATTTTTTTGCCATTCCTGAATAATTACTTTTCCTGAAGTTGTCAGGTAGTGGAAGGAAATAGGGGCCTCATTTGAAACACAAAAATAATGTCTCAATATTTTTCCATATTTTCAACCGAAAGTAGGAACTTCCAACTTCTTCTAAAATAGAAGGTTGGATTTTTTTCTTTCGATGCAAAGCAAAATAGTAAAATCCCCAGCCGGGCAGGAATTATAAGAAAAATTAAAAAAAAAACATTCTTGACAAAAATACTATATGACTGAATTGGGGGAAATGAATGAAATCATAAATAGAAAAAATAACGTTCTTATACAACTATCAAGTTATTGTAAGTGCCTACAAGTATGCTCCAATCACTTCTGATAACGATGAAAAACCTTTTTCAAGGTAGAACTATTTATTGAGTGATAAATGCTGCGGTTTTACAGAAATCAACCTTGAAATGTATCTCATTGTCAATTTTAATTCAAATCATGATCATAATTTAGCTTAATTATTTATTTTGTGTAATATTTTAACGAGGATAGGTAATACAGTCCGTCCTTAGATTGGTAATGGAAAAAATAACTGTTTATAGTTGACCCGTTATAATTGCTTAGTGAATTTTCATATATTTTTATTTTTATAATATAGAAAACCAAGACCAAGACTCGAGGGCTTAAATTCCTGGGTAGACTCGTACCCCATCCCTAAAAGGTCCGGGACTTGGTCGGCTCACGTGTCCTGCATAAATCTCTTGGTCTTGTTCACAAACCCCAAGATTTTGGACCGTTTTATCTTGGGGAGTGATTTGGTAATGTCCGCTCCTTCAGAGATTTCAAATCTGGACCTAGCGTACCTATCACACTCTGTGAGGTAGTGCCTTGCCGTTTCTTCTTTTATTTTGCAGAAGCGGAAAAAGGGATCTGGTATGATACTCATTACGAAGAGGTGTCTTCTCAGTGGGCAGTGGCCCGTCAGAATACCTATCAGCCGCCTAATTCCCTTCCTTGATAGAGAATAGCCATTTCGATTCTGCTGGTTTGATCACCTTAACAAACTCCTTCGATTGCCTGTGTCTGGGGGTTAAATTCCACTCCCTAAGGATTTCATGCTCCAGTTATTAATACTCTCTTTCGCTGTGCTCATAGAGTGAAGTAATACTGGTTGTGGCACAACAAACGCTATATTAGAACCTTCTTTGGCTAGGCCATCCGCCTTTTCATTGCCATGGTGTCCTTTATGTGCTGGTATCCAAATAAGGGTTACCTTGTTCTCAAACCTGGAAGAGATCCTATTGATAAGATCTACAGTTTCCTCCACCCAAATCCGGTTAGGGCTGCATCAAGAACTTAGCAGGCAATGGGGTATGGTATAGTAGAAAAGGATACTAGGAAGTGGGATTTGTATTCCCCAGGCACTGCAGCCTTCTGGCTTTTGTGCCTTCCTAGCTCCTTAGTTCAGTCAATAGACTCAATCCTTCTTTGAAGTATCAGGTCATTGACTGTTGCTGCTGCAATTTAATCCCCTAAGTTTTTTCCATACGTTACGTTGAACCTCCATTGAGCAGTTGCTTCGCATTCGAAGATGATATGAGTAGCTGTTTCCTCCTCCTCATTACATAATCTGCAAATGGGATCATCGCTGTAAATACCCATGTCGTGCAGACGTTTTCTCAGATACCAGTGACCGGTTAGTAGTCCTACCACTCCTCTGAGTTTGGCCCTCTCCAATTGCAGCAGTGTTTTTGCCAATTTGGTGAGGGTTGTTTCAGCATAAGTTTACTATGTCTAGCACTGCTAGAGTTTATCCACTTCTCCTTTTGTTTGTTTGGATCCATTCTGTGGAGGATTCTATATTTGTTTTTGTTGGCAGTGGGGACAACAAAATTACCCTTGTCTAGGAACCAGGGTAAAGGGGCAATGAGGGACCTGATAAATTGGCCGTGGAAGGTTCGATGAGGACACCTAACGGCCCTGATCTTTTGCAGCATACCAAACACACCAAAACTGTAGGTCCTTCAAACAATGGGTTAAAAATAGGTCCTTGGTTCAGTGAGAATTTAGTCCAGGATAGGCATGCTAAAAAGTTCATTGAAGAACTATTGCAGAAACTAACGACAGAACTACTAAACCTAGGATGTGTTAAAACTAGAATGATAGTTGGCCTGCTGACTCCGAAGATGTATAGACTTGCAGAGGTGCAGAAACAAGCCTGTGCAGATATTGCCAGGAAAGAGAAGAAATAGCGGGACATGTGCTCTGTTGGTATGAAGGCCTATGTAGGCATTCCTAATCCTGGGAAAGGGAAAGCCTGAAAGATAATAAAGCTTTGGGATTTGATTGTGTACTAGGGCACTTAGGGCCAATTAGCCTAGAAAAGTTTGATGAGCACACCTATCTGCCCTGAACGCTTTTATGGCATGCTGAATTGCCAAAAATGTAGATCCTTCAGCTAATGGATTAGAAATAAGAAAATACAAACAGGCCTGTGCAGATATTGCCAGAAAGAATAACAAACAGCGGAACACGTTCTCAGTTGGTGTGAAGGCCTATGCAGGCTGAGATTCCTAATTTTGGAGAGGAAAAACCTAAAGAATACACACAGAAGCCCATAAAAAAGTTTTCTTTCTGAAAAAAAAAAAAAAAAAAAATCTAATGGATATTGCACATTAGACCAATATCGGTTGTGGTGCACATGGTTGTAAAGAGATTGAATACTTTTAACCTTAACTGATTTTGCATTTGTGTCAATCTTTTATCATTAGACAGTTAAATTAAAGGTTAATCATGTAGCATACCACAAGGAAAAATCTCACTCATTTAATCATTAATTATGTCTTTTATTCAGCTGTTGTGTGTGCTGTAATTGAAACTTGACAAAGCATTGTGCTTACATTCTAAAAAAGCTGAGTCTGATTAATATTGAAATATTTACAGAATTAACCGATGACTGCTATTCTGTGGGAAGGGCGCCGACGTGCGATGTGATATTGAACAAAGGAAACATCGGGGATAATTATTTTTCCCAGATTAGCAAAGTACACTTCAAGCTGTACCGGGGCGACTTGGGCGAACATACGGGCCTGATCTACCTTGAAGACGTCAGCTCAAATGGGACTTTCATCAATGACAAGAAAGTTGGAAAGAATAAAAAAATCATTCTAACATCTGCTGATGAAATTTCACTCGCTCATCCAAAAAATAAGGGTAATGCTTTTACAATCAGGTTGATTTAAGTAAATTTCAATTTTTTTTAAAAATTTATTATAGTGTACTTCTTCGTAAATATGTCAATCGATAAAGATAGATGGCTGCCTACAACAATAGGAAATAATTTTATTGTACTAAAACATCTCGGGACTGGTGGGTTTGGTGACGTAAAACTAGTAATGAACAAGGTAATAATCTAATAAATAATGAATTTATTATATACTTATATTTTTTTATTGTTTACTTTTCAGAAAAGTTTTCAACACTGTGCAATAAAGAAACTACCAAAAGAGCTTGACGATAATACTAAAATTTTCAACGAAATCAACATCCTAAAGAGGATAAATCATGTAAATTAAAATGCCCAAGATTGTATAAATAACGAAAATAGAAAAACCAACCGATTTTTTTTTCCAGCCTTGCGTTGTCAGGCTTGAAGACGTGGTCGAAACACAAGAATCCGTCTGCATATTTTTAGAGTACATGCCAAACGGGAATCTTTTGAAGAAGATCGTCTCCAAAAAGAAACTTTCAGAAACACAGACCAAAGTGATATTTTACCAGTTGATGCTTGCCGTCGAGTACCTACACGAGGAGGGAATCACACATAGAGATTTAAAGGTAAAACCTCAAAACAAAAAAAAGAGGTAAAAGTTATTTTTCATGAAGACTCTGGATCATATTCGTGAGTGAAAAAATGGTCGATACTTCTACCACTGAAATTTTTTTTTATTTATCTAATTAGACAAAGATAATATTTATAGAATATGCAATAGATTATATGTATTTATAGGATAATAATGTATAAGATAAATTTAATTTTGATTTTTTAATTAACCAGGGAGCAGGTAAACATGAAAATTATGTTAATTCCTTTTCTATCCTTATTGTTTGAATGATTATTTGTTTTACACAAATAGAAATTAAGATAAATCTAAACCGTACTGAAACGTTTCTGTACAAATATTAATCCATTTATGTTTTAGTGGTCTAATTGATCAAATTACTTATTTCAATTAATTATTTTTTTATGTAAGGTCTTGGTTGAGATGAAAAAATGATTTCTGTACAAATTTTACCAAAAGCCTGAGTTTTCTTGCAACAAAAAATGAATAGAGAAATATTAAATAATTTAAGTCTACTAATACTTCAAACACAACCTAAGACAAAACGGCATCAGTTGATGACTAGTACAAATGGATCATGTCAGCTCTGATATGATATAATGATGATTCGTTGACCACATTAGCTTACTTCTTGTTCCATAATTTGCTCAGAGTATTTTTTCATTTTATTTGTACATTTTCAAATAGTAACTTTACCAAACTTTATGTGTGGTGATTAGTGACTGTTAGTTGATAATTATTCAGAAATCGTGAGATGCGATCTGGTGTGATGTAGGTTTCAGAAAAACATTTTCTTTATCGTGTCAATGTTTTGATCTTTATTGAGATCATCTTCAGGGCCTGGGATTTACAAATATAGTTTAAATTTAACAAATAAATGTAGGATGTGGAAAAAAGTGAATTCATACAATGCAAAAAAATATATTTTTTGTATTCAATCAAAGTATTTCTACTCACTCAAAGTGTTTGTTTTTTGCATAAGTGTGCCATTCTTGCGTGTCGCGTGCTGAGAGTGCCAGTGAGATATAACTTTGAGTGAGTAGAAATACTTTGATTGAATATAAAATGCATATTTTTTTGCAATGTATAAATTCATTTTTTCCACATCCTACATGTTTTTGTTAAATTTAAACAATGTTTTTCAATAAAGATCGAAATGTTGGCACAATAAAGAAAATGTTTTTCTGAAACCTACATCACACCAGACCGCATCTCATGATTTCTGAATAATTAATTTTATTTATATTATTAATCTACAACTAGATCAATTTAAGCAATAAGCAGATAGGTTCCATGAAAAAAAAAAAATGTAAGTGAATTTGAGCCCACTTATTAATGATCAAAATTAGGTAGTCTACGTGACAAGCCAGCAATGCTTCAACCTCCTAGGGGTACGAAGGTCATGGATTATGGAGTTGGAATTGAAGATACAAAGAAGCCCCTCTCTAGCGATCACCTCTCTTAACGGACAATCTTTGCATCCCCTGGCAAAAAAGGATTTCTGTGCATATTAAATCTCCCTATACTGGTTGCAGATATATAGAACTAGACTAGAAATTCTAGAACATTACATAAACAGTAAAAATATTTGTTACGATGATTTATTAAAAAAAAATTAAAACCAAAAGTTTTTGGAAGGTATGCTAGATATGGTGTAATATTTTACTGAAAAGTGATAAAAACTGTTTTGTTTAAATTTTGTGTTTTGGCACAGCTGATAGGAAGATCTGTGTGCTTTCCTAAGAGATGGTTTGATAAACTTGAACATTTTTTGGGAATTACATAGGTACATTTTTGAAAATTTCTCTTTCAAGCATTTGTCGGCTTTTTTTATATTCATTCTAGAAATCAATTTGTCTTTTTATTTTCTGTTTCTTCCTCAAAAGTTTCTACTTTGCGGAGGGGCCAGAAATTCTCACTGCTTACCACTAGCAAGTTGACTCTGAGTGGTAGAAATTACGATTGCCTCACTATTTATTTGGACTGTTATTGATAAAATGCGCAAATCTTACTCCCAAATCTCAACAGTATTTCGTGTGATTTATATGAAATCACATGAATTGAAATTAAAAGAGCTATTTTGGATGTTTGAGTATTAGAAATATAAGTTTGAAAAAAATAAATGACCATGGTGAACAAATAAGAAATGCATCAAAAATGGCATCATGAAATGTCTTATTTAAATATTTTAAAAAACACTAAGATCGCTTTGTTATTTTTTTTTTTTTATATCGAAAATAATATTAATCCATACATATTTAGCGGTCATAATTGACCATATTAGTTATTTTTTGGTTAAGATAAAAAAGTTGATGTCGTGAGCGGGAATCAAACTCACGACCTTTGAGCTCAACCAAGACCTTACATAAAAAATATAATTAATTTAAATTTAAGACGTAGCCCTAACAACTTGAGCCATCAGGCTTCGATCCACTCAGACACCAACTTTGAGACTTCCTCGAAGTCACTTACCTTGAATATTTATCTTGATTAAAAAAAAAAAAAAAAAAAAAAAAAAAAAAAAAAAATCAATTTTAAACCCCCCCGAACGGGCACCCAGGAATTGGAAGATCTAAATCGAGAGTATGGTCGTGTAGAGCAATTTTCACTGGAGTTAATGAATCCAGTTAAAACTTTTTTTTATCTGTTCTGTACATTTCCGTCTGGAGCTAGAAGAGCTGTCTAAAGTATTTTTGTTTTGTTTTGATTATTTGGTCTTTTACTTGTATTGTATTTGTAGTTCAATTCAATTCTGTCAATTTTAGTCTTTTCTCAAAGCATAATGTTATTCAATAAATAAAACAAAATTTATATACCAAGGCAAGTTATAAATCTGAAATTTAATAGTTAAAGTAATACTGTTTAACTTTGTTTTCTCTTAAATAACTCACCGAATTTCAAAGATTCCTGGCCACCCAAGGCAAAATTGTCTGAAAGTTCCATTATTCTTGAAATATCACTCGCTTTCTATTTTGAAATCTGAACTTTGTCCAGATTATTACCAAAGTAACAAAACTTTTCTCGGTTTATTATTTTTACAGCCAATCAACACGAGAGTCTATATGTAACAGTTCTGCTGTTGTTTTAAAACTGAAAGCTATCTTAATGTAATTGTTTCTCAGCGCTTTAGATTGCAATAGTGATACCTTCAAGGTCTAGATAAGCAAGATCAACAATTACTTTTTAACATTTCTGATCTATCAAAGGCAAGCTTAATAGTTCTTTCAATTCAACAGCTATTAATGCTGTATGTTTCTTCAATATCCTAGAACGTCCCTTTAAAACAAAAACAAAAAAAATTTCTACTAGTATTGTAAGGTTAGATGTAGAAGTAGGAAATCTTGTTGAGTGAATGATGATGATACAGTGGGAATAACCACTAGTGTATATGACGAAAATGAGTGGATCATGAATGCTCCCTTGAGAGCTTTTTTAATTTTAATTCTGTTCTCTGGCAGAAAGTAAATATATTGACCAGAGGAAACCAAGCTGAATAAAGAAGAAAAACTAAAGGCTTCACCAACTTTGCTTGTCAAAATATGAGGTGCGCCTGATTTAGTGTTAATTTATGGGACTGGTCCCAAGTAATAGGTTATAGCCTCAACATCCAAAATTCATCATTTTTATCAATTTTTGGACATTAGTATATTAATAATTTCACTTTTCAATAATTAATGATTTTCGCCATCTTCAGTAAAGGTTTTATGTAGGTGCTTCACCCTGCTTACATCTTTAACCCAGTACAACCGAAGATTTGCTAAATAGTCAATTTTTTCAATTTTTCGGCAATAATTTTGCTTGGTTTTCGGCATGTTCAATAGGAGTTTTATGTTGGTGTTTCACCCTGCTTATAACCCTAACACACTGCAGCCTAAGATTTTCTAAATCAATATTTTTATTGATTTTCAGACAATAGTCTATCATTGATTTTTGCAATCAATGGTTTTTGTCATATTTGAAGGGGTTTTGTGTCTATGCCTCTACCTGCTTACATCCCTGACTCACAATCAAAAATCATCGTCTTACTTTGTGCATGCAATTTTCAAAACACATTGATTTTATTTTTCTAAATAATATTTTATATGAACACATTTATTATTATTTATTAATAATTTATTGCTAAGACTGCTAGAATAAATGACAATTGATAATATTTCAGCCTGAAAATATTCTGTTATCTTCTTGCGTCTCTCTCTGTACCGAATCTGAACCGATTTCACTGATCAAAGTGACAGATTTTGGATTATCAAAGGTCATCAATTCCCAGACGAAAATGAAAACGGCATGTGGGACTTTGCAATACGCTGCGCCCGAGGTCGTTTTTGCCAAATACATCGGGCCTTATAGCAAGAAAGTCGATATCTGGAGCCTCGGAGTTATTCTTTATGTCTGGTGAGTTACAGATTAATTTTAATGCAACATGAAACTAATGTTTCCAACCTTTTAGTTTAACTGGTATGCTGCTGTTCGATGAGGAAGATATAAGGGGATTATACGACCCGTTGCAAGTAAGTCGCAAAATCAACGAAAACCTGCACAATTCTCTATGCGCCAAGGATATCATCTCTAAAATGATCAAAGTGAAAGCTAGCCTAAGGATCAACACTCCTGAAATTTTCAACCACCCCTGGTTGCAGGTCTGTTGAATTTATTTACTTTTTTTTTAATATTCATTTTCAAATTTGTCTTTTTAGGATAGACAGATGATTGAGAAAGTAAATTCAGTCTTAAATGTCCAGAGAGTAAAAGGTAACAATGTTAAAAAAAGAGAGACCGATTTTGATTTGTTTCTAACAACAAAGAAAGAAAAAGTTACCAGTTCTTAAACAAAGCTGTGATATGTTTTTTTAAAAAAAATTAACTACTTTATAGAAGGATTAGGTATTTAACTTTACAAATACATTACATTAAAAAAAGTTCCTTTAAACGTATTATGTTAGTGTTAAATTATCTTTGTCTCTTTCTGAAAGTGTCACTGTGATTTATTATCGGCTAGTTATATTTTTATGGACTTGGCATTTCTGTTCATTTTTTACCTGCATGTGTATTTTTGTATGTTTTGTTAATAAGTCGGATATCTCTGATTTGCTCAGTTAAATTAAGCTAATAAACTTTTATACTTGTATAACTATTTAGTATCAAAGATTTGTAATGTTACGTAGCCTTGTTACTTATTATATTATACTTTAATTATAACAAATTAAATTTTTTTATATATTGCATTTATTATCTACAATACTTTTCCAGTTTGTAAAAATAAAATTATATATTTAATATTAAAACCTTTTTTTTCCTCTCTTATGGAACAACGACCATAGTGAAAAAGTTAATTCTATGTTAAATTGTTTAAATATTTTGATTTAATAATTTATTTATTTGTTCCATTCTGCATTTCTTTTTTTGTGGATTAAAATAAGTATCTATACCATGTATAACAAAGGTTCAAATAAAACCTGTGATTTTTGTATTTTATTATTTAATCTTTGAAATTCCCTTATTATTTTGAAAATAAAAAGCAAACATGGATGGTGAAAACTTCATCATTTCTATGTAAACACTGATGTAAAAGCTCTCCTTTTCATCCAGAAGTTTATTAATTTTATGATCAGAAAAATGCTTTCACTCCAGATCAACAATTCAGGGAAACAGAGAAAACTAAAACAAAAGGTTGTATTTTATCTATTACATCATACATCATCAATCGTCAAAATTTGCCTCGATTCCGGGCGTCATTGGGGCGATAAAATAGTAATCATTATCTAAGCTAAAGCCAGACACTTCTCCAAAGCTCGCTCGACCATTCATAGCATTCAAAACCCTGCACACTGACTAGTGACTAACTACAAACTCTAAACTGAAACTGATTCTTGACCAACGAACCAGTATCAACTCAACTCAACTAACTACTGACTGATACGGACTAGTACAGCCTTCCTGTAAGGTATGAATTAAGATATGTAATCTTTACATAGTACTTTACATTAATTTATATAATTAGCTATACAAAAAAATAGTCTTCTACATACATACAGGGTGAGTAATTTTTTGACCATTGGAAAATCAACGTGGGTGCGTTTAAATCTGACTCAAGGCCTATTTCTTTTGGTTTTAACATTAAGAAAAGGAAGTGAGTCAATTTTCAGTGCACCGTAGGAAAATCAACGTTGGTGCGTCTAATTATGACTCGGCACATTTTATTTTGTCTTGTACCAAAAAATAGGCGAGTCACTTTTCAACGCACCATTCGTTACAAATTAGTTTTAGTAGGTTGGAAGGAAAATAAACAAAACCAATATTATTAAAACATTATTCAAACACAATATAAAAATTTTAAAAAAATTCTTCACAAATTAATTTGATTAAGGTTTAAGAGTATTTTTTTCTGGTAAATTAACAAAATTAAATAAATGTAACAATCTCCTTTGTTAGCAAAGCAATGTTCAAAATCATCATAATAATTGTTCGATCCAACCTCCATTTGCTGCAACACAGTAGCCTAGTCTATCGTAAAATGATGATCGGACAAAAAAACTTAAACCTTAATCAAATTATTTTGTGAAGAATTTTTTTTTTTATAATGTGTTTGAATAATGTTTTAATAATATTGGTTTTGTTTATTTTCCTTCCAACCTACTAAAACTAATTTGTAATGAATGGTGCGTTGAAAAGTGACTCGCCTATTTTTTGGTACGAGACAAAATAAAATGTGCCGAGTCATAATTAGACGCACCAACGTTGATTTTCCTATGGTGCACCGAAAATTGACTCACTTACTTTTATTAACGTATTAATCAAAGGAAATAATCCTCGAGTCAGATTTAAATACACCCACGTTTATTTTCCAATGGTGCGTCAAAAAATGACTTACCCTGTATATCTGTGAATACAGGCAATGGTTTTTGGCATGTTCAGTAGGAGTTATGTGTTGGTACCTCACACTGCTTTCTTTTTTTTTTTTTTGCGAGGGTATTTCAACTATTAGGTTATATGAATCCTCGGGGTGCCGGTGTTTTTGACATGTTCAAATGCAGGGCCACTGGATTCAACCCGGCGCTTTTACATTACAGCACTGTGTTAATGTCTAAACCATAACGACCACTGATGCCCCTGTATTTAAAATCTTTACACAGTTGATTATTAATTTGTTTTACAACAAATTAGATACCCAAAAAGTAGTCTTCTACCCGCATATATTTGTATATAGGCAATTTTCATAGTTATACTTCAACTATAAGCCAAGGGAGAACACAAAAATGTTCTTTTGTCCTGTTTTTTGTCTTTTAATTAAATGCAATCAACCTCTAGGGCAGCTCTGAGAACTGACAGGAGATCCCTCAACAACGCAAAAACACCTCCCGGTACTCCCCTTTATTTCAGAAATGTCTAACTTCTACTTCTACGCAGATCTTCTGAGAGAGTCGCTGCTAACATCCACAGCCTTACAAATCAGGGGTCCCTGTGGTGACCCAAGAATTCAGAGTGGTATAAGCAACTGTCCTCCAGATGCCCAATCCATCCCATTCATTAATCTTATGGCCAAAGTTCAACGAAACAAGCTACACAAACATTTGGCAGCATGCAAAGGCTGGTAAACCTATCAGGCAGACACATTGATCAGAGGAGGATATGTAAGACGTTGTAGGCCCCCTATTCTTAGGACAACAAACACAGAATCCTTCATGACAGAATGGATCCAAAAAAGACAAAAGGGGATATGGATAACCTCTAGAGGTGTTAGGCACAGTAAGATTATGTTAAAACAACCCTCACCAAGATTGGCAAACTCACTGCTACAGTTAGAGAGGACTAAACTCGACTGCTAGGACTACATACTGGCATCTGAGAAAACAGCTACACTACATGGTATATTCAATGATGATGCCCTTTATAGGTTATGCAATGAGGAGGTAGAAACTGCTACCTATGTTTTAATGCTAAACAACTGCTCAATGGAGACATAATCTGGGATACAAAGAAAACCCAGAGAAAGGAATTGTAGCAACTACAGCCAATGACCTCCTTAGTTAAAGGATCGGTTGATTGGACCAAACTAAGGACTAGGAAAGTACAATAAGCTAGAAGGCTGCAGTACTTGTGGGAACAAAAAACCCCAACTTCCTAATATCCATATTCATCATTACCATCATTGAAATCTACGACAGTTGACATAGGTTGTGCTTTCATCTGGGTGGCCCTGTTTTACATATTCTTTGAACACATGCTTCATAGCTATCTTCTTTTATTCACTATTAAAGTTGGCGTGATAACCTGCTGAAGTGGCCACTTCAGCCTTAGCCTGGCATGAAATTTTCCTTTAAAATTGTGCAGCCTAAATAAGCCTAATAATTAATAATTAACCTAGATTGATTATACATTCATTTTATTTGTACAAAATACAAAATTATAACAGTTAATTTAGTTTAAACTATTAACCCGTTTTCAAGTATATCGATCATACAGAAATCGCCATTTTTTAATGTGTCACTTTTTGCCACTTGAATTTTCCTTGAGATATGAGAAGGATCTGGTCTACTAATCATTAACCTTGTATTCGGCACGTATAACCAATATTTACCAAGGAATGGTCTCAATTCCTCAGTCGCTTCTTTATCATTAAAATGTCGTATGGCAAGATTGATAAATATAATTATTGCGTTGAACTCAGCTGCAAGAAATTTGGCGACACAGGCAATATGGTTCAACAGCGGCAGACCTGGAATTTCATGATTTTTTTTTACCAAATAATTCTATTCTTATAAATAAACTATTATTTTAATTTAAAAAACATACCCTCGTTATTTCCTAAAAAAGGAAAGCTAACAACAGAAATTGAATCAACTATAATCAGTCTAATACTGTTTCTTTTTGATTCAGAATATTTAATTTTCAAATTGTGCAGAGCTGAAATTAACTCGTGTATATCCATTATTTTTTGTAAAAATATTTTTTTAATAATCCCTTCCAGTTTCTACAATTAAAATTTTTTAAAAAAATTTATGAGATTTATTAAGCCAATTTTTACCTCATCCTCTTTTAATTTTGCCTTCAGCAGAGAAGAGAAATGTTCTGGGCGAAAGTCATTTTTTGTGTCGATGTATACAGCATCGATGTCGTCCTTCAGCGACAAATTCACCAATATGTTTAAAGCAAGTTGAGTCTTCCCCGACCCGGACAGTCCGGACAGTTCGAGAATTGAGCCGGGTCTCAAGCCGCCTTTTGTCAGGCTGTCCAATTCTTCGATTCCCGTCTTGCACAGACCTCTATCCTCAAAATGCAGCAGATCAAAACCACTTTTGACATCACCGGAATAAGCTTCAAGCAATTGTTGCTTAACTGAAATAATATCCTTAAAAAAAAAAAAAAATCCTTGCTAATAATAATATTTCAGTAATAAAAATATTAAAAATGACAAGTTTTTCTAGTTACTTTACATCCTAATAAATTATCCTATACAAAAATCAATTTTCATTTTGATTGTTTAAAAATTCATCAATCATTACTAATGATTCTGCATCTCATATCTTAACTTTTGAGTTAAAAAGTACAAACCTCCACAGGCAAAGAGGCATAAACGGACAACGTATCAGAGTCAATTTGTAAGAATTCATTAACGGTGAACACGTTGTTCTGGTTGAGCTTTAAAATACTCTCAGTCGAGATGAAATGACAAAGTCTTGGCATTTCTGATGGTTGGTAATTTTTTCCTGTGAAGTGTCAGCACTGACTTCATTTCAAGCCAGGTGTCCTTTGGTTAGAAAGAAGTCCTCATATTCGTCTAAAAATAATAATGATAACCTTATAAAAACTTTATTTAAGGTGATGAATTTTAATTATTGCTGGTTGTTGTGAGAATTCAGTCAGAACTTCCAGTTTTTACTCAATACGTTTCAAAAGTTTTACTTCCTTTTTCAAAGAAACTCAAATTTTCATGTTTCTTTAGCATTTTAAGTTTAAAAAAAACTGTAGTTTTATTTGCATTAGAAATATTCATTTATAATTGTTTCCTTTTTATAAAAGTCTTGTACAGTATAACAGTTATTAATTTGGGACTCCTTGAGGCTTTGAGGCTTCATTGAATAAATGCTCTAGTTTACGAGGTAGTGCCACTAGCTTACAAGCAGTTTTATTTCTCAACGTACATGCAGGGGAGGACTGTTGTTGAGCTGGTTGTCTTGAAGCCGGTGGATTGCTGGATGCACTCTTCTGCTGATGAACTCCTCAGGAATAGTTAACCTTTGAGCTCAGACTTTGGACAGGTTAGATGACTTCTGAATCTGCCTTACCTCTGGGTCATATTCTCTCACTGACTGCCTCTGGTGGTCCAGCCAGGTGATGACTCAGTTTATGGCACTTGGAAGGCATGGACCTCATTGACTTTCTGCTGATGAGGCATATGTGACTTGGGCTGGTGGTAAATCCTTGGTCCTTATTGATGAAGCTGTGGATGTAACTTGGTTAGTGGTGGATCCCTAGTGCTGAAGAGGCTGCATATGTGACCTGGGATGATGGTAAATCTCTGGTCTTTGCTGACAAGGCTGTGTATGCGACCTAGGATGATGGTAGATTTCTGGTTCTTGTTGGTGAAGTTGTGTATGTGATCAGGGATGGTGTGGATCTCTTTTGAAGCAACTGAAGGATTAGGATTAAAAGTATAAGACTTCTATCAGATCGGCAAAGGTTCTAAAGACTGTGTAGGTAGATGGGACATCTGTGGTTTAAAAGATATAGAGTCCAAATTCCTGAGTTTCTCCCATATCTAGAGAGTAGTTTGGTGTAATCTGATCATTGTCAAATGTGAAATAACCTGATGGATAAGAGCAGAGGATCCAGTACAAGATACCTGGAAGGACACAATTTAATTAGTACAAGAGACTGTTGCCAAATGCTTATGCCACATGAAGGAAAGTATTTTAATATTCTTTTCACTTGAGGTAGATGTTAACTTGTTCCCGATAAAGCTGTAACTATTGCTGTTTACAACGGAAACACTTGATTGTGGAATGGTGAGAGCAAAAGCCAAACTGATGATCTGGGAGTAGGTTAGAGGAGTTTAATTTTGTTTAATATTCTTTTAAAAAGAATCTTTTAAAATTACTATAGAGATGATGATAAGTAAACTAATTGGGCGAAAGAACAAGGCTATTTGAACTGATTTGCCAGGTTTTGGGAAGATAATGGTGTTGGAATATAATGAGAATAATGGAAGTAGTGCAAAATACAAAATTGTACAGGTATGTGAGGAATAAAATAGGCTTTTTTAGGAGTTAACATTTCTATTCCTCAACAAACATTTCGTTGATTTGATGACAATCAAAATTGAAAGTGGAGTGAATTAATTGGTTTTATATTGGCACCAGAAAGTCAAAATAGACATGCTGATCATTCTGTTTTTTTTCTTTCTGAAATATTACTTTAGCAATGATGGCTTATCTTATCTTACTTAGATAAGTTCTGGAATTGGCAACCGATGCATTTGTAAAATGCATTGAAGAGAAAATATGTTCGTAAAAAATATGATTCATTATATCTAATTAAGTTTATTTTATTTCTTCACCCTTGGTGAAAAACTGGATAAGTACAATTTTGGCAAAATAAGAACGTACATATTCTAGCATGTTTTTATGCCTGTGTATAATTGATAAAGTCTAGAAGGAAACTATTTCCATTTAAACACAATGTGCCTTTTTAGAGATATTGAGAAATTATGCCAATATTCAGATAATTTTACTTGTGTTTTGGTAAACTAGAACAATTAATAAACCTATTTACTGAAATAACTATATAGGAGTTGATGAAGTGTGAAAAAAAAAAAAGATTAAAAAATTGAATTTGTATCAAATGTCTAAGCTTTACTTTATTTCCTAGTATTTGGTGCAGAATTTGTATTTTAATGTCAATTTTACATCAATGTACTTCATAACCTAGAGAAATAAAAGCAAGGTGTGGAAATTAAATACTTTATGGATATATAAAAAAAAATAATAGGAAGATCAGTTAGATTGGGACTAAGGTCTACACCTTCATCCATGGTTTTTTAAACACTCGCTCCATCCAAGGCTCACAAGGCGAGGTCACATACATAGCTTTGTCAGTAAGGTCTCGAGGTCCATGCCATCCAAGGTTTGTACTTGGCTCATACCTGAGTTTCAGAGTGATATTCACTCAGTGGCTTCATAAACAAGGTCTCACCATCAGAGGCCTCACAAAATAGGTACACAGCCTTGTCTAGTTGGGGGTCTGCTAAGTCCTTGTCCATCGGTTCATAAATAGCTTCTCCTCCAAGGCTCACAGGCAAGAACTTGACAGCCGACATCCCAGACACAGCTTTGAAGCTAGGACCAGGAATCTACCACCATCCTAGGTCACATACTCAGCCTCGTCAGCAAGAACCAAGGATCCACCACCATCCCAGGTCATGTAAACAGCGTCATCAGCAAGGATTCAAGGTCCATGCCCTCCAAGGTTCGTAACCTGAGGCCGCTCCTGCCTGAACGAGGGTATAAAGACAGACTTGGACTGAAGACCATCAGTCAGAGATAAAACACAAAATTAAGAGTCAAGCGTCAGAATTTGAGTTCAGAAGTGACTTCAAGCTTACTTATTGACTGCAGTGGAATTTTGTGCTTGATCTTAAACTACTTTTCGCCCTCCGTAACTATATAATAATAATAAATATGCTTATCTGAAACAAAAAGCAATCGGTTTCTTCTTCTATCACCATGTTTGTCAAATTTAACCACATTGCAACCATACTGGATCGTGTCTCCAAGTATGCTTTCTGATGCAAAAAATGGTTTTTTGATCGAATTCTGCATATCGGTGAGCCTGTTGTCGACAAAAGGAATTGGAAAACTATATTCGTAACTTTTCTTCTGGTCTTTGAATAATGCCTCAGCAAGGACTTTGAGGTCCAACTGCAGTTTTCTCTCTGGAGTCAACGATAATCTGTATTTCATTGCCAGCCATCTTTTATGCATTGGTCTTAGAAAATCCGAAGCCGCTTGGCAGACTCTAGGAGCTTTGGGCCAAGAGTCGTCTAATACGATTTTAGGAAGGGACTTCGAAAGCCTCAGGAGATAATGGAATTTTGTCGTCTGGATGAACCTTTTGTTAAGGCCTGAAACTGGACTGTATCTTGTTATAAATCCTTCGATAAAATTTCTAATTATTTTCACTGCATGTCTTCTCCTGCTCGCCTTCCTCTGAGCGAGGTACCTCCTCGACCATTATGGCGGCCTCTTTCATTTTTTTGTATTTCTTATGCTGGATACAGCCTCGCCAATGGCTTTGGATTATAGTGGAATTTGAGTTACAGTACAGAACGTGAATCAGTGTCAGACAGATGGAACGTCGCATACCGTGACACCCATCACCTGAGTCGGAGGTTAAGTCTTATTAAGGAGTACATCAGCAGAAGAGAGTCTTCAGCGATCCACCACTTTCAGGACTTCCAAACCTCCCCTGCAAGAAGACTGTACACTGAGTAATAAAACTGATTATAAACCTTATACTGAAGCATTTATTCAATTTAGCCCTCCTTCCTGTAAAAGAGCCTAACTCTTTAGGAATATAGCCTCGGGCACAAGAAAAATCAGTGCTAAAATATACATTACAACGACAATTGACAAATCATAGTGTGCATAATTGGTAGTATATCATATTATGTACATAGCGATAAAAGTAGTAATTAAAAAATTAAGAGGCTAAGTTTTGTTAGCTTGTGATACAAACTTATATTCAGTTATTCGAAAGCCTTTAACTTTTAACTTTAAAGTGTAATTTTTGACTTCAATATACTAATATAATAAAAATTGATTATTTACTCATCGTTTAAAGATAATACAACTTTGAATTAAGGCTCACAGTGGCTTCTGTGACGTTCCGAGTTTAACCGTGTATAGTACCTCTCTAACTAGTAAGTACCAGTACTGACACCAGTCTTGTGACTGTTGTCTAGATTTGGTGAAACCTCTTCCCAGAAGCTAGAAGGTACCTTGTACGACAGATTTGTCATTTGAATGACCGTTCTTAAAATTATAAATCGACACGAGGCGAATTCGGGCCAGTTTTTCGTCTCGGAAATGTTTTTTCTGATTGGAAAACACATAATTTAAGGCTGGCTTTAACCGGTATATAATGTATACCCTCCTTTCTGGCTTTTACAAATACCTCGTACAAAAAGATGAATATTGTGTACTTATTCTTGGCCTCGACAATGCCGGAAAAACGGTAAGGTGTTATTTTCCACTTTTTAAAATTAACAAAACAAAATTTTCATTATTAAAAAAAAATGCCCTTAGACTTATCTCGAGGCTGCAAAAACAAAGATAACGAAAAATTACAAGGGCATGAACCCTAGCAAAATAACAACCACTGTCGGCTTGAATATTGGCAAAATAGACATTGGAGGGATTAGATTGAATTTCTGGGATCTGGGTGGACAGGAAGAACTCCAGTCACTCTGGGATAAGGTAAATATTCAATTTTTCAACCTCACTATAATTTTTATTAATTATACTCTTTATCCAAAGCGTTGGTTGAGATGAAAAAGCTAGTGTTACCAGCAGGATTCGAACCTACGATTCTAACCACTTGAGCTATCTGGTATTCGATCCTCTCGGACACTCCTCATCTCGACCTGCAACCTTTTGAATTTTCCCTCTTTTTGCCTTATTTTCAAAATAATTTATGCTATACCAGCATTGGGTGAAGACGGATGCTGGTTCAGCATGAGTTCATCGACCCGCAGACCAATACCCAGCATCAACTCCTATCATATTTGAATTATACCCGCTTCTTATCTCTGTATTGATTCCTTCGTTAGATTTCATCAGATTTAATTTGGTCTTTTTTGTTGTAGTACTACGCTGAATCCCATGCTATTATTTACATCGTAGACTCTAATGATAGAGAAAGAATTAATGAGTCCAGAGAAACATTTGGTAAGTATTTATTAATATTCTGTTTTTTTATTTTAATAAATAGATTTGACATAGCATGAATTATTGTGTTTTATATACTAGGTTGCATATAAAGAATGTTGTTCATTTTTATCTGCTGGCTGTTGTTATTGGTGGGCTTGAGTTGGTGCCTTACCCTGCTTATAACCTCGATCCACTAGGCTGAAATGCGCCTGCCGGATTAAAACTGAGGTTATCCAGGATTATCAGAAATGAGTAAACAATGACTTTTTTTGGTGTGGCAATGCTGTAGTTTTGTTGGGTCATTTTAATCTAAAGTTCCTTGCTGTTTGTCAGAGGCGTTGCGTCATTTTGCCATCTTCAGTTACAAAAAGGCATACGAGGTAGCTAAGGCCAAAATGACCTAACTCCAGGCGGTCCAGCCCCCTGACGATAAAAACACAAGAACTTGATAAAAAGTGGTAGTGTTGGTGGGCTGGATTGGCAGAGAAGCTCTCACATATCGATTGGTGGCCCTCAGAGGACCTAATACATAGAAGAAGGGTAATCCTCACCTGATTAAGGATAGACTATGCAAGGTTGACAACAGACCCTTACTTTTGGTCCAAAACCCCCATATGTGTTTGGCATGCGGAAAAAAGTTGCTTGATGTGTCCCATCTAATTGAAGAGTGGAATTCCTTGTCTCCATATAGGAATGCCACTTGATATAATTGTGCTTGAGCTTGGCAGCGAGTATTTGGGTGTCCTGTTCTGATTCTTGGAGGAAATAGGGTTGTATACAATACTAATATTTTGGCTCCCTGGCATGTGTTGAGTGAATGTATTTATTTGGGTGAATGTATTGTGTGAGAGGGCCGATGGTAGAATATTGTGTACACATTGATCCTCAATTAGTTTAGTTATAATAGATGTAGAATGTAATTTCAGGGTGTAGTATACTGCGCCCTTTAAGAGCTATTGTATCCCCGTGCTCTGCCTAAAGCACATCGTTGAGTCCTATTTCAAAAAGAAACTTGATTAACAGGCCCGGTTTCAGTGGTTGAAGCTCTTCTATGGTCACATTATACATCCCAAAACATTTCCTCCTGCGGGCTAGTGTAGCTCCGCAGTTAGTAAATATGTTGGTGTCTCTTCTGCCTCCTTGCAGAATCTGCATGTGCCATCTTGGATTATTCCAATTTTCTTTAAGTGTCCATTTAATCTGCAGTGTCCTGTTAGGAATCCTGTTAGGATTCGCAGTCTGTTCCTGCTTCCTTTGACACATTCTGTAATTTCTTTCCTACCAAAGTTGGTTAGAAGATTCTTGGGTTGTCTATGTCCAATGAGAGAATTCCAAAGTTCCCTCATTTTCTTCTTGTTCTTCTGTCTGAGATATTTGTTAATAGTGTGGATTCCTATGCCACAGAAGGGTTCGGGTCCTATCAGCGGTGTAGCAGCCCCTTTCCTTGCAAGGGTGTCCGCTTTTCTCGTTGCCTTCTACTCCCATGTGTCCTGGGACCCAGCAGAGGCTGACTTTATTCTGCATACTTAATATATTTAGTTTGGTTTTGCAGTTCAGCACCATCCTTGAACTAATGATATTTGAACTTAGTGCTTTGATGGCTGCTTAGCAATCTGACATGATAGCTATATTCTTGTTTTTGTACCCTTTGTTATAATAAGTGTAAAGGGTTATGTACAAGTATCTAGAACTCCACCACCCCAAATAAGAAAAATAAGGATGAAATCAATAAAAAAACCTCTCAAACATTTTATTTTATATCTAGTTTTATTTATTTAAGGAGGCATAATTTGTGCCATTGCGTGTATTTTATAATGAAAAACAATATAACTCCTACATTTTTAAAATAATTGGTAAAGCGAGTCGATTGTGAAGCTTATTCATGCAACGCCATTTTTCAGAGGAATACCCAACATATTTTGTTTGTACCTCTATTTTTGGTGTTTAACCCTTCCACACATGATTAAAATGTCTTAAGGAAGTTAAAATACACAGTCATGCTGTTTAAAAGATTAACCTAAGTTTGCCATGTCTCAAGAGTTCTCAGTATATTGCTGAGTCACTACCTGTACAACTATGTTAAAATTATATACAGCCTAAACCTACTATCGGGAGCCAGCAAGGCGATTTTCACCTTGACGCCTTCCTTCACACCAGTAAATACTTTCACAAACAGTAAACATATCATTCACTGTACTTAGTTAATTGATTTGATAGGCCTGTGTGTACTAGATATTCCCACGGACTTTTTATATAACACCAGCAATTATTACCATACTGCAAATATAACTGTAATTAACCTATACTACCTTGGTGTGTTTGTGGGTACTCGATATTTCATCACTAGCTTACATGCCCAAACATACTACAACATTCATGCTAATAAATACATTCATTCAAATTAAGGATATTACAAACTATGTATGAAAGGGATCCCTATATGCGACCATGTTTTTCTGCTTTAGTTAACATGTTAATTCCTCGCACTCTTAATATGCTTAACAGGGGGCCATGGTCTTCTTTTGTCAATTAGCCCAGGTGGCTTGTGTGGCCTATCGACAGGTGTGTCAAAAGGATTCTCACTTTCCTATTTTCTCCATGTTCCATGATTTGACCAACGGTTTTATTTTATGTAGTTTGTCATGGTGTTCCGGCAGTTCTGCCATTCGTTCATTTCATTAAATTTATATTTTATTTGATTTCAGAAAAAATGATCTCATGCGAAAACTTAATCGGGGTTCCGTTGCTCGTCCTCGCGAACAAACAAGACATTCCTGATTGCATGGGTGTACGTGAGGTGAAGCCTATATTTAAGAAAAATACCAATCTCATAGGGAGTAGGGAAATTATGGTAATGGCCGTTTCTGCACTTAATGGGTAAGTTGATTTAAAAATTAGAAAAAAAAAAAATTTTCAAACAATTTTCTTGTGTAAAATTTCAGGGAAGGAGTGAATGAAGGCATTACATGGCTTGTCGATTGTATAAAAAGGAACGGCCATAAAAGACCTCCAAGAAATGAGAATGAAATGTGAAAATACTTTTTATATTGTACATTTTCACTTTTGGGAGAAAGGGAAAAAATAAAATCATTATATATATTTTTTTAATGTAAATAATTCTTTTTTAAATATATTTTTGTTGTGTATTTGTATATTCTCTTTTATCTATATACATTCCATACATGCATACAGTCCGCATTGTACAATAATATATTAATTTAATTAATTTTCTTTTTTTTTGGAATGTAACATTTCAAATAAGGTAAAAAAAAATTGATCTGCATTAAAAATAGTCTTCAAATTTTCATTAGAGCATAAATTTATGTACAAATATGTTCCAAGTACTATTGTATTTGCTTGCCTGCATTCAGTCAATCTTCTGTAGACTTTTAACATGAGGTTCGCTTAAATCTTTGTTGCGATAAATTAAAATGATATTTAACAGTATAAAATCTTGATGACTGATAATATTATTTAGAACCTCTTCTATCCAAGTTATGTACATCATATTGTAATCTACGTTATGGATGGAAATTATTCAAAAAGTCAATAACATTTAGAATTAAATGATACGTGCGAGACAAATTAAATATGGTGTTTGAACGAATTAACAGTGTAGGTTTTAAAACAAAGACTTGTTTATTCCTAGGTTGATCAGTGATCAAAAATGCATAAATCATGATTAAGTACTAAGCCGTTTTCTAAATTAAAAAAAATTAAAGTTAGTCAAAACAAAAAAATTATTTTTTTGATTTGCATTTGTGTAGAAAATGTAGTGTTAAAATTATAAATAATGCAAATTAGTCAAAACAAAAAAGCCTTGTTAAAATAAAACTAAAAAATTAAAAGTTTTTTAAATACTGAAAAAACAACTAAAATTTACACAAATCAAAAATTTTATCTTTGCATTATATTTGTAGGTTTTACACGTGTTTTAATTAGAAGTAGTGCAAATTAGTTGAAACTAAAAAAAAAAATTGATCTTTGCATTCGTGAAGGTAAAATTTAACATGTAGTGTTGTAATTATAAATAATGCAAATTAGTCAAAACTAAAAAAAAAGGTTTTCTCTGTAATTACTACACCGAAGATCTTTTTTGAAAACGGAAGCATCAGTATTACCTTGTCATTATCAGAATTTTTTTTTAAATATATCATATTTTATTACCATCCAAAGCACATTGTCCAGTATTATAACAACGAAAGCATTTTTCCGAAACTAGGCACAGCGAATATTTAAGTAGTCTTTACAAACATGTTATTTACATATTTTTCTAGAAACAATAATAGTAAGATATGTACACGTAATCTCACCAGATTATAATAATAATAATAATGAATCATCTCTAAAAATTTACATTTTAAACATTTCTCTTTCTTTCTTTCTTTAAACTCTGAATGCTTACATTTTCTTTAAAAGATATTTATCACATTAAAATAATGTGTATTTACACCACATTTTTAAACATCCAACCACAATTACAAGTTTGAAATAATAAAATAAAATACAAATATTTGATGTAATGATAAGATATAAAATTGGAAATAAGAAAGACTGATGTGAATATATAATAAAAATAATAATAACAACAATTAATATGGTTTGAAATTCTAAAAAATAAATATTTATATATTTAATTAATTTATAACTCAAAACAAACAATAACCGAATGTTTGAAGATTAGATTTTATATATACAACATTTTTACAAAGATAATGTTAATTTTTTTAAAATTTTTATTCTTATGTTGATGACAAATTATTTCAATGGGATCAAATGAAAATTAAAAATATTTGCAGAAATTTTCTATAAAATTTTAACTTTGTTCTGTAATCATAGTCTTTTCTTCATGAATTGTAACCCCTTTTTTCTTCTCTCTCTCTCACTCTCTCTCTAAATATATCAATTTAAATACTCAAATTTCTGAGCGGAGAATTTAACCAATTTCCAAGCGGCTCAATTCGTACAAATTAACGGCTAAAACCTTTGGTTTCAAATAATTTATATAATTCTAGTGGAAAAAATCAAGAGGATCCGCCCCGGCCTACTTGCATCTTGTGGTTTCATGTCATTGCCAACATTCCGCTGGAAAATTGTTGACTTCGGCTTGATCGGTGATCGTGGCCCCGTTGCAATTGTAAGATACTCTAATTCTCATCCTCAAAGCCACCTAGGTCACAGGTCAAATGTAAATTTTGTATCGCTAAATTTTTAAATAGTTTTTTTACCTTATTCGGAGTTGTCACTCGTAAGACTTGCGTGACGACGCCACCTTCAGTGATGACTGTCCCGGACGGAGGTAGAAGTTGTAACTGAAATGTCTAAAATAAAAAAAAATAAATAAATAAAAAATAAAAACAATTGATAATTTGAAAAGACTCTCCTCACCTTTGGCACAGCAGCTTGAAATACAAACTCGGTGAATGCTGCTGAAGTCGTGTTTAATGCTGAAACATTCACAACCGTCGTGTTCGGCGAGTCGGCGACTTTTTGAAGTGTGAAATCTATTTTCAACCCTCCCTTGTTATAAACGGTCGTTTCGACTGTCAAATAAATTTCATCAGAGTCATACAGATCGAATTTTAACGGTTTAAAATTAATACCTGGCGATTTATTTGGTATTCCAACAGCTAGTGAATCCGCTAGAAAATCAGGCGTGGAGTTCAACGCGTTCATTATATTATTGTTATTATTCTGTAGAGAAATGGTAGACTCGTTATTCATTTTGAGTCCGGACTTGTTTTCTGAGATTATGTCCATTCCTGAATCAAGCCCTCCTAAAAATAATTTGTAATATATAAGAATATAAATATATTTAACAAAAAACAAATAAAGTTACAAGGATTAAAAAAAAAAAACCTAAAAGGTCTAGAAGTTCCTGATTTGTATCTATGCTTGGTTTCGTAATAGGCTGGACGATGGTGTCTGATTCACCTCCCAGAAGAACCAGCAATGCATTCTACAAAAACGTAAAATAAAATGTTAAACAAATATGTTTGAATCGTGGCAAAATGAAAGTTTAAATTACCGAGTTTTGATTGTCTTGGGGCGACAACGACTCTTCTTCTTCGATTTCTTGAGAGTAATTTCCATTTTGAGTCGTCGCGTTTGACTTTTGCAGTTCGAGAGGCGGCATGCGTTCAAGAAGGCCACTCCTCAGATACGAGTACTTACCAAAAAGCTGGGTGTACTCAACGCCTCTCTGCTGCAACTCCATTTGAACGTGGGAACCAAAACTTTCAATCAACTCCCGGATTTTACTAAAACAAAACGAAAACCATTTAAGCGGAACATGATATTTCGATTTTTTGAAATAATGATTATTTTACTCACGAAGTGTCTGTATGATTGAATCGAGTGCTCAGCTTGGTCAACGATGTTAAAGCGTACTGCTTTGTTATTGCCGTATTCTGAGGTGATGTTAAAATTCTGTGGTATACAGATATTACTTCAGGTTCAGTTATCTTAAATAGAAAAATTAATAAAAAATTAAAGAGAAAACTTCACTATTTATCCCAATAAATATCTAATAAAGAGGTAAATAATAAATGACATGAATGAATATTAATGTGCAGATATATTTTAAAAAATTCATTGATATTTTTTTTTATTCGTTTCATTAGTTGTATTAATTTTTTTATGGAAAATATTGTTAATTATATTAATTTTTATTCGTATTGGCTTATTTTTTTATTTATTTAATTTTTTTTTTTGTTCAATTCGTGAGGAGCAGTCAAGAATGAGGTAGTATAGAAAAACACCTTTTACATTTTTTTGCCGATGTTTTGATCTTTATTCAGCTCATCTTCAGGGCCTGGGTGAATTACAAAACATATGTTGAAGTGGAAAATTAGAAGAAACCACAGTTTTTGTGAATCGCACAGTGAAGAATCGCGTGTCAACAACTTACATGTATTAAACCATTGGAATTTTTAAATGCATATAAAGTGCTTGTTCTGTGTTTATGTTAATTTATTGGAATGAATGTAATTTATCAGCGAAAAAAAAGGGAAGAAATTTAAGCCAGCCCTGAGGAATATCGAGTGCTCTGGGTGAATGATTGTGACCAGACTATGATGGGATAACAGAATCACAGGAATATATTGGGCTGGTGGAAAAATAAAGCCGGTTTTGAAAAGGCAGTCCAAACTATTTTTAATTTTTATAAAATATAGAAAATTTATTCGAAAATTTTCCATCACAAGCTATACATCCTTGCCAATGTGTAATAAGCGCTTTTATTCCGCTGACATAAAAATCTTTATTTTGACTTACAATAATTAAAAAAATTTATCCCTCAAGAAGTGATCAAAATGCATAAAAAAGTGGAAGTTTGTAGATGAGAGATCAGGTGCAGTAAGGTTTCAAATTTTAAGTCCTTAATATATTTCTTGGATTTCTTTTCAGGAACTAACCATCACTCATTTTGTTTTTATTGATTTACTGAACATGACTGATCACGAAGTTGATAAAAATAATTAAAAGGTACAAACTACTTGAGGTACAAACAATAGGATAGAATTTTAGAATAAATATACAGTCAAACATCCCAAAATCAGACACCGCTCGGGAATGGGATTTTGTCCAATTACTAGAAAGGTCCACTTGTAGAAAATATTAAGTACATTAAGTGAAAGTAAAAAATAAATTAAACTGAAACGAATGTACAGATACTAATTTTCTCCTTCTCAGGAATTTGTATGACTTTGACCACTTGGGGGAAAAAATATTAAAAAAATAGAATACAAAAAAAATAAACAGGAAAGACAAACATATGAAGAAAAAAAGATTCCACATTATATTCATTTTTTGCAATTTATAATAACACATGAATACATGAGCATATAGACCTAAACATCATAATTTCTGTCAATAACCTCTCTTTTCTCTTATATAAAATTTTATATTTGTCAATATAATTAAGCCCAATTAATATTCTAGAGCAATTTGTACCTTAATAATTGTAAACAGAATGAATGGCTTAAAAAGGTGTTTAAAAAAATCTGAATTTAGTCTAGGGCAAGTTTGTTTTCGGCAGGAATCAGGAGTGGAAAAATTTACACAGCTTATGACCTCGTCAGTCACGGTCTAACAGTACAAACTTGTTAGCCATGTTTTAAATGCAAAATTATTCGTTGCTCATTGCAAAACAAGAACGATAATAAACTTCACTAATTTTTTCAGCAAATAATAGTAAAATGTGAGAAAAAGTTTATACATACCTTGACGACTGAATCGGGCGATAGGAGTAAATCTCCGAATTCGCCGATACACCATGTCGCCACTTGTGCCAACGGCTGCCTGTTGGAATTGTCATTTTCCAAAGCGCCCCAGAGCTGACCAACCATGTAGCCCTGTTGAGCAGGATTGACCACCATCAACTGTATTACACATGCTACTACATCATCCCGCACATAATTTCCAGCCTTTAAAAAAAACAAAGAAAAAGAAATTAGCACATATTACTTTTTTAAAATCTGTTTTACATACAGCAACTAAGACACTTAAAAGTGTGTCTAAATGCCATTTAATAGTTGGCGCGTATTTTTCAGCAGCTAGGACTATTCTTGAAGAAGCCATTTCTTTAAATTCAGGGTCGGTCTTTTCTAAGAATGACAGAAGTTCTTTCATCATCATTTTAATGTTGCTGTGATCAACAAGGGCAAAACTCAACTCCAAGGCCCGTCTTCTTATTGAAACATCTGGATCCTAATTAAAAAGAATTTAAAAGATAGTCACAACTTATGAAAAGATAATATAAAGCAAACCTTCAAGCATTCAAGAATTGTTGCCCTATGTCTTTGTACAGCACTGGTATCAACATAAACAGTCTTCAGAAGTGTATTTAGCGCTACGTATCTTATATTCTTATCATTATTTAAAAGAAATCTACCAAGTATATTTATTGCCAACACCTAAAATAACAGAAAGTTACATTAAGGTTTTTTAAATTCTTTTAATTTTAATTTATCTTACTCTGAGACCACTCTCTGAGCGAATATCCATTATTGAAAGAACAGTTTCATATAAAATAGTATTCCCAACGTTTTTATTTGTCTCTGTGTTTGTTGCAACTTGCGCTAGGATGTCATTCATTGCTTCAGATGCTTCTACATCGTTTTTTCCAAGGATTCTTAAAAGCCTTAGAATTTTTACCTTAAAAAAAATATATATTTACCCAAAATTTATAACAAATTGAGAAAAATAATCTCTTTCTTACTTGTAAAAATGGATCGCTAACTCCAGACACGTCGTGTTCAGGAGAATAGCCGGCCATTATGAGATTTTTCAGAATCCTCACTAGGTTGGGCACGATCTGCAAATGACAATGGAAAGATAGTCAATGACAATTAGACAGCAAAGCCCGAAACGCTTCAAATATATGGATAAAAACTAAGAAAGAAAATAACTGGGGTTCAATTAGAACAAAAATTACACAAACTGTTTTGGACCTTTGTAAATTTCAGAGAGAACGAAAAAACTTCAGTCGGTCCTCAATTATGCAAATAAATTCAACTTTAATATTTTGTTCTAATTTGTTATTATCTACTAGAAGATAATACACTAGAGTGTAGCATTAGCTCAAATTAAAATACAACTGTGCCTCCGAGCAATACCCAATGATCACTGAGTTTCAATTATTTCATGATAAGACAAAATGACAAAATGAAGGATCATGCGGTTCTATTTAATGAGTAAAAACAATATATTTTTTAGGCAAACTTTCCTTAATTATTCATATTTAAGTATATACATCAATTAATTTTTATATTTACATCTCATGTTGTACAAAGGTCAAAAATTTACAAATTCAAAATTTTCAAAGCTTAAAAATATGAAGGCTATAGTTTATACTACATGAAAAATAAGAGCAGACTGTGAAGAGTTCTTCATTTAACCAAAAGTATTATTGAAATATAGCACTAAAAGTATTAGTTTTTATAAACGAACATGATGCTTAAATTTTGCATCCTTCTAAAGACTATTCAATTATTTTACAACAAAATTTTTAATTAAATTGAAATACTTTGTACTCAACGTACAACAATTAAAAAATGATATGACGATGAATCTGTCAAGATTTTAAACAATTGAGTAGTAAAATTAGTCCGTAGAGTTTCAATGGTAAATTCAATGAAAATTTGAGGTACAAATTTGAGGTAAACAAATTTAACGAACATTTTTTTAAACAATTTTGTTCTGCAGGATGTTGATATCCATGTAATTTTGAAATTCTATCTTTCAAAAACTTATAAGTCAAAAAAATACGGCAGGTGTGGTAGCACATGCTAGCCAGGATCCAAAAATTTTTGGATTTTGACTGGCAAGATGGAGGTGAGGCACTATCATGGTAGAAAACAACAAGCGATTAGCCAATTTTGGTTATTTTTGGTCATTGCTGATTTTAATCCTGTGTTCAGTATACACTAGAATTAACGGTTTGGTTCGGCAGAAGAAGCTCAGAAAGGCATAAATCTTGGCCAATGAAAGACGACGAATATATCAAGCTGAACATTGGTCGCCCAACACATGAGCCATCCTCATCAAACCAAGGGGTTGAAGTCAAGGAATTTGGCCATGTGGAATCAAAGTCAACAATGTCAACCCTTTAGTTGTTGGCTCTGTTTCACCTCCCGTATACATTAAGCAAATCATGGCCAACAAGCAGTTGGCTGTCTTTCATTGGCCGAGAATTGCTTAGTGTACACATGCCTTAATAAAGTACCCTATTACAATCCCATCAAATGAACAACTTTCTTTGGATGCAGCCCGAATTTTGAAATTGTTATCTGCGAATCGCTGTTTTCTCCAGGATTTTCCTCGGTAAACATTGTTGTAAAATACCCATGTATCAACCTTTTTAAAAATGGTTTGTTTACATTAAGTTTTAGGAGGGAAACGCAGATGATGATGCGATCCGATAAATTCTTCTCAGTCAACATCTCAGGAACCCATTGCTCCAACAAACAACCAGCTCTCTCAGGTGTGTTTAAACTCTTATACAAGATATGTTAAGTGTCTATGCGATGTCCCGTGTCGTTGAGTTTGGGCAAAATTTCTACTTCTGAATTATAAATGTTTTCCTAAAGTGCCATCACCACGTATATTGTACATTTGCCTAGCAGTCTGGACGGTGTTTTTCTCTTTGCTTTTTAAAACTGTTAAATGGCAAAAATGCACTAGGTTTTTCCACCATTTTAAATTAACAAAACTTAAAAATACGAGATCTCATACAAAACTGACGAATAAAAGTACCTTAGTAAAACACAAGGGGATTAATTAATTGAATTATCAATAAAATGCTACGGACTTATTTTACAAACAGTTTAGGTAAATAAATAATAACTTTGTTTTATTAATTTTTAATAAGAAACTTTATTTCAAAATAACCAAATATAGTTGTTTAAGCAAATATTAAGTCAAGCTATCTTACAAATATCATCTGTTACCATCTCATGCACTCTGAGGCTACCAACAATTGTTACATAATAATATTAAGCAAAGCTTAATATTCCTTAAAATAATTAAATGTGTCAAGTAGTGAGATAAAAGAGATGATTTTTTTTATATGCTTTTAAATGTACGCTCTTTGTATTGTATATAGACAGAAGAATGAAGTGGTACATGCGCATGCAATGTGAAACAGCGCATATAAAGTGGGGATTACCTCGCTGTGCCCAGGATCCTAAATTGTACGCACACACACAGAAATAAATAGTTTAATAAACAAAAAAAGAAAATATTGCTGCGTCGTTCAAAGTCCTATTAAAATTATTATATTTACAAATTTTCAGTGAACCTAACTGAAACAAAGGTCCAAAAACATTCACATTGGTTTATCAATTTGGGAATTGTTGTGTTCCTTTGACTAAGGAAATTTATAAAAAATTTAAAAGAAAAAAAAAAGCCTTCTCAAAAATATAAACTGGTAAATATATAATGTTGCGCATTGTTTTCCTTAAAACTAATTATTTTTTTTAAATATTAATTTATATTTAACTAACCTTCTTAAAATGTTGCAGTGTATCAATACTGTTTTCACACATTTCTGTGATCAAAGAGACTCCAGTAATAAGAACACCTGAATAAAAAAATAATTTGATTGTTAAATTTATACATAACCAATACAACCCAAACTTGAAAATTTCCAGAAAAGGCAAATTTAACGAACTAGTATTTCTTTGGAAAATAATGCAAAACTTTTTTAACACTTGACTATGTGAGATCCAACATGTGCCTCCCGACTGTTTCTGGATTTGGCAGTTATCAGTCTTCACACACTACACAATTTCATTTGAAATACCTAGAACCACCTCAGAAAGGCAAGTGCATGTGCATCCATTCCAAATTTTTCCAACAGGAATTTTTTTTTAAATTCTGTGTAAACTGCATAATTTGTTTTTCAGTATATGTATTGTGTTATATTTACCATTTTGTGTGATTTCGTAAAAATAAAAGCAAATTTATTGTAGAAATGGAGAAACGACTTTCATTCGACTTCACATCCAAATAACACAAACATTTCCATTTCCTAACGTTAATTTACTTAATGCTGCAGCAAACTTGCATTATATAATTTTTATCATTTTTGTCAATGAAAAAAAAAAAAAATCATTCACATTATTTTTAAGCACCAGAGAGCTATTTTACGAGATAAATTGGGTTCTGCCTTGAGAAAATGAAATGGACGAGATTAGGACGCAGTCAACGAGTTAAATAAACTAATGTAAAACCAAATTTCTTACCGTGGTTCTTTTCAGATAGTAACGACCTCGTTGCTGGTAAAAATATTTCCATAAGCTCAGGAACTTTAAGTATTATCCTGTAGGCACAAAGAGCTGCTTTTTTCCTTACATACGCATTGGGGGATTTCATTAATCTTTCGACCTCTCCTGCCAGATCCCTTGACATTTCGGGGGATGCAATCGCACCAAGAGTGCAAAGTGCTAATCCCACTATAAATTGGGTAGAACTATTTAAATCACTAAAAACAATAAAAATTTAATTGGTGAAAAATTCATTAAACAAAATTATAGAATGTTACTTTTTTAAACAATTTGTTATTAACAAGTGTACATCCTGTCTCTCATCAAGTAACAACATAGCGCCTAAATATCCTATTCGTTTATCCGTAAATCTTGAAGAGGCGATTAACTTAAGACATTCAAGCTGGCCAAAGTGCGCTGGGTATCTGTAAAAGGTGTGAAACTGAGCGAAATTCCAATTTTAAACATTTAATTTTTTTCTTTCTAACCCTAGCATATGTATATACAGAAGCTTGGCGATATTTCGACATCTCCAAACACTGTCTTCTTCCCTAAATGTAGATCTTATGTACGCACATTCTTTGTTTATAACTGCCCTTTCTTCGGCAGCAGTCCTGGCAGCGCGGATTTGCCTTATTAGATCTCTAAGCCTCATAGGTGTCGGTGTCCTCACTGAAGCAAAAATAAAATAAACCCATGAAAAAAAAATTGTTAAAGGATTTTTTTTATAACTTACCCCTTTCAAGGGCTTCATTGAAAACTTCTTTTATAGCAGCCATGTTGAAGGCTGGGTTAAACCTATAAAAAACAACAATTAAAATTGCCTTAACTATACATAAATTTGTCGTCATAATTATAATTTAGTTTTAGACAGTAAGATTTATATTCGAAAATTAATGTGAAAATAATTGTTAAAAAAAGGCATCCACCATCTCCCTATACTAAAAAAATTAAAGGAACTATCAAAATATTAAAGAATGTACATTTATTTAATTTTTTTTAAATTTTATTTTTAGTAGTCATTCTCATCATAAAATATATTTATAATATAATATTTTATTTTCTAAATTAAAAGGTTATTTTTTCATAGAAATTTAAAAAAGAAATAAAGCAAGTTATGCTGACTTAAATACATTTGACTGATAATTGTATAGTCTAACGGTGAATAAATTATAAAATTCTTATAATTTCCCTATTACTTTTGCCTGAAAACAAAATTTTAAATTCATTTTTTCTTAATTTATTCTTTGGTGATTATTCTAATGCATCTTTTTGGTTTTTGTGTTTGCTGACGGACGCTGGTCCGACTGGACGAAATTCACAATCCCCCCCCCCAATGCTTACTACTTATATTCTATAATATATTCAATCTGATCATCTAAAATCATCAGAATTAGTGTTTTAGTTCCTACCCAAGGTTAACATTTTAGGTTTAGTTTAGATATTTCCCAATTCCATACTATTTTGATTTCATGCGTTTATGATTTAACACAAAACACTTCTTTGATTTTTTCTTAATTTTTATAATTACATATTAGGCTTTTTTTGTACTGAATTTGAAACGATACAACTCAAGACTTTCTAATTAAATTAAACTTAATAAATAAAAATAATTGCGTTGGGAGGGCGAGGAGTTTGGATATGTGCCAGTACATACAAAACAATGCGTAAGCTCGTTTTGTTTTTTAAACAAAAGAAAATACTTTCTTTATTTAAAATTAATTTTATCCATATGAATATTAATCATGAATGAACTCGTAAATTACACACTGTTTGTCTAAATTTAAAAACAGTCTAAATTTACACGAAAACCGACACTGAAAAATAAATAATTTAATAATCCTCAATTTGGATTGAAGAGTTTATTTTCAAAAGTAATATTTTTTTAAGTATGAGGTTTAATTGCAGAAATAAATCACATTAAATAAATTATTAAGAATTTTTTACAGATTAAATAAATTATTAAGAATTTTTTACAGTTAACTATACTATGACATAATTCAACATTCAACAAAAACTTTCAATCAACATCAGTTTACAATATTTAATAAATTTTGACTGCATTCAATGGATTTCAAGGCTTCCTTTCAACTAAACCAAGTGCTTTTTTAAAATAATTTTTACCAGTCACAATCATATTTCTAAAATGTTAAAACATACAACTTCTATTACTATGCTTGGCTTGTCATGCTAAAAACAACCATGTTATAAATCCCAGTGGATGTTTGAAAAAGCCAAATATAAAACAAAATGTTAATTAGAACGTTTAATGTTAAAAATATATGTTAAAAAGTTATAAATTTTGCGCCAGTAAATTTGGAAAAACGATTCATACCCATGATCGGAGGGATTCATTGTTTATGTCCTTCTAATGAAGCTATTCAATATAATTTATAGCTGAAACACAACAAACGACGTAAAAAAATATAAAAAAATGCACAGTAGACAATCATATTTAATGCTTAACACAGTGTTATTTAAATCTTTGAAAAAAATTATCGGTAGTAATTAGGAAATCTATTAAAAAACCGCAAGTAAAAGTATGTGACAAAAATTTTAATCCATCTCTGTTAAAGTTTAATATGCTAACTTTACCTTGGGCTTTGGGTGAACATTGATAAAGTTTTCAGTTACTTTACTAAAAATCTGATGGTTTATATACGGAAAAAACCCTCTTGTTTACTCATTAATAAAAATAAAAACTATTTTTAATTAATCATTAATAATAATTAATTATTCCTAGTACTTAAGCTTATCCTCTGTTAAACTGTTTCAACATTAAAAAATGATGAATGATGTCTTTTTTTATTAATAGCCAGAAATGTATTGTATTCGCTATAATAACTATAATAATACATTAGTTTTTGAAAATAAAAATCATTGTGATGATAGATTTTTTTTATTAATACAATATATTTGAGAGGCCTAAAAAGAACTATTATGAATTAAAATCAAGCCTATATAAAAAAAAAATGTTAACTAAAAAAAAAGAAAACAAAAATTGTATAAAAGTGAAGTTGAAAAATAAAGTTTGCAATGTATGTAGTGTTTTAAAAGCTTATCAGTTGCAGGAGAACAATTACTTTCCTTTATCAGCCTTTTGTTTATGAGTCAAGCCACTTTAAAAACAGGCATTCGTTTTATAGCAGTGACAAGTTAATTTAAGTTTAGTTAAATTTAAAAGATAAGTTGTATCCATTATCGGCAGAAATCAAGTCCTTTTATTTGATAATCGCAAAACCAGGATTCCAGATAATAAAATTAGAAACTTTAAACGACAAAAAAATAATTGGCTGATGAAGATGATGAAAAAACTGGCGGATCAACTAATCGTGCACATTCTGTTGAGTATGAAACACCAAATCGCGTGTTACTGAAAGAAAAAATTGATTTTCTATTCAACAACTGTGTCAATGTCTAAAATAGGACAATACTAATCATAACTTTCTTTAAAAATAATTATAACTATAAATAAACAATCACTGTTGAGACAGTCCCAAGCTTAATTTAAAATTTAATAAAAGTGAATTTTCTAAACATGACAATTGGTAGGGGCCAAAATTCTATGTAGGTAGGTAAGGTACGTATTAAATACAAAACAAATTTGGAATAACTGTACATGCAATTTCTGGGAAATGTTGAAACAATCCAATCACAACATAACAAAAGCAAATGTTACTTTTATGTTTAGCATTTTTTTAACGACTGACAAGTGTGACGGAAATTCTAAACCCGAATAAAAACAAAATGACGTAGTTGACAATTAATGATAACTTCCTTTAAATGTAATTAATGATAAATACAATCAGACAAGTGTTTTTTGATGGGTCTGTAGAAGGCAATTTAATCATTACTTATTGACTCAAGTAACATCTGAGAAAGATCGGTGGCAATCTAAGCTGTATTGAGCTACAATTCTCTATAGGAGGAAATGATTTGAAATAAGCATTCTCGAAAAATAATGCAACTGTTGCAACCGAGGCAAGTAAAAAAAGAAGAAGAAAAAAGAGTTTTTAATGCATTAGGACATTAGGACACTGGTGTAAAGTACAGAACAATGATACAAAGGTGGTTGAAGAGTGCAGTATAAAATTAACCCTGAACTTTTAATCAATCAATCAGTCAAAATAAAACTGATGAGTATACTGATAATCCAATAGTGATATAATGAAAGGAATAGCTTATAGAATATCTATATGACGAGTGATCTGTGACCTCAACCAAAAATTCAATTATATATCCAGATAGTAGTAATAAAAATAAATTATAATTAAATATAATTAATGTTCACTTAAAATATACAATCGCTTTTCAACAAGAAATATCAAATGGTGACATTTCATTTTTTTATATAACTATTGGTGTTGCAGCAAATGCATAAAAGCAAACAAGACTAAAGAAAATTACATATGATTAATTAACTTCAAAAAAATTCTGATTAAATTCTTTGAGTCATTCAGCTCACAATGTATGAAAATAAAATAAAGACTTTTTTTACATGAAAAATGACAGTGGACATTGATAGACAAAAAAGCATTTACCAAAGAAAAGTTGACATCTGGGCAAATGAATAACTTGAGTTATATACAATTATAATAAAATATACAATATAAGCTCTGTACAGGCAATGTATTTACAACTTAGCAAAAGAAAAATGGCCTTTCTATATGACACCAGCCAACAAACCAAAGATAAATTTCAGTAAAATTATTCAGTGCAAGTAAAATTTAATTGTTGAACCATTATTGTCATTCTTTCATTATATATAAATAGAAGGCAAAAACTGACCAGGTAAGTCATAGAAATGGTCATTTAATCCAAGAAATTCCAAAGTTTATGAAAAAACCTAATATTACAAATTGCCTAAAAATGGGCATGGATGATGAATCATAGTAATTAAGAAGCCAAAACATGAACCAAAGTAAGCTGGCACTTATTGGAAAATTAATTATAACTTGTGTTTAATCTAATTAAATTGAAGTATTGAAGTATACAAAAAAAAAAAAAAGCTCTGCACAATCAAATTGTAGCAGCGGAAAGGAAAAAGTTGCCTTTTTATATGGCCAAAAAACCAAACCAGATAAACTTCAGCACAATTTAAAGCAGGGGTTTAAACAAAACGAATCTCAGGTTTTTTTTAAGTAATTTTTGCAATTATAAATGTTTGAAGCGAGCACAAGTGATGTGAAATTGAACTGTTAGATCCATCGTTGCCATTCTTTATATAAATAGAAGGCAACAATTGTCCAGGTAAGTTACAGAAATTTCAGGTGGAAATCTGAGCCATTAATGTGCGTTGTAGAACACATATGGAAAATAAAATTAAAGGAAAGGATATTAGAATTTTTCTGACAGTCAGGCTAGTCTTAGGTCATTACAAAAAGATTTGTCAACCTCAAGAATGGTGGAGTAAACCGTAGATCTTATCAATAGGATCTCTTCCAGGTTTGAGAACAAGTTAACCCTTATTTGGTAATGAAAAGGCAGCCTGGCCAAAGAAAGCTCTAATACTGCGTTCATCGGGCCACAAAAGGTATTACCTCACTCTATGAGCACAGCAAAGGAGAGTATTAATAACTGGGGCATGAAACAATTCCTTAAGGAGTGGAATTTAACCCCCAGAGACAGGCAATTGAAGGAGTTTGTTATGGCGACCAAACCAGCAGAATCGAAATGACTATTCTCTATCTCAAGGAAGGGAATTAGACGGCTGACAGGTATTCTGACAGGACACTGCCCACTGAAAAGACTTCTCCGTAATGGGTATTCTACCAGATCCCTTTTGCCGTTTTTGCGAAACAAAAGAAGAAACGGTAAGGGACTACCTCACAGAGTGTGATAGGTATGCTAGGTCCAGATTTGAAATCTTTGAAGGAGCGGACATATACAATACAGAAATGGGAATTTAATCTAACAAATTCCAGTTTACGCATAAACAGATAATACTGCAAATTGCCTAGAAGTTTACCTAGATAAATTGAAATATAGAAAAAAAACCTGTACAGACAATATATTTACAACTTAGCAAAAGAAAAATGGTCTTTCTTTAACAAAAACAGATAAACTGTAGTACATTTTAAAGCAGCGATTGAAACTAAAAGAATTTCAGGTTTTTTAATATTTTGACATTTATAAATATTTAAAATGAGCACAAGCGAAGTGAAAATGGTCAATATTTAATGAATCCATCAAACTTTTGGATCCATCATTGTCATTATTTTATCATATATAAATCAAAGGTAAAATTTAACCAGGCGAGTTACAAAAAGGAGAATTTTTACAGAAGAAACTCCAAATACATGGAGTACGAGCGATAAAAATTGAAGTGTTGGATCCATCATTGTAATTTTTTTTTTTCATAAATAAAAGAAGAAAATTGACCAGCTGAGTTTTAGAAATCGTAATTGAATTTAAAAAACTTCTCCACAGTAACCAAAATACCAAAACAGATTTGCTTCAAAGGTAATAAAGGACAATTTCTAAGCAGGGAAATAGACAAAAATAATCTCAAATTTTTTGATATTTTGGCAATTAGGAAAGTTAGCACATGTGATCAAGAAAACGGCAAATATTTTATGACAATAATTATCAAACTGTTGGATCATACATAAATAAAAGGCCAAAATTGACCAGATGAGTTATAGAAATAAGAATTTAATTAAGAAATTCCAAGGTTTATGGATATATATATAGGTAATATTAGAAATTGTCTAAAAATGAACATGGATGATAAGTTACAGTAATCAAGAAACCAAAGTAAATTGGCATTTGGAAAATTAATTATTACTTGCATTAAGTCTAGTTAAATTGAAATATACCAAAAAAGCTCTGTTCAGACAATCTGATTATAGCAGTGGAAAAGAAAAAGTTGCCTTTCTATATGGTAAATGACAGTAACCAAAAATCAAGCTTGATAAACTTCAGCACAATTTAAAGCAGGGGTTTAAATTAAAAGAATCTCAGGGTTTTTTTAAATAGAAATTTTGGCAATTATAAGGGTTTGACGTGAGGAAAAGCGATGAGAGATATAACTGTTGGATCCATCATTGACACATAAATAAAAGGCCAAAATTCACCAGGAAAGTCATAGAAATGGTCATTTAATCCAAGAAATTCCAAAGTTTATGGAAAAACATAATGTTACAAATTGCCTAAAAATGTACATGGATGATGACTCAACAGTAATTAAGAAACCAAAGCATGAACCAAAGTAAATTGGCATTTGGGAAAATTAATTGGAACTTGTATTAAATATAATTAAATGAAAGTGTCAAAAAAGCCCTGTACAGACAATCTAATTATAGCAGTGGAAAAGAAAAAGTTGCCTTTCTATATGATAAATGACAGTAACCAAAAAACCAAACCTGATAAAATTCAGCTCAATTTAAAGCAGGGGCTTAAATTAAAAGAATCTCAGGTTTTTGTGGTAAGTAATTGTGGCAACTGAAAGCGTTTGAAGTGAGGACAAGCGATGAGAAATCAAACTGTTGGATCAACCATTGGCACATAAGTAAAAGGCCAAAATTGACCAGGCATGTTATAGAAAAGGAAATTTAATCTAAGAAATTCCAGTTTATAGATAAACAGGTAATATTAAAAATTGCCTAAAATTGAACATGGATGATGACTCATAGTAATCAAGAAACCAAGGCATGAACCAAAGTAAATGACATTTGGGAAAATTAATTATAATTTGTGTTGTCTAATTAAATTGACGAATACAAAACAAGCTCTTTACAGACCATCTAATTATAGCACAGGAAAAGAAAAAGTTGCTTTTTCTATGGTTAATGACAGTAACCAAAGTACCATACCAGTTAAGATTCAAAGAAAATCAAAGAAAAATTAAGTACAATTTTTAACCAGGATTTAGACAAAAATAATCTCAGGTTTTTTAGTATTTTCGCTATTATGAAAGTTTAAAGCGAGCACAAGCGATGAGGAAAATAACAAATATTTTACGAATTCATCAAACTGTTGGATCACACTTGAATAAAAGGCGAAAATTGCTCAGGCGATTTACAGAAAGTGGAATTTCACCAAAGTTAATCCAAAGTCGACGGATAAACGGCCAATATTACAAATTACCTAGCAAAGGAAATGTTTTCTCTCCGAGTTTCGCGACACTCAAGTTGACACGTTTGTGCTACGCAGGCGACACTGATCGGCCTTTTTATCGAAAAAAAATTAGCCTACAAATGAAAATTTGATGGAAATTCCGGTCTTTTGTGGACGATCGGGTTTTCCAATTAAATGTAATGAAAAAACGGGCGTGGAAAATGCCAATCAGATTGTCACCCAATAACCTTAAAATTTTGGCCTTAACTGATATAAAAACAAAACTGGCCGGGCGAGGCAAATTTACCTGTCGATCTTATCCAAAATCCCCTCGTCCTCTCACGCGAAATAGGCTTTGTTTTTGTTTCTATATTGTCAATTTAAAAAAATCAAAATAAGAAAAATAAATTGGAAAAAAAAAGAATTACTCCATGGTCCCTCGAAACGTTTAAGAGTCGGCCGAAGGTGAACTGGCGATTCGAAATACCTGCCACATACACGCACGACCCGGGGCCGAAATCGAATCGCGCCTCCTCGGGAAAAGCTCGGCCCACTTTCACTAAGAAAAAATGGCTAGTTTTCGGCCCGGAAAAAAAAGAAAATTCTTACTGGAAAATTCTGTATTACTACACTATCGGAAAACATTAATACACCAGAGTCAGGTGGAATCTCAGGTGTGTAATTCTAATCACATCCCCAGGTTAGAAAACCCAACCCGCCGATGACGAGGGGAATAACTATAAAAATTACACATAAACAAATTAAATCCACAACATCAATCATTTAAACAAAAAAACGTACAAAATTAAAAATTTAACTTAAAATCGCCACAAAATTACATCATTATTGTAACAATCTGAATCGTCTAGGTCGCAAGATCAAAATTCAACCCGATCGAAACAACAACAAAAAGCACAAATTTAAAAAACCAAAAAAATTACAAAAATTTAAATTTACATCACTATTTTCCACTTTTTTCAAGCGTTACTATGAAGATTTACCTTCTGTTTTGATCTGGGGGAAGAACGGAAAATTCTTCGACTTCCAGGAAGGGCCACATGTTTTGTATCACGTTGATTTTATTTGAAAAACTGGAAAAATCCATGTGGAAATACCAAAAATGACATCTTTTCCGTATAGAATTGATGTCTTTTTTGTTTGTTTTTTAAAATTTTATTTCCACCTTCAATTTTTCTCCTGTTTCTTATCTGAGATAAGAGTAAAATACAAAAGATAAGAGTTTATTATGGATGTGCCTGTTGTTGAGCAAACATAAGATTGCTTGGTTTGGAAAAAACCTACTGAAATTTCTTGACCACTGGAACTTTGAACTTTTATACCTACAAAATTAAAATATAAATCGATAGAAAATTTGATAAAACTACCCAGGCCTTCATTAAAAAAAAAAATAAAAATGTTTAGTTTTAACCAAATCAGATGTTCATTTAAGAAAAAAAAGAAAAAACACCATCTGTCATATCAGCAAATTTACAGTTATAAATTAAATTTTCCATTTTGGTATGTCTATGAAAAGACCACTGCATTGATTTTTTTTGCCATGCCTGAATTTAAGAGATACAAGATAAGAGAGATTCATCTGCCAATAATAGCATACCAATGAACTGAAGATGGCAAGAAATGTCTGAAAGACAAAATGGAAAGATAAAGAGACCGAAATTATCAGAAAAAACTACATTTATTTGGCACGTTCCCTGTAATTTTTGTATCCCTTTACTTGTAATTTTGGCTTGTCAGACACTTTCAGCCTTTCGTCAGCTTTATTTTATGGTTTTGTGTTATTTAGATGCGCCAGGCTTCAAGAGACATATAAAGAGAACTCAATGGACAAAAAATAACACAAAAACCAACCACTGAATATGGCAAAAAGTTGAAACGCCAATAATAACATACCAACAAACACTGAAGATGTGTCTGAAAGACAAAATGGAAAGATAAAAAGACAAAAATGATCAGAAAAACAGACAATTTTCATGACTCATTTCCTGTAATCTTTGTATGCTTTTCCTTATTATCTTGGTCTGACTGACATTTCAACCATTATTCATCTACATTCGGTAATTTTGTGTTATTTAGACATTCTTGGCCTTCAAGATCAGTATTACATATAAAAAGAAAGTACACACAAACACAACTGAAGGTGAAAACAAGTTTAAATGTGTCTGTCAGACGAAAATAGCAATTATAAAAAGATCAAAAGAATCAAACATCAAACTAACCATTTCCTGTAATTTTAGTATACCCTTTCTGGTTTTTTTGGTCTGTGAGACTCTTTCACTGTTCATCCACAAAGACCTCAATAAGAAATCTCAGTTTAAAAAAAAATAGAAGCCTATGGTAGATGATATAAATTTCTGACCAGGCAGAGGTCCATACCAGGAGAAAATGTTAACCTCAGTTTAAAAGATTAAGCAGACAACATAATTAAAAAAATTGATTTATTTTAACAAAATACAGATACACAGAGGAAAGAAAACAACACTTTAATTTTTAGAAAGTACATTTAATAGTTTTTGAATATAGATGAAATGGTAATTAAAAAAAAATTAAGGTTCACATTTATTAGGTTTGATTTGATTAAAAAGCCTGTCTTTGATCATCTGAGCCATTAGTCCGTGAATTATTTCGATTGTGGTTTTGCAACTGTCTTTGGTAGCTTTAAGAAGTTTGTCTTCTGTTCTCTTTTCATGAGGATCTGTTCCACCGAGCACGAAGCCTCCTAGCCCTATAAAAATTAAATCACAGTCAGAATACGTTGAATTCCGATTGAGAAGGTTCTTCGCAGTTTTGTAATAGATACACATTACCTAAAGCCGCTTCGGACTGTTCTAGTTTTTCAGAGAGATCCAATATCTGCCCTGTCGTGTAGTCGGCATTCGTGAGGAGACTGGCGGAGCTCAGCGTGTTAACCCAGTACTTGTTCCAAAGCGAGTCGAGGAGACGGCGGTCGAGAGAGCTCTTGAAATAAGACACTTCCAAAGAGTAATACTGTTTGCAGTGCACTCCGAAATCTTCTATCTTGTTCAAAGGGATTGTCTGATATTCAGAAGGTTCTTCATTCGGCGGCTTGTATCCCTAAATATTTTTAAAAGTTTTTTTATTATGGCTTTATGAAATTTACATATTCCCATAAATGATTACATTTCCCTCCTGAAAAAGTAAAAATACTACTGGCAATGCAAATGGAAGGAATTGGGGCGTCGGTGGCCACAACAGATTGGCATTGACTCGGCACTCATCGCTGTAAGGTAAAGGTCCTGGGTTCAAATCCAGCGGCCCTGCATTCGAACTCAACATACTTACAAATGGGCTTTTTTTTTAAAACACCCTGAGGGTTGATATAAGCTCTGCTGTTGCAAACCCTCATAAAAAAAATAATTGGGAGGCAACAAGGTACAATTTAAGAGAAATAAAAAAATGCCGCTTGGAAATGGCTCTCATCAAACCAAAACAATGGAGATAAGAAACAGCTATGCAGACTCCGAATCAGGCATACAAGACTAACACACGGCTACCTAATCACTAGGGAATACACACAGTATGTAATGAGGAGCTTACAATAAAACGTATATTGACCACCTGTGAATGATACAACCAGGAAAGAAGGTACTACAAGCTGCCTGAATCCCTGTATGATGTTCTAAATGACTCCTTTTTCCAGTTTGTCGAACATACAAAACTTTTAAAAAAAATTGTGGCCATGTAGAGTTGGCCTTGATGTGAGAGGGACTGGGGTGGCTGAAGTGGGGCAGTGTCTGATGGGTGAGCATCTAGGGCACGTTTTCCCCCGGGTAGTTGGAAGGGAGTAGTTCCATAGCGCACTACATGCGGTGTAAATGGTTTTTATCCACATCCATTACAAAACAAAACATCAATAAATGCAAGGGGGGATGATTGCGTTAAAAGCCAAGGTGCTTGCCTGTCTGCCCGTCGGGTGGTTTGAGCCGGTCTGTCCATCATGCACACTGCACATTAGCCAAGGAAAATGATATATAAATATGTAACGTGTTTTTTTTTTTTTTTTTTGAGGGGGGAAGGGTTGTGTGAAAAAAAGAGCCAGGGACGATAGTGGGAACTGAACATTCTACGAGCCGAGAATCCATCGTACTGACCACTCGGCCACTACAGCCTCCCATTTCAATACATCGTTTAATGAACATATGTTAAAAACTTTAGTTTTTACCTTAGGGTACGTTCTGAATGCGCCCAGGCATACTTTTCCAGCTGAAATGGTCCTCACTGGGTCAATTACGATAGCTACAAAAGGTTCTTGGAAATTTTGATTCAGCATCTGAGTGGAAACGTCAATCCCACTCAACCAACAGCCGTAGCCAGGATGACTGTGGTACCAGCCGATCGCATTCTCTAAACGTCCAACCTAAAATTAAAATTATAAAATTTTGTGAGGTCTTCAATGTGAAGAATCAGTCTTTAATATGTCCCAATTAAACTAATCTACTTATTGACCAAATTTCTCTAACAGTTCGGTATTATAAAAATAAAAGTATCACAGTCAAATATTAGCAAAATTTATTATTTTTTTAATCCAAAAGCTGCAAGGAAAGGCTGACTAATATGATCAGAAACTGTTAAGATTCATGTTTATTACCCATCGGACCATAGGAAGAAATCTCATGAGTGAAAGTAGTTGGATATCTTGTACAGATTTGAATAATCGTTATGTCATGCCAGAAAAGAAAAAACAGAACATACTTGCTTAGCTGATTCTATGTAAGCTGTCATATATTCGTAGGCTTGAGCTTGAGCGTTGACTCTCGTTTCGGTACCCTCGACCGGGAGAGCAAAAGAATCCATTACAAGCATCGTGTTGGCATCGACTTTCCCAAGTAGAAGGCCCATGACCTCCAACGTTCCTCCAGATCTGGCGTGCATCACCATCTTCAATAGAGCCAGTGCTGAGATTTTTATATCGGTGAAAAAATGCGGACTTGAAACAAAACAAACGTAAAAGTTAGAACGGGAATGACAGAGATACGGATGGATTCGACTCACTCCTTTTCCCAAGGTTTCGCGTTGAGGATGTCCTGCTGCTGCTTTCTGTCATATCGGTATATCTCGTCCACTGTGCTTATGGTTTCTATGTTGTTGGACATTTCCCAAGTCTTCTGGGCCATGGAATATTGGTTCTCGTTCGAACTCGATGCCATGATAGATTGTTCGGCCTAAAATAACAATTTCATCAGTCGGAGGAACTTGAATTCTCTAATTTCCCAGTCAAATGGGAAGTGTACTTTCTTTCGTCCTCCTTTAAACCTCCCCTTCGAGGTTTGACTTGTATGCCGCAGCCTATGGAACATTCATGTACTACCCTTACAACCAAAACGACCAATTGGTGAGCCAATTAAATCACGATAAAGCAATTTTATTTTTAAAAAAATTAATTAAACGCAAAACTATTAATAATGTAAAGTGAAAATATTTGAAAAATTAAAAAATACTTTACCTAGTTTTAAAAAATATCTAAATTAAAGAAAAAAACACCATATTTATTTCATGTCTATTTTTTAAAATTTATGATAGATAATTTGTTAATAAAATTTTTTCTTAGGGTCAACGTCAAAGAAAACGTTACTAAAAATTTAGCATCAATTAAAAAGCTCAACTTTGACAGATCACAAGTGGACATAGACAATAGAGACATTTGGAAAAAAGGTGACCCCAAGTTTCAAAAAGGGGCCCTAATATGGTACACAGATGGATGGAAGATGGAACAGGGAGTAGGTGTAGGGATAAAAAGGCCCTAGCGAAGCCCCTTGGACTCACCCCAACCTTTTGTCCAAGCTGAAGTCCAATACAACTATGTGCACATGAGTTAATAGAAAAAAATGTAAAACATGTACAGATATACCTACTCTCAGACAACCAGGCAGTCATAAAGGCAATAAATGAATGCTTTCAGCTCCAAACATGTCTGGGAATGCCTAAACTCCTAATGACTCTGGGAAAGAAGTCCATGCAGTACACTATGTGTACATGAGATAATACAGAAAAATATGAAAGGTGCATATGTATATATATATATATATATATATATATATATATATATATATACTCTCAGACAACTAGGCAGTCATAAAGGCACTAAATGCATATGCTTTCAACATCAGACTTGTCTGGGAATGCCTAAACTGCCTAATGACTCTGAAAAAGAAGTCCATGCAATAGAACCATGTGCACAACAGAAATATATGAAAGGTGCACAGATATTCCTACTCTCGGACAATCAGACATACATAAAAGCACTAAGTGCGTATGCTTTCAACATCAAACTTGTCTGGAATGCCTAAACTGCCTAATGACTCTGGGAAAGAAGTCCATGCAGTATAACTATGTGCACATGAGTTAATACAAAAAATATGAAAGGTGCACAGATATACCTACTCCCAGACAACCAGGCAGCCCATAAAGGAACTAAGTGCATGTGATTTCAACTCCAAACTTGTCTACCTAATGACTTGGGGAAAGTAAAACAAGATTACCTTAAAGTGGGTTCCTCGACTTGAAGGCTTTAGAAGGAAATGGACAGGCTGACCAACTAGATAAAAGAGGAGCAACCCTCTCAACCATGGGACCAGAACTACAACTAAGTACTCTGAGGGGGCTTAAGTTGGAAAAATGGATTAAGAAAGAAAAACAACACTCGACAAATACCCCAGATATGAGGCAAGCTAAGACATTTATAAACATCTCAAAATGGAAGCTGAAAGAACTCCTCTCCCTCAGCAGGCAGGATTTGGGAAAAATTGGAGGCTTCTACACTAGCCACTGCTCTCTTAACTATCACCTTAAGAAGATGGGCAAGGCTGAGACGGAAACATGTCTACTCTGCTAGGAGGAATCAGAACCATTGGTGCATATCCTTGCGAATGTAAAAATAGCCAATTCAGAAGGATATTTCTCACACCCAAGATCCACTAAGAAGCACCAACAAAAGAGCTCAGTTTTATAAGGAATAACATACTTTCCAATGTACAGGGGTTTATAAGTTATACGGGTTCCACAATAGGCCTGTTTAGGTAGCAGTGGAGGAAAGAATTGTATTCTGCATCAACCCCACACAAACCCTTAATAAAGTCAATTAATTTGACCAAAATATTTGAAAACTACATAAAAAAAGGAATGATGTCTGCGAGGTAATAAATGTTCTGCTCTGTCATCCTGATCTTGCCTGCCAGACTTTTTTATTTATAATTATTCAGATATCGTGAGATGGTCTGGTGTGATGTAGGTTTTTCTGAAACCTACATCACACCAGACCGCATCTCAAGATATCTGAATAATTATAGATTAACGGTCACTAATCTCTACACACTTTTTTATTTATTTTGGCATTGCTGTTAATTTGTTGAAACAAGGTGAAATTCTGTAATAGGTCTGACAGGCAAAAAGGATGATCGGTGATGATGAAGCAATTTATATACACTAAAGTGTAAGATTAACGTAAATGGCTTTTCCCCATTACAAATTCAATTTAAACTTTTACATGTTAACAACATGAATTATTAATTCGAGAATAAGAATAATACCAAAATTAATCGTGGGATTTAAATTTATTATAAACATTATTAGAAGACAAATTTTCATAACTGTAAATAGTATTTTTCAGTAGTCACAAGGGTTATAACAAAGTAAAAAAAAATATAAAACATTAAAAAAATAATAATTACTGCATAACTGGTACTGGGCTGAGGATTCAAGTACAGGTCGCATGGAAATTCTTCGTCAAAATCGTACATAAAGATATTCATTGTTCAATTTTTAATTAAGGCAAATAAATGTATTGAGATCGTTATGAAGAAAGTACAAACAGGATTTTTCACAAGCAAGAGAACTGTTTAGTACATCGAATAAACATTGTGTTGTACTTTGACCGTTAAAATCTGTTTTTGTTTACTATCAGGCAAAACAGTTAATTCGTGATTCGGCATGAGGACCTTTTCAGATTCCAGGTGAGTTTAATTATTTCTAATATAATTATATCGAGATTAATTGCATTTTGTCTTTTTAAAAGTATGAGCAAATTGTCTCTATATTGGATTTGTTTTTAAATCTTATTTTAAGTAAAATTTTATATGTTTATAAATATCTGTTGTGTAGAATCTTTGTGTAAATACGGTCTGGAAATGTAAAATTCATTATTTTTAGTTTTTTTCCATGCGAGCTATACATTGATAAAACTATAATATAATAAGAAGGCAACTGTAAAATGACAAGAAAATTTTATTTACATTATTAAAAGATTTACAATATATTTATTAAAACGTATTTAAATATAAACCACGATAAAAATTTGTTTCTGATTTTACATAGTTGTAATAGCTTAGTATAAAATGAAATAAGTTAATTTGATAAAATTTGAATATGATACAGTTCACATTTATCACAATAAATTCATTTCCCACATTTTTCTTTTTGCTGTTTGTACAAATTCATAACTTTTTTGCTTGGTATAAGTCCTCTAGTGAGGCCAAGGCGTTTTTTCTTTTTCTGAGGCTCGTCCTCATCGTCGCTGTCCTTGGACCTACTCAGGTCTTGGTTTTCATCTATGAACCCTTGGTTGTGGTTGTTGTGGTTACTGTTGTCTTTATGCTCCTGCGTAACAGCTGCCTGACCGTTATCAACATTATGAGCAAATTTGCATTTCTTCCCGAATCGGCAGTTCCCTTTCTTGAACATGTAGCAGACCTTTTTCGTCATCTTTTCATCTTTTTGGGGCACCATTTTGACATGCTTTTCCAGGACGGCATACTGCGCTATTTCGGCTTCTAGGAAAGGGTTGACAAATACGGAGTTCTTTATTTTGTCAGAAAAAGCTGGTGGGGGCAGCCGGGCTGTCGATTCTTCGGAATCAGCGCTGTAATGGCACAATAAAAAACAAATTAATTATTTATTATTATTGGACTTTTGTTTAGGTATGTTTATGTCACAGATGACTTGATTTTCGCTGTTGCTTCTATAAAAAAGGCCAAGATTTATTTAAGCAATCTCCTCAACCTGGAACTTTCTATTAGTGAGTGTCTGAGCACTGACAGTCCAGCCTTTCTCTTTTATACTTGTAAAATTGCCTGTCATTGTGACAGAGTGCTAAAATTTAAACTAGCTTTTGGATAACTGGATGACAAGATTGATTGATAAAACAACCTTTCATTTTTAAATAGAATTGAAATATGTAATCCCATGATGGATGATGGTGAACTTTTAGGTTGGTTGATGTTGGTATCAATGATTTTCTTTAATTCACAAATGAAGCAATTGGGACCAATTTTCTTTATTGGACGTCCAATAAAGATTTATGATAAAGTAAATATGGAAAAGAAATGTGTATACCATTCTTTGAAATTTTCCGTCTCAGTGTCGGAATCATCGCTGTGGCTCGACTCTTGACTGGATTCTCCATAATCAGCCACCAAAGACGCCATCCTTTACAACCCGGTCGGCATTTTCTTCAAAAAAACCAAAAAACCCCTGGACTATAATTCTGCACAGGCGAAACTCGGCGGATCCGGTAGAAATTTCGCTGCGGAGTTTCTTTTCCCCGGGAGAAAACAAAAATAAAAACAACAGGAAGGGCTTGGACAAGCGGGGGAGGATAACCTCAAAGCGACATTACAACCTCCCACATCCGCCATTGGTTCCCCCCTCCAACTCTAATCAAAGCCCTTATCAGAATTGAAATTTTAGTTGACAGTTTGACACATTCATTCAAGTTCCATCCATCTCTAGTCCCGTGTGGCAAGCCGTTCTACCCAGTGAACTTAAATTCTACCACAGTCGGCGAAGAGTAATGATCAGTAGTGACAATCGTAAGTACATTAAAATAAAATTCTTTAAACAAGTCATAAAACAAATTAACTCGTTAAATATACCGTTTTTCTTCTCCACAGGTAGGCCACGTAGATAGACACAAACATGAAATTAAATTATCCAATATTGATAACAGAAACTGAACAAGGCTCTGAAGGTGAATTCGTCTACGTCCAATCTCAAGGTGCTTTCACATTTTTAAATAATTATAAACCTGATTTAATAGTTCCTAACATTTTTTTCTCTGGCTATGCTGTCCTACTTATTATCAAATATTCCTGATCCTTCAGGCTATTAACATCATATAAACGTGTATTTTGATCTTTATCAATTATCTTGGTCTGCCTATGGCTGAGTTGGTCTTTCAGACGCATGAACCATCTTCACTGTGTTTCCTGTACGTCGTTTAATTAGAAAGAGAAAGGTTTTAAGTGTTCGACCAATTTTTTACTCATGGTACAGTCTTGATGAAAAAGCAAATTCAGTTGTTACTATCAAGCTTTTGACCTATTTTACGGTCATGATCACTGCAAAGGGGATAGGAATAAAAGGTAGCCACAAGGCCTTCTACACTTCGACCTGAGTAGATGTATTTTAACTCTCCTGTTTTTTATAACTCATTGGCAAGCTTCAGGTTGTTAATCAACTGCCATAACCTTGCTAGCGGCTTCTTAGGGCAGGATCTTGTGGCTTTATTTTGTCCTATTTGAAAGAATCTGCACCTACATAGACGTTCACAAAAACATAAAATTCTGCGGTCTCCTCGTCTTCTTGGCACTAACTACACATGTTTCTTCTGTCGGTGCATGGGCTTTCATAATGGCAGTACCCCGTCAGGAGTACAACCAAAATCGTGGTTTGGTTGCAGTTGCCTTACAGCAGAGTTGGGCAAAAACTAACTAATTCTTAATCATGATTGAATTAGTTTGATTTTGCCCAACTCTGGCTACAATGACCAACTTACCAAAATCCAACCGACTCCGGATAAAAATTTTGAGATGAGAGTCGTGCTCAGGGCCAACCTTCAAAAATTGTTATCATAAACGAAAACCAAATTTACATAATTATTCTACTTGTCTATTTTATTACAATCAAGACCCCTAGATGGTGTATTTTCCAAATAATGTAGAAATCTCTCGTTTTAAGTGGAATAAATTTTAATTCAAAGAAATATTTTTTCCATTGATCGGTTATGTAAACATATTTACTTTTCAAAGCGTAGCTTGTTATAGGATTTTTTTATTTTATTATATTATTATTATCATTATCATTATTTTTTGACTTTTCATAACGACGGAGTTTTACTTATAATTGGAAGATTGATTTTTGTTAAATAAGGTGTTGAAGGATTTTCGTTTTGATGAAATAAATTTCTGTTAGAAAATTTTTTAAAAGTGATGAAGTGTATTATTCATTTTTTGAGCACCCATTTGAACATGATTTATCGAAATTTAGTCATGACTAACTATATTGTGACTAAATTAGTCATGCCTCGTATTTAATTACTAGTCATGACTAATTTAGCCATCAATCACATATGGCGACTAAATTAGTCATGCCTCGTATTTAATTACTAGTCATGACTAACAGTCTGAGTGATCAATCATTAATCATTAGACATGACTAATTTTTGCCCAACACTGCCTTACAGTAATTCCTTTGTACGTTTTGTGGATGGCCCATCTATGAACCTCTTCGCATGCCTCATACCTGTGGTATTCTTCCACCAGGTTTTGGACTCATTAAGGATCCATTTTGAGATGTATCCTCTTTTGAGACTAGGTGTTAGGCCATAGTAGGGGTTCAGGACCTAGAGAGTCCATGTTGGCTCCTTCTTTGGCCGTCATGTCAAATTTTCATTGTCTCTCTCTCCTAAAAGCCCAGGGTGTCGATGCCTTCATTCAGGTCCAAAAACTCCTTTGCCTTCACCTCTCATCAGGCTAGGGCCTTTAGTGTTGCCTGTCAGAGAAGATGGCCATCTTCTGGGAAAGTATTCCTAGCTTTTCTATTTCCCTGTCAAAGTTTCCCTTTAGCCTATTCTTCCTGTTCTGGTATCAGTACCTTGTACTGTTTAGTAAAATTGTATTTTGGAGTAGTGACATTGGTTGGCATGCCTGCATCTCCTTCCTCAATTTCAATTGTTGAGAGAGCCCAACACTACACACAATAATGACACATCTACAAACAAAACAAACACTTTGAGCCCTGAAGATGATATCAATAATGATCGAAATGTTGGCACAATAAAGAAAATGTTTTACTAAAACTACATCACATCGGACTGTATTTCACGATCTCCAAATAAACAAGATTAATTTAAAAAAACTACTTTTGGCATTCGAGTTGTTTAGGGTGATGGCGAAACATTAAATACTCCATTACCACTTGTGTGAATTGTATGTAAATAAGAAAGTTTGATTTAAGAATAAGTGGCAGTAGCACAGCATAGGTATCGATATCACCAGAGCTTAATTTCAGTGGGCAGGACAAACCATGCATACCAAAGGTCTTATTTCCTGACTAATAACACAATTTGTCATCGCTTGCGATAAGAACATTAAATTCATTTCTCCAAATCGAGAACTACCTTGGTATTGGCTATTTATAAACCTAGATTTTATTATCAATTCCAATTTGTATTGCTCAGCTTAGTAAAGAATGATTACCCATTTTAATTTGAGCTATCAGCAATTTTATCGCAGCTGTGAAAAAATATTTATGATAAAGCACTTTAATATTAAATTTTTAGACTCTGGTATGTTTATTGAATGACATTATATAGGCTAATATAATATTTTTTTCATCCTGTTTTAATAACATTTTTCAATTAATTCTTTACCTTAAATAAAAATTAATTATTAAATTATTACGCATAGAATCCCAGAATTTTGGCATTTTGTATTTCAGTAAACTATACTATATGTTCATTTATTGGGATTTTATGTTTTAGGAAAAAATGAATTACTTAAATTAAATGCATCCCTCAAGGCTAAGAAAAGTTTTTCAAGGGTAGTAAGCATTTTTAAAGACATTTTCCTCCCTCGGGGCTATCCAGATAGTGTTAGCAAAGACTACGTAAATTATCAGATATGGGATACACTCCAGGTACTTAACATAATGTACAACATAAAGAAAAAGTTGTTAACTATTGTTTATTTTGTCAGGCGTGCTGCAGTACAATAACAGGGACTTTAGCAACAAAAGCTGTATTGCAGGGAATCGGTGTTGGTGACAGCACGGCAAATTCGACAAGTGCTGCGGTAACATGGGTGTTGAAAGATGGTATCGGTCTGTTGGCGAAGATCGCCTTTGCATGGGGCATAGGGTAATATTTTATATATCAATAAGACGTCAAGAAACAATTGATTGAAAACTGATGTTAGCTCAGGGCTTGATGGAGAGTGCAAAAAATGGAGGATGTTTGCAGATATTTTAAACGACACGGCCATTTTCACAGAGTTGATTTTCATGACGCTTTACACAGAATATGCGTTTTACATTTTGTGCTTTTCAACATCCCTGAAAGGTCTGGTCGGCGTAGCAGGTGGGGCAACCCGTGCAGCTATAACGCAGCATCAGGTCGGTTTCGAGAAATGTTCATAAGCGAGTTTTTATTGTTAATGTACGTTTCAGGCAGTGAAAGAAAATATGGCCGACGTTTCTGCGAAAGATGGTAGCCAAGAAACTTGTGTCAATCTTTTGACTTCCCTAATGGGAGTCGGGCTGCTATCATATTTTGGTGATAATAGGTACTTGAAAAAAATTCAAATAAATTAGATTTAATAAAAAAAAAAAAAAAATATATATATATATATATCTTAATATGTTGTTTTAGTGCACTGTGGTATCTGTTTGTCATTTTGACATATTTCCACCTGTATTGCAATTATAAGGCTGTGAAAGCACTGAACTTCAATTTTTTCAACAATGAACGTCTTGTTATTTTCTTGAAGAACTATTTCTTGTCTGATATTGCTCTTCCTCCGCAAGAAGTCAATGAAAGGGAATCTGTTTTACTTGGAGCCGGAGAATCAGGTACTCTCACTCTTTCATTAATCTCTCATCTCTCTCTCTCTCTCTCTCTCTCTCTCTCTCTCTCTCTCTCTCTCTCTCACTCACTCACTCACTCACTCTCAACACACTTAAACTCTCCCATAATGGAACTAATTTGGTTGAATATGATGACTCTGGGTGGTTCTCCTCAGTCTTTAGGGTATTTATACTTTTCCTTATTGTATTTACATATTATTTTTATTATTATTTTAGATAGTAGCATTTGTGGCCATAAAATCAAAATAGGGTGTTCATTGGATAAAATAACAAGCAAGAAACTCTTGCTGCCTTTACAAATCCAGTTCCTTGCCCATTTGTACAAGAAAAGAAAGTACATGATTGTCCTATGTGAAAACCAGAACACCATCTATGTATTTCTTGATACTACCATAACATCTAAGGACGTTCTAGAGGCATATTTCCACGCCGTTATCCTTGGGATTGGTGTATCGTATATAAAAAACAGTACTGTAAGTTTTAACAGTTTTCCTTACGATTCTTTCAAATCTCTATTTTTTATCAATTTTTTTTTTAGTTCCTGCCAACAAAGAAATTTGTGAAAGGTGACAAATTCAAACAATTTCCTTCCCAGTCGAAAATGCTGAACAGCTTGTACGAATCGCTGAGTTCGAAACAGATCCAGTACCTGATGGACAAACAAGGCATCGATATTTCTGTACTGATGACAATTGATAATTTCGCTACACAACATGCGACTGACTGTTTTCAAAACGCTGCTATGATGGGTAAGTACGGTGATGTAATAAATATAAAGGGGACTGTTGTGGCCAAGTGTGTGACTCATATTTGCCATGCTTGTGATTCTGGTTTCGAATCCCGCCATAGCCCATGGTTTTTTTAAATGGATTATAGTATGAAAAATGAATAAAGTGGTTTGATCCCTTGTCCATCCAATGTGGACGATAAGTCCTCCTGTATGACAGGAATTACTTTACTTTAATTTTAATAAACATTATACAACTACATATTTTGTAATTTTTAAATTTTTTTTAAGGATGGGACATTGAGAAAAATTTACTCAAAGTCGACAACTGGAGAGCTTACTGGGGAGATCAGAGATCAGCAAATGAAAATCCAAAAGACTTGTAATTTTTGAATAAATTTTTTTTACCATTTTTTGATTCATGCTGTTTGAATTTATTTGAAATCATTTATCTTATGAAGGGCAGTCAAAACAGATGAGCATTTCAAATTGTGGATACATTGCTGATTGTACACAGTGGTTACTTGCCATCTGAAACGATCTCCTTACTCACAAGCGGTATCAAATCTTGAATTCGATTGAAAAATATTCTCCAGGTTTTATCATCTTCAAATGTATATAAGCAAGGTCAGGTGTAATGTTGAAAGCGCTGTCAGATTATTTAAGTTAACTAGATAAAAATACAGATCTGTGTGAAAATTTTTATGGACAAACCGTCAATGTAGATTCCACAAAGGAAGATCAACAAGAGATCATATTTTTATTATGACGATGGTAATTACTATGACGATTTTATGAAAATGACCTGGACCTTCACCAGCTAGTTCAATATGGCATATGTCACAGTGGACTGAAGCTGATTGGGATCCATGCGAAGGTGATCAGACTGGTTAAAATGATCCTTAAGAATATGGTGACCAATATTTGTTCAGATGGAGGTCTCTTTGGTGTTGCTAATTGGCATAATATGCTAACATTGGCTTAAGACATGAATATCCCTCCCTTCCTCTTCAATTTAGTGCTAAAGTTAGCAACAAGGAATAGATCTGTGACCCAGGGAGAAAGAATATACACCAGGATGACAAAGCACTTAGCTTGTACCGATGATTTAGCCATTGTGGCTCAGTAGGCCACTGCACTGATAGAAACTTTTGTAGAGCTGGACACGGACGTATTGTAGCAAAAAAATAAAAATAAATAAATAGTAAACTACTCAGAGAAAAAGGTTCTACAGGTAATTTTTGTGTCCGTGATGGAAAATTACGTTTACAGGCTCTTAAGAACACAGAATAGGAATTATACAGGAATGATTTAGTAACAACTATAAAAAAACGGTAAACTTCACTGGTTTGCCACCTGATGAAACACGTAAGAGCTCCTTATATAACAGGGGAAGGGCATCCTGGAGATCAAGCAAGGTAGCAGTGGTTGAAAAATATAGAGGACCACAGCTAACCACACGACAGCCAAGGAGGATTGACAGAAAACATTGAGGCCAAGGTCATTAAGGGCTGTATTGCTATGGAGTAAGTAAAACTGAAATTTTTTGTTAAAACTAGAAGTCAAGCCATCTGACACAATTGAAAATGTCAGTACTAAAAATACAAGAAAAAAGAAATCTTCCAGACCAATATATGTTGATTTTTGTTGGAAAACAACTCGAGGATGGGTGTACGCTCTCAGATTATAACAGTTAAAAGGAATATACTGAATATTTGGTTTTAAGGTTGTGAAGATGTCTGTCAAGTTATCTAGATAACGCTTAGTCTGATGAGCTCAAAATCAGGATCACTGCTAACAGTTTGAATAGAACCATTCTTATCAAACAAGTCTTGTTAAAACAAAATTTTCTATGTGAAATTGATTTTCAGAACTGAATGTGATTGACGCTTTGTCAGTTCCTAAATCCAAGCCCAACTCTCTCATTCATTCTTATTTACATACCATTCACTCAAGGCGGTGTAGTACTCAATATTCCGCCAATTATCCATTACATAACTAGTAGTTTTACATCGAAAAAGACAAAAAAAATTTCTATTTGTTTTTGTCTAGTTGTTTTTTGCGTTTTTCTTGAAAAAAAAAAAAACAACTTTTTTAAAAAAATAACATTTATTTGGTATTTACAACTACAAGTGATGTATTAAGTAAATATGTTCGTATATGTTGAATTATCATTTGAGACTCTTGTAGGAGAAGTTGCCCAGTGGTAACACTCCTTCACACTGATATCTTGTTCAGTCTTCACACATGAGAAGGTCTCGGGGCCATTTTCGCTTCAATCGTCTTGGAGGATTTTCAGGTAGGGTTGGAAGTGATAAATTTCGTACGAATAGATTACTGTGTGTGTTCAGTGATTGATGAAATTTTTTATATCGGGTTTTGATGAGTTCATGTACAAACGAGATGTGTAGGTCTTTATGGATAGTGTAATTTGAAACGTAAAAAGGAGCATTTATAATTTGACGGAGAATTTTAGATTGGATTGATTGGAGACGCTGGGAATTGGAATCCTTGGTTGAGCCCCACACTTCACAACTGTATGCCCAGAGAGGTTGTCTTGTAAATTAAAAGTTTATTTTCAAGGTCTAATTTTGATCGTGAGTCTAGTAGTCTTTTTAACAATTTATAACATCGGTTTGTTTGCTGTCTTTTCAGTCTTGTATGGGGATTCCAAGTCAGTCGCTTATCCATAAAAAGTCCAAGATAACGCACAAGGTCAGTGGTAGGCAATGGAATTCCATTTATACTCACCGCAGGACTGACATTTTTACATAAGGTAAAATTGATCTGTGTGCTTTTTGTTAGGTTTACCTTTATTCTCCACTTTGTGAACCATATTGTTAATTCAATCAGGTGTTTTTTAAGTGTTGAGTGTTAATTGAGGGGTCCGAATTGCGTGTAAGAATCGCTGTATCATCAGCGAATGTGTGTGTCGAAATGTTAACGTGTGTAGGAATATCTGCAGTGTATATGGAAAATAGAAAAGGGCCAAGTATGCTTCCCAGAGGAACACCCACCCTTATGCGTATATAAGGTGAGAATTCAGTTCCCTGACAGACTCGACAAAATCGATCCGTCAGATAAGATTTCAGTATAAGATAGTACGTATGAGGGAGGATGTTCCTCCTGGCAGTAATTGTCGGAGAAGTAGTTTTTCTAGTATTTTGGCAAGGGTAGAAAGGAGACTAACGGGTCGATAGGAATTTGGAAGATCAGAAGATGGTCCTGAGTAAAAAAAAAAAAAAAAACTGTCCTACGAGCCTTTTACATCGAAAAAAACAATAAATTTTTTTTAATTAATTTATTTTATTTTTTGAAAAATACGTTAAAAAACGAGCCTACGAGCCTGTTACATCGAAAAAGACAATACATTTTTTTCCGATTTTTTGGTGTTCTTTGCCTACTATACGCAATACCATTTTTGAATTTTACGGGTGTTTTTTCCATGGTCATCCCACTTACTACCCTACAAAGAGATATCAAAAGCTTTATCGTAAATCTAATGACACAATGAACAGCAGAAATGAAGATATAGTCAATAGGGAAACATTATTGAGGATGAGGGGCTACAATTTAGTGCACGTTTGGGAATGCGAATTCAATAAAATACTAACAACTCATGAAGTGTGTGTCCCAAATTTTTTTAAAATGATTCATTTTTGATTTTGAACCCTTGAACCCCAGACATGCATTTCACGGTGGTAGAACAGGGAACACCAAATTGTATTACAGGGCCTTCAGGTAAAAAGATTAATTACGTCGATGTCTATTCTAGTTTTGGTTTTAACGGAAAAATCTTTAACAACAAAAATCCAACTGGAATTAATTTTCTATTATGAAAAATTGTTTTTTAAGCCCTACACTGAGCATCCGCATTTGACAAAAGTGTTTCCAAAATGGGTGAACCTTCATTTCTGGTACCTAGACCTTGCACCAACAAGGTTTTGAAGAATTTCATGGATAAGAAGGTCTTTGGAAGATTAGAATTTTCTACAGGGAGCGATGAAGAGGTTCTACTATCGAAGAGGTGGTAGATGATAAAATCAAAGTTTACCTCCGGATAAAACCTTGTAATATAATGTCCATCACTGATGAAATTAACAATAAGAATTACGAGAGTCTTGGAAAATTTCTACAAACAAAAATTTTCCTCAACAGAGAGGAATTAATTTATAAATATAGATTACAATTAATTGAGGTTTTCAGTTGAGATAAAAAAGTCAATGGCATGAGCAGGATTCGAACCCACGATCTTCGGCTAGATATGCCGCTGCTCTACCTCTTGAGCTATCGTGGCGGCGTTTTAGGCCACGAAACTAGTGAATTGTATAAATATAGATTCTATGACATCTTCCTTCCCACTACCAACCAGAATGTAAGAAAAACGCAAAAAACACCAAAAAATCGGAAAATTGTTTATTGTCTTTTTCGATGTAAAAGGCTCATAGGCACGGTTTTTAGCGTATTTTTCAAGAAAAACGGAAAAAAATCGAAAAAAAATTTATTTTATTTTTCGATGTAAAAGGCTCGTAGGACACGTTATTTACGGTTTTTTTTCCTCCAAGAAAATCCAATTAGACAAGGCGTATGCTCAAAAATGAGTGCACATTTTTGACTTTACATGCTGTAAATAATTCACCATTTTTTGTACTTTTAACCCTGTAATCGAAATTTTTAGGCCCTCCTATACAAATTCCGTTGTATAAATAGGACACGTCTTTTACGTTTTGTTTTCAAGAAAAACGCAAAAAACCCCAGAAAATCGAGAAAAAAATTGTCTTTCGATGTAAAAGGCTCGTATGACACTTTTTTTTGAGAAAAACGCAAAGAACTCCAAAAAATCGGAAAAAATTATTCTTTTTCGATGTAAAAGGCTCGTTGGCACGTTTTTTTACGGTTTTTTTTCAAGAAAAACGAAAAAAAAATCGTAAAATTGTTTATTGTCTTTTTCAGTGTAAAAGGCTCGTAAGACGTTTTTTTCCCAAGAAAAACGCAAAAAATCCATAAAAATCGAAAAAAATGTTTATTTTTTTTTTCGTTTAAAATTTTTTTTTTTTTTTTTTTTTTTTTTTTCCAAGAAAAACGCAAACAACCATTCACCTCAAAGAAGCCGACTACTCATATAAAAATGTCTTTCTATCCTGACTTCCTTCCCCACCCCTTCAAAATCCAATGCATATAGACATAAAACAACAATTCCTCACTGGCACTCTCAACACGACAGACAAGAATAACACACGGAAAACAAACACTTTGAGTGAGTACAAATATTTTGATTGAATCTAAAATTTTCTAGCATTGTTTAAGTTCATTCTTTTTTTAAAATCTAAAATTTTCTAGCGTTGTATAAATTTATAATTTTTTTCCACATCCTACATGTATTTGTAAAATTCAAACCATGTTAGTAGCATAGGTGAC